TGAAAAGACAAGTAAAACTTATGGAAAAGCCAGGATAACGGGATGAATCACCACCAGGTCGAATATAAATACATAATAAAAAAAAACGATGTTAAACCCAGGGTCGGAGAGAAAGGGAGATCCCGGCCGTCTTTGTATCCCCGCAGCGCGGGATAGGAGTGTGTATACGCTCGGGGAAACACCTCCACTTGAGTCAAGCACCACGATGGGAAACGACAGACCTTAGGTTACATACAGAATCATAACTGTGAAATAGTAAGGGACAAATGTTAACTTAAAACTTCTTAACCATTTCTTTGTGCGCCGGGTCGGAGAGAGTGTTGCCCCTCCCTCCAGGTTGTGCAACACGAACAAAGACGCCTATGAGACGATTTGTAACGTCTGTGTTTTGGGTTCATGAAGAAGGCCAGACAAGAGATAATATTGCACCCAGACAGAGAGACGACTTCGAGGCAATTTGTAACATCTGATTGTTTGCTCGTGGGTTTTATGGAGGGAGGGTGACAACGGAATATACCGTGAGTGATGCACACAAGGACATACGGACGTACGGACACACACATGGACACACCTGCCTACGGACAGATCCTGACACAGCAAAAATCGAAAGAAGCCCCGCCTTGTGGGCGGGATCCAGGGGGATTTTTCGGCATAAAGGAAAGGATCCTGAGCATTGGAAATCGGTGCGACCAGCGGGTCGGCTCACGTGGGGGGTGCGACCAGCGGGTCGACTCAGGAGTGCGACCAGCGGGTCGGCTCACGTGGGGGGTGCGACCAGCGGGTCGGCTCAGGAGCGAGCTCGACCGGGAGGGTCGGCTCAGGAGCGAGTGCGACCAGCGGGTCGGCTCGACTCATCTTCAGCTCGTCTGGGACTCAGCCGAGTTCGATCGGCTTACCAAAGCCGGCTCTCGGGGCTCGACTCAAGCGGCTCCCCATCTCCTCTGCAGGCGGGCAAGACCCGCTTGACAGCTCAACTCGGCCTGCGTGGGTCAACCTCTGCCGAGTCGGAGGTCTCTGCTGCCGCCGGAGTGGTGAGGGTCGCGGTTTGGCGACGAGGCTCCGTGCACACCCTGGTCGACGACCCGACACTGCACGCTGCGAGCGAGTTGTGGGCGCCACCTACCGACCGGGTTCCGAACTGCGACAGCGTATCAACGGGCATCCGAACCAGTTCCCCACGGTGACAGGGGAGCGACTGATACGTATGACGCGCACCGCCCCCTCACCACACGACCACCAGGCGTCTGTTTGACATAAAGAATCGACTCCGAACACTGACTATTCAAGACAACTCTTACCACTCAAACACACTCGAACCCATAAGCCATCTGTGGCTGGGAAGGCATCACAACGAGACCGAGTGATGGCCATCCGTCGTTTATAAAAGTATTCGTAATTTTTATCTTTAATATTTAGTGGGCTGTACTCTTAATCGCATAAATTCCCAACAGATCCATCAATACGAACTGATTCTTGGCACCTCCTTCCGCCGAGCCACGCTCACGTGGGGAGTGGTGGCCCACCGGATCCTTATCAGGTGATCTGGTCCCCAATTAGTAAACTTGGTATAAGATAACGATCTTCGGAAAAGGAGCACCGTCGCAGGCCCTTACTCCGAGCCGTTCTGTTGTCAGATAACCTGCCGATGTATCTGTTGAGATTGGTGCCTTTAAGAATAATAACTGTTTTTGATTGTGTTTTTTTATCGCCGTATAATCTTTCAAGTATCTTTCAGTCATAATCGCCGCACGTACTCGCATCCTCTACAGAATATTCAACTGTCCCGTGACCCAAGGTGCTAACAACGTGATAAGGGTTGCGTATGATCAATAAGGAGTGCGGTACTGCGTGAACAATATTGAGTATAATCATTCATTAACGTTAAGGTTTTCTTAGCATAGTATTTGCATATTTTAACGACTCTCTCTCTCACTAACAACCATCGCGTTATGCGGGATCCATGTGCCGTTGTCAAAGTGAAATCAGACAATCGTTGATGATACTGTATTGATGCCGTGTTGACGTTCCGGGATTGAGAGTTCGCATACTATATCATAGTTAAGGTTGAATTAGTAATAAATTGATCAATACAGAAGTGGTTGTGTGATTCTTTCCTGAAATCTATGCATAAGATCTGCTTCTGCGTTGAGATCTGAACTTGGTGACCTTAATAAACACACTAATACATACTCAGTAAATGTTAAAGCGATAACGGGGTGAACCGGGGACCTAAAATATAACCACGAATACACACTCTGGGAATGTTAAAGCGAGAATGAGACGAACCTAGACAACGATGCCGAGTTAATCTAAGTTAATCTTGCATACTTACACCACACCTGCATAACTGCATACGATTAATTGCCTTATTCCGATCGATAACCCACCCTCATCACCGAGGCGGGGTCTGGTTATCATAACGACTTGCATTATCATAATTACACCCACTCGCATAATTAATACGATTACCTCTCGAATTGGCATAATTAAAATGTGCGTAATTACATAAATTAACATATTTCCGGATAATTACACATTTGGCCAAATTTCATTTAATTATTATTATTTTCACTGAATATTCATAACCCACATATACAACATAATAATTTCACCCACGCATGCATACAACATAACAAATTTTGATAACCAACATATACAACAGCGTGTTGGGGTGAGAGCGCGTTGGGGTGAGAGCGCGTTGGGGTGAGGGCGTGTTGGGGTGAGGGCGTGTTGGGGTGAGAGCGCGTTGGGGTGAGAGCGCGTTGGGGTGAGAGCGCGTTGGGGTGAGGGCGCGTTGGGGTGAGAGCGCGTTGGGGTGAGAACGTGTTGGGGTGAGGGCGTGTTGGGGTGAGGGCGTGTTGGGGTGAGAGCGCGTTGGGGTGAGGGCGCGTTGGGGTGAGAGCGCGTTGGGGTGAGAGCGCGTTGGGGTGAGAGCGCGTTGGGGTGAGAGCGTGTTGGGGTGAGAGCGTGTTGGGGTGAGAGCGTGTTGGGGTGAGAGCGTGTTGGGGTGAGAGCGTGTTGGGGTGAGCGCGTGTTGGGGTGAGCGCGTGTTGGGGTGAGAGCGTGTTGGGGTGAGCGCGTGTTGGGGTGAGAGCGTGTTGGGGTGAGAGCGTGTTGGGGTGAGAGCGTGTTGGGGTGAGAGCGTGTTGGGGTGAGCGCGTGTTGGGGTGAGCGCGTGTTGGGGTGAGCGCGTGGGTGGGGTGAGAGCGTGTTGGGGTGAGCGCGTGTTGGGGTGAGAGCGTGTTGGGGTGAGAGCGTGTTGGGGTGAGCGCGTGTTGGGGTGAGAGCGTGTTGGGGTGAGCGCGTGTTGGGGTGAGCGCGTGTTGGGGTGAGAGCGTGTTGGGGTGAGAGCGTGTTGGGGTGAGAGCGTGTTGGGGTGAGAGCGTGTTGGGGTGAGCGCGTGTTGGGGTGAGAGCGTGTTGGGGTGAGAGCGTGTTGGGGTGAGAGCGTGTTGGGGTGAGAGCGTGTTGGGGTGAGCGCGTGTTGGGGTGAGAGCGTGTTGGGGTGAGCGCGTGTTGGGGTGAGCGCGTGTTGGGGTGAGAGCGCGTTGGGGTGAGCGCGCGTTGGGGTGAGCGCGCGTTGGGGTGAGCGCGTGTTGGGGTGAGCGCGTTGGGGTGAGCGCGTGTTGGGGTGAGCGCGTGTTGGGGTGAGAGCGTGTTGGGGTGAGCGCGTTGGGGTGAGAGCGCGTTGGGGTGAGCGCGCGTTGGGGTGAGCGCATGTTGGGGTGAGCGCGTTGGGGTGAGCGCGTTGGGGTGAGCGCGTGTTGGGGTGAGAGCGTGTTGGGGTGAGTGCGTGTTGGGGTGAGCGCGTGGGTGGGGTGAGAGCGTGTTGGGGTGAGCGCGTGTTGGGGTGAGCGCGTGTTGGGGTGAGCGCGTGTTGGGGTAAGCGCGTGTTGGGGTGAGCGCGTGTTGGGGTGAGAGCGCGTTGGGGTGAGAGCGCGTTGGGGTGAGAGCGCATTGGGGTGAGAGCGCGTTGGGGTGAGAGCGCGTTGGGGTGAGAGCGCGTTGGGGTGAGAGCGCGTTGGGGTGAGAGCGTGTTGGGTGAGAGCGCGTTGGGGTGAGAGCGCGTTGGGGTGAGAGCGCGTTGGGGTGAGAGCGCGTTGGGGTGAGAGCGCGTTGGGGTGAGAGCGCGTTGGGGTGAGAGCGCGTTGGGGTGAGCGCGCGTTGGGGTGAGCGCGCGTTGGGGTGAGCGCGCGTTGGGGTGAGCGCGCGTTGGGGTGAGCGCGTTGGGGTGAGCGCGTGTTGGGGTGAGCGCGCGTTGGGGTGAGAGCGCGTTGGGGTGAGAGCGCGTTGGGGTGAGAGCGCGTTGGGGTGAGAGCGCGTTGGGGTGAGGGCGCGTTGGGGTGAGCGCGCGTTGGGGTGAGCGCGTTGGGGTGAGCGCGTGTTGGGGTGAGCGCGTGTTGGGGTGAGCGCGTGTTGGGGTGAGCGCGTGTTGGGGTGAGCGCGTGTTGGGGTGAGCGCGTGTTGGGGTGAGAGCGTGTTGGGGTGAGCGCGTGTTGGGGTGAGCGCGTGTTGGGGTGAGAGCGTGTTGGGGTGAGCGCGTGTTGGGGTGAGCGCGTGGGTGGGGTGAGAGCGTGTTGGGGTGAGCGCGTGTTGGGGTGAGCGCGTGTTGGGGTGAGCGCGTGTTGGGGTGAGCGCGTGTTGGGGTGAGCGCGTGTTGGGGTGAGCGCGTGTTGGGGTGAGCGCGTGTTGGGGTGAGAGCGTGTTGGGGTGAGCGCGTGTTGGGGTGAGCGCGTGGGTGGGGTGAGAGCGTGTTGGGGTGAGCGCGTGTTGGGGTGAGCGCGTGTTGGGGTGAGCGCGTGTTGGGGTGAGCGCGTGTTGGGGTGAGCGCGTTGGGGTGAGCGCGTGTTGGGGTGAGCGCGTGTTGGGGTGAGAGCGTGTTGGGGTGAGAGCGTGTTGGGGTGAGCGCGTGTTGGGGTGAGCGCGTGTTGGGGTGAGCGCGTGTTGGGGTGAGCGCGTGTTGGGGTGAGCGCGTGGGTGGAGTCAGGACGCGGTCGTTACCCGAACATCACGGTGCACACCCCCGAGATGAGGACCCCCGTGATGAACAGCACCTTGGCTCCCACGCATGGCACCTGGGGCAGACATGGGCACGTGGCATGGGTCAGCGGTTGGCTATGTACGGTGTGAAAGACGTTCAACGTACATACAAACGGCTCGCATCCTCGTTGCCGTTCACAAACGGCCGCACTGCAGCCCAAGCCTCAAAGCCACCGCGTTTCTGTGAGGCTCAACCGCAACGCGTGGCGAGCTGGCAGCCCCTCCTCTCTTGTGGGCCCGCTTAATTTCAAACGGTGATCTATAACCACATTAGCCCCACCCACTGGTCAGGTAACCCACCCCTTTGCCCATAACATGAGTCGAGCATGAGGCGAGACAAAGTTTAAGCCAGCACATTCCAAGTTTCGCGAAAGGCTTGGGACGCCGGCGACAGCCTTTCTTAAACCGTGTCTGCCCCACTGGGAGCCACCCGACCACCCCATTCACACCCCAACTTCATCAAACACACATCGGCGTTGCTTGGGGTGGCAGCAACAGCGCTTTCACATTACGAATGCCACATTGACTCTTCGCTCGTTGGCCAGCGACCTGAATCCACGGGAGTCAATGATGCCTTCGCGTCTCGCTCAATTTCCTTAGGGCCGTGGGCCGAGGTTGATGTGTATTGGGCCAGGCACAGACTTCACACGCAATGCAAACGCGGTTCAAGGGAAAAAGGGGCCAAACAGGAAATGTTGTGCGGGGTCACAGTATGGGCGTGCGTGCGTGCCGCAGCACACTGTGTTCGGGATCGCACGGCCAGGAGATCCCCAATAAACAAACCAATTAAAACGTCTAAAGGTCATAAAGCACCGAGAGACGCGGTATTGTTTACGCAGGATGTGAGGAAGGGGAGGGAGGGTGGCCAGGGGAGGTCGCGGTTGGCTTTTATCTCAAGACGGGGACTTACGAGAAGCAGGGCTCCCACAGCCGTGATTCATGCGCGGTGACGTCTCAGCGGCCAAGTGGACGCGCGCACAGAGGGTGCCGCTCCCACGAAGCCTCTCATTTCTCGAATTCGTCCACAAAGTGGCCAGAAGAGGGCATTATCGCCTTAACGATCATTCAATGGGGCGAACGCGGTGACGAAATGTTTACTACTTCGATCCCGACCCTGACGCCTGCTGCATATTTCGAGTTTGCGGTGTCTCTCTCCCCGTGGTCACGTAGATTTTTCTCCGGGTCCTCTGGTTTTTCCCTCCACATTTAGAATCAACATGCGCTGAGAGTATTTGGCTGCAATAAATGTCCACGTGATGAGCAACTTCGCTGAGCTATAATTTGTGATGGCCTGGTCACTTCTGACAAAGAGCTCGATAGCTCAGTGGGCCTCACCGTGTAAAAAGAAAAATAGTTTCGTTTATAATTTTTAATATCAGTCTTGAATTACATTGTTTGGTCTCTCCAAACAAAAACAAATATTTATCCGGGTGGTGGTGGTGCACGTCTGTAATCCATCCAGCACTGTGGAGGGTGAGTGTCAGTGGATTGCGCCAAGGTTCTATAACCCTGCTTTGCCAGAAGGTAGTCCAGCAAAACTGTGGACTCCAGCTGTTCTGTCTGTATGGGAATGTTTCCTCCACGCGCGTTGTGCGTTTTCCCCATGTGCTCCAGTTTCCCCCCACATGGCCGATAATGCCTATATATATGTAGAGGACCGCAGAACTTGGGCAATTGTTGCCGCCGGCTCATCGCGTGGCTGTCTTCCTGCTTATCTGTGGTTCCACGCGCCTCTGACAGTGAGCGAATCTTATATATCTGTGTGTGCCTTCAGTGTGCGTGTGTGCCTGCAGTGTGCGTGTGTGCCCGCAGTGTGCGTGTGTTTGTCCTCAGTGTGCGTGCCATCAGTGTGCACGTGTGCGCCCTCAGTATTTGTGTGTTTGTCCTCAGTGTGCGTGTGCTTTCCCGAGGTGTGCGTGCCATCAGTGTGCGTGTGTGTGCCCTAAGTGTGCTTGTGTCACTCTAAGAGATTGGCACCGTGCCGCCCTCACCAGTTTCCCGATGAGCAGCGAGGAGACGAGTTGTGTGACGGAGAAGCATCCGTAGATGATGCCCACGATGGTCACGTTCGCCCCCTTTTTGCCGGCCTGCAGAAGACGCGGGCACATGCACACAGCTGGGTAACGCGTCTGGTGCTCAATCATACATCAGTGAAATACCCTTTGGTTCTTTCGGTAAAGTCACGTAGAAAATAAAATAAAATAATAGAATATGACGTTTCGGTTGCAACACAAGCAACCATCATCAGGTAAGAATGAATGATAAAACAGACACGGGAACAGCATAGGCAGACACACATGCAGAGAGAGACACACACAAAGACACACCGCTCGGTGTGTCTTTGTGTGTGTCTTTGTGTATGTTGCAACCAAAACGTCGTATTCTATTATTTTATTTTCTACGTGACTTTGCCGAAAGAACCAAAGAGTAATTCCTGCAGTCACGAAAGATTCGAATCAGTGAAATTCTCGCCATCTGTGAAAAATAACTTCATAAGCTCATCGGATTCCCATAGCCATAAATAGGTAAATATTCTGATTCTGACATTCTTACTGCTGTGTGGGTGACGTGAGCGAGAGATTGAACTTTGTCGTAGTCATGACCACGTGACGGCGCAAATCCCTTACTTATGGGGGAGGCTCACAGATTTGCATGGAGAATAGAAGACTCACATGGAGACTCAAAGAGACAAAGAGACTCAAGGCCACACATAGACTCAAATAAACCGTAAACTATATAAAACGCTTCTTTATTTTTTTCATTTTACCAGGTAAGGCCCATTGAACTATACAGCTCTTTATTCAGAAGCGAATTTGCCAAATTTTACAAATTTGGCCCATGATGTCATCACACAATGGCCTACTCAGTCCTATGGGCACTTGAGTTTCCTCACATATGTAGAGAGCACTCAAAAATACTTGGTTAAACATCCCAAGAAGAGCCCTCTTGAAAGAAAACTATTTAAAAAATGAAACAATTTAAAATATTTTATTTCACCAGGGAAGGCCCACCGAGCTTTGTAGCTCTTTTTCAGAAGCGATCTGGCCACTAAAAATTGCTCAACAAAGCGGCTTATCATCATGTGGAAATATAGAGCAGCCAAAAACTCGAAACGCGTGATGTTGTTTCTAAATGTGGAAGGAAAAACCGAAGGACCCAGAGAAATAGCCACGCGTTCACGGTGAAAGAGACACACAAACTCCAAATATACAGCAGGCGCAAGGGTCGAGATCGAACCCACGGCCTCTTATATACCAGGCAAGGTAGTTAACATGTCGCCACCGTGGCGATGTGAGTGAGGGAATGAACTTCACCACGCCGGTAGTTCGGCAGCGACTCCTCCGTTACCAACATGAGGAGGCAACTAAGGAACGTGCACAGTGCTCACACGGAGTTGTGGTAAAACCGTGAGGTGAGTGGGGAAGCATTCAGAACCGATGCCAACAATTGCCCAACAAGCTCTGTGCTCCTATATTTGGGGTGTGTTTGGCCAGCTCTTAAGAGAGAGAAGGGACAGAGAAGGCAGCTGCGCTCGTGCGGTGCCGAGCTGAGGGCACCCACCTCCTGGGGGAAGAAGGGGTAGAGGGCGGTGGAGAGGATGGTCTCCAGGAAGGCGGCGGAGCCCACCATCAGCAGCATCGTGACCTGCTGACTCTGCATGGTGCCACACATCGCGCCACCCCTAGGCCGGCCAGCAAAGGAGCACATAGGATCGAGGAGAATCATGACGATGGTAATACATCTTCCTGGTTCTTTTGGTAAAGTCACGTAGAAGGGAAATAATACAATTAAAAAAAAATATTTTATTATTCATCTTCCTGGTTCTTTCGGTAAAGTCACGTAGAAGGGAAAGAATAAAAAAATATATATTTTATTATTTCCCTTCTACGTGACTTTACCGAAAGAACCAGGAAGATGAATCCCTGCAGTCACGAAAGCTTTAGATGGTAATACAGTAACTATAATAACGATTCGAAGCTTTCGTGACTGCAGGAATTACGCTTTGGTTCTTTCGGTAAAGTCACGTAGAAAGAAAATAAATAATAATAGAATACGACGTTTCGATTGCAACACAAGCAACCATCATCAGATAAGAATGAATGAGAAAAAAACCATAGTAAACTTAGAAATACAATGCAATACTAAACAGAGAGTCGGCTAACACAATAGTCAACACGCTACCTGGTTGATTACGTTCTTCCAAAGATTGTTAAATTTGAGAGAGAGACAAAACACAGAACCAAAAAGTTTCTATTTAAAGTTTTCGTGACTGCAGGGATTCATATTCTTAGTTCTTTCGGTAAAGTCACGTAGAAGGGAAATAATAAAATAAAACAATAAAAATTTTACGACGTTTCTTGCTGTGGTTTACACACCTGATGATGATTGCTTGTGTCGCAATCGAAACGTCGTGATAATTTTATTGTTTTTTTTTATTTCCCTTCTATGTGACTTTACCGAAAGAACCAAAGAGAAGAATCATGCTCATGAGCGTTAATCAAGAATATTAAGGGGCCACGTTAACGAGTGGTGCACAGGGATTGTATTCTGATAGGCCGGAGTAGCTGGTGCGCTACTCGTAGCCACGGTCCAAGAGAAAGGAACACTGGATGTGGAATGGCGGATATGAAAATATATGCAGAGTTGGTGACATAGGCAATAGGCAGATTCAGCAAAATGAATCCCTGATGTTACATAGTAATAAAATCCATCAATAAAGCTTTAGCACATTTGGAATTAATACTGCTATATATAACAAAATATGTAAGGTAGTGTTAAGTACAAAAATAGTTAAAATATACTTTAAAAAATATATAAATGTTCTTGTGTTAGAGCTGCTCCTATACGCTGGGGATGCCTCACAGCACTTCACATCTCATTTCAAAACATTTGAAAGGGCACCCCCAGTGGCAGCTATCCCTGTGGGCACAACGTGACACAACACCTGGCTGGCAAATGGGCATGAGTCTGCCAGTAGGGTGCGATGTTGCTGCAGTTGGTAATAAATAAACAAGTCATTTGCGAGTAACTTTGGACCGTGATGTCAGCACACAATGTCCTACTCGTTTGGAATGACATCAGGGAATCTGTAACGTTCACTGTGAAACAAACGGGCGCTAAGTATTGCCCACTGTTAATGCACCCGCAGTATTAACCAGGGCGGCCACCGGGGCACTAACCACAATCCTCTGCAACAAAGCGGTGAACACGCTACCGCCGGGCCGCATCACCGTCCCTCATGGGCACACCTGGCACAGGTGCCGTGATGACTATGCAACAGACATTTGTATAATGCTAATAGGGCGCAGCGGTGGAGCAGCGATGAGCTTGGATTAAATACCTGGTCGTGGTTAACGTCGGTGGAGAGTGGTATCTTAACAAGTCTCCTCACCCTCCACCAACCCACACTGACCAGCATGGTGAAGTGTGGTCAAAGAACCCTCATGGCTGAGACGTCATCGTGAGGCCTTCCTGTCTCTCAGTCATTTGGCAAATGTTTTTTATTTATTTAAGATATACCCTGGTACTCTGTGTTATTGCCAACAGTCAACATGAATGTGTGCAGATGGATATGGCCCTTGACAATGCTTGCGGACGCTATCTAAATCCTTTGGGTAACAGTTGACAGAGTGACCTTCATCTTCCAATGACACGGACAGTGCTTGTTTGTGTCCTTCAATTTATACTTTCCCAGGTCTCCTGTCCGAGAGACTTGTGGTCGCGCGTGGGAAAATCACATCCGGCTGCGTTAATCACGGGGAATAAAAGCAAGGGGGAAACTGGGAGACGGATGACGTGGGAAAATAAAAAAAACCAAACCTTTCCAAGCGAAGCCACAATAGGGAGGCCCCGATTGAACGTGCGGCCAAAGGCCAGAGATTACTCTGCCCGCGTGTGCCGTGCGCGCCGCGTCCCCGTGATTAATGAGGGCCTCGGCGGAGGTCAACGTGAGACGGACACTAAGCGCAGCGCGCCAGCCGCGCCACAATTAAATCCAACGCGCCGATAACTTCTTGTGATCGAACACCTGGCCCAGGGGGGGGTGGGTGGGGGGTGAAGGGGAGGGGGTGCGCGTTTTAATTACTCTTGCGATTGTGAATTTATCTCCTCTCGAGTACCCCCCCCCCACCTGCCCCCCCCCCCACCACCGGCCTGCTAAGCGGTGAATGCCGTCAGTCTGTCCCAGCAGCTGCAGCGTGGATTTTTTTTTCTCTCTCCAGATCCTCCGGGTTTTTCCCCTCCACGTTTAAAAACACGTGTTTAGTGAATTTAGATTATTCGGCTGCTATACATTTCAATGGCACTTCGTTAAGCTATCATTTGTCGCCAGGTGGCTCCTGAAATAAGAAGCGAATAGCTCAGTGGGCTTTACCTGGTAAGATTAAAAAAAAGTTTTTTTTCTGTGTGATTTCTTTACCTTTGCTATACTTTGGTTTTCTATCGTGTTTTTCTACTATTTGTTATTGTAACTTTCTGAGCCCGCCCCTACTGGACATCTATGGGAAAAAGAGCTGCATAGCTCATTGGATGTCTCCTGCAGTATAAATGTGTAATGAGATAGTGACATCTACTGGTTGGAAAAGGAAAGCACGGGTACAGGCACCACTATAAACATTATCCAATCCCCAAAGGGAGAGGTATCTGGGCGAAAGGTGAAACTCCGAGAACCGGCTAGAAAGTTCCATGAGAGGGCGTGGCCAGAGGCAGAGCCTAGTCGCGCCTGCGACAATACAGTAAAACCTTGGATTGCGAGTAACTTGGTTTGCGAGTGTTTTGCAATACGAGCAAAAAAAAAATCATACATTTTAACTTGATAAACGAGCGAGGTCTTGCAATACGAGTAATACGTATACGCTTTGTCTGCCGAGCGTCACGTGATCACAACTGAGCCGATGGTTCTTCTCTCTCTCTCGCTGCGGGATTGTGGGTAATCGTCTCCCATGCTCGGTCTCAGTCGGCGTGCCTCACTCGTATAGTCAACATCCGTGCGAGTGTATACTGTTTACTATAGTGTTGTGACCACGTGTGTGTGCGTAAAGAATTTTTTAAAATTTTGTGTCCAAGTGTAGTGACTGTTCTTTAGTAACTGTACTGCAACAATGCTTTTTGCCTTCTCAAAAGGAGGCAAAAGCAAATGTCATTGGATAGGTTCCTTGTTAAAGTTGCACAAAAAGAAAAATATTCCAGTGAGCCAACAGATGGCAGTGATTCCGTTAGTGGCAATGAAAGTCGTCCTCCACAATAACCCTCCTCCTTCTCCTCTACTCTCTCTCGTCTCCCTCACACCAGCCACGATAAAATTTACATTTAAATAATAAAAATATAAAAATGTATTTAGTATTAATCACTTTCATATGAATATTTTTGGGTTGTGTAACGAATCATCTGAGTTTCCATTATTTCTTATGGGGAAATTCGCTTTGATATACGAGTGCTTTGGATTACAATCACGTTTCCGGAACGAATTATGCTCGCAATCCAAGGTGTTGCTGTATAAGCGGAGGCGGAGGAGGACTGCTTGGGTGCACGAGCAGCTGAATGACGATTCCTCAGGGGTCTTGCGGGGTTGCGCGGAAAATGCACGGGAAACTATAGCGGTCATGACGGCCTTTTGATGTGGACAGAGGACATGTTGGATCGCTGGCGGCTTGTCGTCCCCACCGCTCTCCAGGGTGACTTGGTTTGCGCGCTGCACTAGGATAAGCTGTTGCACCTCGGTGTCCAGAAGTCCCTCTTGACACTGCAGCGTGACTATTATTGGCTGGGGATGATAGCCGATGTTTCCAGATGGATCCAAGGATGTGTTGAATGCGCGCACAGGAAACCGCCGCAGCGGAGGTCCCATCCGCCGCTGTAATCCATTTCGGTTTCGCGTATCAACGAATTGGTGGCGCTCAATATCCTTGATTCCTTTCTGTCCACTCCACGAAGGAATACATTTCTTTTAGTGGGGGTCGAATATTTTTCCCGATGGCCTATGGCTTGGCAGCTGCCTGACCTGTCGGCGGCCTCCATTACGGAGGCGTTTTTGTATGGTTATGTGATGGACAACGGAGCCCCGGAGCAATTGTTTACTGACCAGGGGCGCAATTTCTCGTCTAAATTGCTGTGTGAGGTTTGCGACACTTTGGGTACTAGGAAAATTAGGACGTCGCCATACCACCCACAGACGGATGGGATGTTGGAGCGCCTGAATAGAACTTTGACCTCCATGCTCTGTCAGGCGGTCGACGCTGGGCAGACGGATTGGGATTTGCATGTGCCGAGTGTACTCGCCGTGTATAGGATGGCCCCTCATACTACCACGGGGTTCTCGCCATTTTTTTCTCATGTATGGGAGGGAGAATGTGCCCCCTATAGATGCCCAATTGGGTTCGTCACTGGATAAAGGGAAGTCTAGATTGTCTGAGCATGTGCAAATATCCCTATAGCACATTTCTATGGCTCAAGAGGAAGCCAGAGTTAACGCCGCCAAAACACAGGTGTGCAATGAACATAATGCGGGGAAGCGGGATCACGTGTTGCCGTGGTCCATCGGCGACAAAGCATGGTTGCGTTGCCCCCAGGTGCCGGTCGGTACATCTCCTAATTTAGATAAGCCCTGGCAAGGACCCGTGGAAGTGGTCGAGGTGAAACGGCCACAATGTGTGCGTATCCGGGTGGGCCGTCGCCGTTGGTTCGTCCATCCTTCTCGGTTGAAGCCGTTTGTCCCTGCACGTATCGCCTCTTCATCTCCAACGATTGGCCTGCCGGTGTCTGATTTGTCCGACGGGCCGGGGATGGTGCATTCGGGGGGCGTGTGTCGGAAGGACTGTGTCGTGTCGTCCACAGCATCCGGACTTGTGACCGTGGACGGGGCTCGGGACCTCGCCGGGATCAAAGATGTGCCTGCTGCTGCTGAGCCTGCTGCTCCTGTGCCTCCTGTGCTGCAGTCCACGGGCTCGGTCCTTGCTCTGGAGTTGCTTGGCAATGTCAGAGTGTCTAGGGTTGTTGCGTTTTGTTCCCTTCCTCCGTCGTGCCCCTTCTCGCCGTGTTCCCTCGTATTGCGGGCTATTTGTTCCACGTGTTGTCCCGCTCTTTAAGGCACATGTTACGAGTCCTCTTTTACACCTCTTTATGTCCATCTTATGCTGCGCGTATGTGCTCTTACATGTTACTTGAATATTAGCCGGGACGGCTACTTTTTTTCTTACGGGGGGGGGGGGGGGGGTGATGTAATGAGATATTCACATCTATTGGTTGGAAAAAATGAAGCACGCGTACAGGCACGACTATAAACATTATCCAATCCCCAAAGGGAGAGGTATCTGGGCCACAGGTGAAGGGCGGGGCCGGCCGAGAAACTCCGAGAACCAGCTAGAAAGTTCCACCAGAGGGCGTCGCCGGAGGCGGAGCCTAGCTGCGCCTGCGGCAATACAAGTGGAGGCAGAGGAGGACTCGGGGTCGGTGTGTGGAGTCTTGGGTCCGGACTGCGTCGCTGCTCGCCATCATCTTTCTTCGTCGTTCGGCCACATGGCGGATCTCCTGCGGAGCACCACCGCCCTCCCCGGCATGCCGTCAACCAGCGGCGAGACGGGAAGCGGAAGGGGCGGAACCCGCCGTGTGATCAACCGTGTGTGTGGTCTGTAGAACGTAATAGCTAAGTGTGTAATTGGAGAGGAAGCCGATGTTGGCCTGTGCTGTGGAATAAAGAATACCCTCTACACGACGTGTCGCGGAAGTCGCTCATTACTAATGTCCTAATTCACACCCTTCCAACAGATGCAGCACTCTCAGGGCACTACTGTTTTCGTTCGGAGAGTGGGAATTTTAGCAGCGTGAAACCCCAACAAACTGTGCTGCGGCCAAAAATACGCGTTCGGGAAAGCCGCGTTAGGGGCAATGGTTTTCTTGTGCTGTTTAACACGTTGGCTTTCATGACCAATATCATCCATAATAGAGGTTTTTTTGGGTTAGATCGCGATCTAACCCAAAAAAAACATGCACAGTAAAACCTTGGATTGCGAGTAACTTGGTCTGCGAGGGTTTTGCAAGACGAGCAAAATTTGTAAATAAATATTAATTTGATAAACGAGCGAGGTCTTGCAATACGAGTAGTACGTATATGCTTTGTCTGCCGAGCGTCACGTGATCACAACTGATAAACGAGTGCTTTGATATACGAGTGCTTTGGATTACAAACACGTTTCCGGAACGGATCATGCTCGCCATCCAAGGTTTTACTGTATTATGGATTATTGTGCAATAGAGCTCTCCCGATGCGTTGTACACATGTTGTACTGCGTGTTGTTCGGCACGATGTCCAACGTTTCACGCAGCATGCTGAAAACGAATAAAAAAAACATCCCGAGCACGTGGTGAGAGAAACGTCGGAACATCGTGTGCCGGACAAACGGGCGGTAACAACATGGCACAGCCAGAAAACACGCGACGGAGCAATGGCCCTCGTGTGCTCAAGTAATGATGACCCATTCCACAAGCGTTGAGAAACGTCTGCACGCCTCCCTTACCTGCGCTGGCGATCTGACAGCAACGACGTCTGGTTACCGCTGCAGGTCGTCCTCTCTCGTTTGCAGCGGTCACCTGGATACGGGCGGCACAGCAATGGCGACGGTGATGACAAAAGCACTCCTGCTGCCTCTCCTCCCTTCTCCTGCAATGCCACCTAAAACAAAGCCCCCCTTCTCTTCTGAAATCCCAGCTTATCGCTCAACTCCTCACTCCCGCGTGCGCGATGCCTTTCTCTGCGTTTCGTGTGGCGCCCACGAGACAGGCCGTGTTCGGTCACTTTTTGTTCTTGCCGACAACAAAGTGGGGGTAGAGATTGTCGAGTGAGGCAACCCCGAGTGGTGTGGACGGGTGCGGCTTCTCTAGAAGATCACCCCGGGGTGCAAAGCAACGTGAACATCAACCACAAAATCAACGACGTTATCTATGTTTACCCTGCTGATGGATGTCCCCCCTCTGTTTAACCAGATTGCAGCCCAGCGGTATTTACAAGTCTCCTATACAAGGGATGTAAAGGTGAGCTCGAGTGGGCAATAACCTGTTACAACGTAGAATGGAGGCAATGGTAGTCTTCGATACACTGATAATCTTTGATTAATTGCCATCGGGGTATAATTTACTAAGTGTCTGTAGTCGATGAGAAAACTGGTGATCCGCATGTGGATTTTTTTTAAACAACTTTCAGTTACGTTTCCATCTTACACTTCACTGCAGACAGCACTGCAGGTGCTTTCTCACGAACCTACAACTTTCCAACTTCTTCTCGCAACCCAGCAGTAAGTTCCCTTCACCGCATCTCTCGCTTTCAGATGTGCTTCTGCGGCCGTCTGGAACGCTCTTCCTTGCGATATTGGGAAGCCACTGGAACTACATGCACTTTTCAATCTCGATTGAAAACTCATTTCTTTAGAACTGCTTTTTTGTTTGGTTAGTTACCCTTCCCCGTACTTCCAATTGGTACGGTTGGCTACGTACGGTGCGAAAGAAGTTCAACGTACTGTACATACATACAAGCCGGATCCTGGTGATTTAGAACCAGACGGTTGAAACCGGTCCATAGTTTTACTTAATTGATTGATGTTGGGGTAAAATCAATCGGTCTGAAAACACAATCGGCAGACGGACTGGATGGATATACGGTATTTTTAATTACACTATATATCTGGAGACATAACACAATGAGTTTGTATACAATGGTAATTAAACTGCTTTTGATGGTTTACACTGCTCATTACTTTAATACAGTCTAAACATAAACGTCGTCGCTTTAATGTTAGCAAAAGCGGACTTTAAAACAAACGAAATTAACGAAAACAATGCGCGTACGTGGTGTGTAAATGATTAGCTCGTGAAATGTTGACTCGACGCGTGGCTCACACAGAGCCGGCACGAGGGAGGTGCCAAGGTGGGGGCTCCCCCCCTCCTCCACCCCCCCTCTCCACCCCCCCCTCCACCCCCCACACCCCCCACCCAGTTGGCACTCAGCTCTGGTGCCCCACCAAAGGCAAAGATGCCCCCGTGTAGTAGTAGCCTGTAACAGACACTTGTGGCAAGTGCTGTTGGCCACTAGCACCCACGAAGGACGGCACGGCACACGAGGGGGCGATGTTCACTCAAACGGCGCACCAGGTACTCGTTTAAGGTTGAGTCGACCTAGGGGAGGCCCAGGACCGGTGCAGATAATCGTCACTTGCTGTTGGTCGTGAACGGAAATCGAACTCGGGTCGCCGCGTTGGTAGCGCAGCACAGCGCTAACCGCTGCACCACCGCTCCCCACAAGACAAAGATCCCCCGTGTAGCCTTAGCAGACTGTAGGGGCAAGTGCTGTTAGCGAGAACCTATGAAGGCCGGCACGGCACACGAGGGGGTGGGTGGCCAGCACCACGACCGACCGCCTTTGTCTCCCCAGTGGCGATGTTTACACACACCGGACCAGATACTGATTTGAGGCTGAGTCGACCTAGGGGAGGCCCAGGACCGATTGAGACAATCGTCACCAGTGTTGGCCGTGAGCGGGAATCGAACTCGGGTCACCGGGTTCGTAGCGCAGCACAGCGCTAACCGCTGCACCACCGCTCCCCACACACACGCGCACGGGCACGCGCGTGCACACACAACCCACTCACTCCCAGCGAGATGCGGTGACTCATTAACATTTGGCGGGGGGGGGGAGTTACGCGGTTCAGTTTGCGACGTCGCGTTTGCAATTCGATGTTAAAAACGTATGACGCCCTGACAACGATTGTTTAAGGGCGCTTTATAAATGATTATTATTGTGATTCTGTCATGGAAGCTGGCTTGTAAGTGTGAATGTTCGTAAGTGTGAATGTTCGGAAGTCGGGTGTTCGTAAGTCGGGTGTCCGTAAGTCGAAGACTAATAGTCGTGCTACCCCACGAAAGCTGTTGCGTGGCTCACAAACGTAAAACATGGACGTGCACATGTACACGTCTTGCCATTATGCTGAAAATTTAAAACCAAGAAGTGAGCGCGCAGCCGAAGGGAAACATTCACACCCACGTTCCTGGTGGGAGGCCGCGCGTGGTCTTTGCACAGCATCCCCAAGAAGTCGCCCACCTAGGGGAGCTGACCACGTTTCCTCGGGCATCAAGGCTGCTTCACTCTGACCGCAGTCTCCAACCACTTCCCTTCGTGAACGTACACGCTCACCACGTGGCTAGCAGCCCGCAGCGATGCGGGCAGCTGCTTTCAAGTCAGCGTGCACTCGTCTCAGAAGGACATCTGACCTGTAAAGTGTGTATAGTCAACAAAATATGACCATTTGCAGACAGCCCATGATCAATCAGTCCACGGCTGGATGAATGCTTCCGCACGCCACGTCGTTCATGGGGGTCGTTCGGTCATAATTCACTTTGGGGTTTGTCACCTTTGTGGCACAAAAACAGCGGGGCATATTACGGGCAGAAGAATATCCTGCATTACCAGAAGATACATTGCCTTGAGTGGTGTATCACGATACAGCTGGCAACATCCGGGGACTTTAAATGTCCCAGGAATACTTATACATTGCCCAGGACAGCTGACCTAGGAAATGTATTTTGCACAACCATATTCACCACACTTCTCGTTTGGGTTGGTGAGGAGAAAAGTGAAGATCTACAACCTGCATTCAACCTAAAGCAAGACCATGATTGTTATTACAATTTTTATTTTATTTTACTAGGTAAGGCCCACTGAGCTTTATCGCTCTTTGTCATCAGCAACCTGGCCACAAATGGTAGCTCAACGGAGTGCCTCATCACGTGGACATTTAAAGCGGCCAAATACTCTAAATGCATGTTGATTCTAAATGTAGAGGGGGGAAATCGGAGGACCCAGAGAAAAATCGGAAGTCATGCACACTCCAAATATACACGCCGCCGCTGTATTAACCAGGGGCAGTAACCCCTTTGTGTTACTGTATGTATTGGTGTTCATAAATATGTGTTGCCTCCACAGAGTAAGTCTGCGACTCAGTTGAATCCACTACACATTTCATCTCCTCGCGCTTCAGTGATTCCCTGCAGGTTCTCTTCAAGGAGCATAAACCATCATCACGCAAACTCCGCTCATCCTCGCAGCAGCAGCTTTTGGCTCACCATCGAACAAAGACGGTTCACCGCATCGCACGCTTTCAGACGCGCTTCTGCGACCGTCTGGAACGTTCTTCTTTCCGATATTAGGAAGTCACTGGAGCTGTGCATTTTTCAATAATCTCGATTGAAAACTAATTTCTTTCGACCTGTTTTTTGTTGTTGAGCTTCTTCTCCTTCTCCCGCACCTCCGATGAACACGGTTGGCTACGTATGGTACGTATGGTACGAAATAAGTTCAACATACGCGTGTATAGAAGTTATGAAACGGCTGCAGAAACTGATCTGTGCCACGGGTGGTGACAATTGACCACTAAGCCGCCGCTGGCTGTTGAAGATGAACATTTTTTTTGCATCGTCATGGCTTGTGAAGGCGAGCGGGGATGGGGCAAAGTGACTTTACAACTGACAATTGTTTTCCAAAGCTGCGCCATATAATAAAACTATCAATGAAAAATCTTATTTAATATTCAGGACTACGTACAGAAGTTCAACATATATGCGTATGTTGAACTTCTTTCGCACCGTACGTAGCCAACCGTGCTAATCGATTCCGTCATGGCGGTAATCGATTCGGTCGTGACGGTATTTTAGCAAGCTCTTGGGAAGAAAAAAACGAGCAGAGGCAGGAAAAATGTTCCATGTACTTAGGGTAATGAAACAACTGTGTGGACTATTTGTGTGTTTACCAAATATATATAGAAACCACCGAGTTTCAAAAATGTAATGTCTCAAAACAATGTCATGGGCAAACACGGGTCTCCAACCAGAGACTAAATGATGTCTTCTAAATGTAAGGAACACTGTGCCCTTTCTCACAATACACAACATTCAGGGGGCTGATTGCAGAGTGTAGAAGCAACACGTGAAAATACTCCAAAGGCAACGCCGATTAAGTCTGTTCTAGGTAACATAGTTCAGCTTTTCACCTTTGACTGCAAATTATAAAAATTATTACGAAACTTAAGTAAAAAAAATGTTTACTGGGGTTAGGGTCACACAGCCATTACAATCAACTCTTTCTAGTGTGAAAAGGAATTTATTCAGAACTGCTTTTTTGCGTCTACTTTGTATTCCTTCCCCCCGCACCTCCGATTAGCACGGTTGGCTACGTACGGTGCGAACGAAGTTCGACATACATACTCGACCTCAGAACTCAACTTACCGACTTCCACTTCACAGCTGCCCTGGGTCCAATAACGCAGCGCAACAATTGCAGCGAGTCCAAGTCCTCCCGTTCATCCCGAGTCCCACGGACGCACGGAGCTCTTGAGACCCACGGGAGGGAAGGATGCACGTGCGGAGTCCACGGATGGCGCGTTCGCAGGTGCAGCGGCGGGGGCGCTCCTCGCGTCGTGCCGAGGGGAGTTTCGCAACCCTCGAGCAACTTCCTCCTCTCGCCACTCAAACCCGCAAGCCACCCAGGACGGGGGCCTTACTCAACAGAAACGCAGCAACCGCCGCCCCCCCCCCACTTCCAACGTTGTCGGCTGGAAAGTTCCTTTATAACCGGGCAACATTTTTTTTGTATGCCAAGAATTGGACAAAATGAAACATTGGTCGTATGTGCTGTATATATGTTGGACCAAAGAAACACTGATGTACCAGCAGACGGAGAACGCAGGAGACACTTCCTCTGTAGGACGTGCAAGTATGTATGCCGAGCTTCTTTCCCACCGTACGTAGCTCCAGTCGCTTCCTATTATCTGCAGGATGCCACCTGTCTTGATTTCCCCAGGACAATCCACTTTGAGGTGAGCATTAAACGTTCAAAGTCCCAGTTTTATCACGTGGTTCTCCCCTCTTCAGAGGCGAAGACCATAGATGCAGTGTGTGCACACCAGGACTGGATGCCACTTTCATGTGAAATCAGCCCACGTCAACTTAAAAGTCGCATCTACCTTTCCTCCGTCGATAGATTATGTTTTGATTGCAAAGTTGAAGGGAAAAATAACTATGAAATTACTCATTAGTAATGCAATAAAAAGGCGTCTTGATGTTTTTTTTAATTAACAGTTATTAAAATACTTGTAAAAATGTAATAAAACAAAGTGATTAAAAGCAATGTAGAATTTAATAATGTGCAGGGAAATTGTGGCTATAAATACAGGGCAATGTGGAAGTTAACAAACTTGTGGTTTTAAAAACTATTAAAATGAGGTTAAGAAGCCATTCAATCAAACTAAATTACTGTATAATGTAGTGCACAACTTATTACGCCTGTGCTCTTGATTTAAAATTTCTGTAGATTTTACATCTCACATAAATTGGTGGGTGTCAGGTTCTTATTGATAGTGCGTGTTTATGTGACAATCAGTGACCCTGGTATTGTACTAAATACCCATGATACCTGGAATGATGGCAACTCGAGTTCATGGATATGAAGTGCTCTTCGTGTAATCTTTACAACAGCAATACCAATACCACGGCAATGCCTAGAAATTTCAGGGTTAAGATGACTTGGAATTGCCTATACCTCAAGATTTTACTCAATTGAGGGATGTATTAGATGGGTCAATACTCGGTATTGACATTACAGGAAAGATTATTATGCACCATCATCATTCTTAATTATGCCACCATTCATGAGTGAAGTCACAGGTTAATGCCACAATCCCAATTGAGTAGTTTGTGGGTTATTTTACAAATTTGGACAAAAATAATGGCACACAATGGCCGACTCTTGTGAATGACATCACAGGATCTTTCACATCCACTCTAAAGCAGACAGCGTATTTGTATGGTTATTACATCCGCAGTATTACCCAGGGCGGCCACTGGATTCAAATCGTGAAACTGCGCACCAATCCAGGAACGCAATCCAATATGCCCACATTACTGCCCAAATTCTGACACACAAGCATGTCACCTTTGGAAAGTACAAATATTTTCCAGACGATGGCTATCTGCTCATCCTTGCACATGCACCCACACATACACACGCAAGTGCACGTATACAACATTCATTGCATTGAAGTTATTTTGTCAAATATCGATGCCTTCAGCAGAACCACATTCTCAAATAAAACAGAATTCTCAGTCTTAGTAAAGTTATTCAGAATTGTTTTTATTTTATTTGTAATTATTTAAAGACCATAAAAGCAAGGTCAACACAACATCAACTTATCCATAATATAGGCACACATACCTCTACACCTGTGTGAAATCGTAAGAATCACGCACCGCTGGCTCTACTCATCTCACCAAGCCAGGATTACCCGCCGCCATTCAACATCTTTAAATCAGTTCACTGGTACATTCAGCAGTGTAACATACACACAGAGGCCAAAAATGCATTTGTTTTGCCATAGAAATGTGGAGTCCGCATTTCTAGAATCCCGTCTTATATTTCGAACGCAATCTCATTCATAACGATTCGTTCGCTGAAACAGTGTTAGACGTCTTGAGTAGATTTTTTTTTATCCTTGTTTTTTTACTCTATATTTTGGGGGTTTTATAAGCAAAGTTACACCGATGATGCTGCTTTAGTTATGCAATGAGGTGAAGAAATGTTCTCTTGAAACACAACGAGCGGAGCAATCCATCAAGTCAGGAAACAGCCCCTAGACATGACACCACAGAAGCACTTCCTGAAATGATGCCAATAACTCTTTCATTCCCAATACAACATGGCACTCGTTCGCGTTTGTAAAAAATACTGTTTACTGCACATTGCTCACTCCATATACCTAGAAACTTCAAGTGGCAGAGCCATGATAAACAAAATTAATAGTATTTTTTTATGTTCCTGCAATAATAGGTGGTCTGGCTGATACCATTAAACCCATTACACTTGAAATCACGGTTTGATCTGGGATGGCTTCCACCAAAATTTTAACCAATAATTCTCAGCATTGCTGGGTCTGTGTGCTGACCGCAATTATGAGCCTCCTGAACCACCTTGGCCCACTCAGCTAAACTCCGTGAAGGCAACCCACGTGCCCTGCAGACACAATCGACCATAAGCTGGTGGGGGGGGGTGTGGCAACTGGCAACTTCAGACCCTGATGTCAAGTACTCAAGTGCACCATCGGGTGGCCAGTAAGGCACTGTGCACTGCTGCGCGGTGGCGCTCACAGCTTGCTCTTCCACTTTCCCTCCTCTCCTTCTCCCACTCTGACTGCAATGGCAACAAAAATAATTGAGAATTCGTTACCGGGAGCAACAAATGCCACACGCGTAACACGGACGTGCGTGCCTACACGAATACACAGCGGGCATAGACACTGGCGAGCGAAGAGTCAGGCGTGGTGGTGCATGCCTCCAATCGAGCACTGCGGAGGCAAGGCTTGGTGGCTCACGTAGAGATTTGTGAAACTCACAAACCCCACTGGGCTGTGGGGTTGCCGTGAGTTGACAGCACAACAAGTGGGTTCGTGAACCTATCGGCATGAAGCGAGGAGCGTCTTCTCCATGATTGGGTTTACCGGGATACTACTTTAGTTTCTTCTCACATTTCAAACGCTCATAAAATGTTAACGGCCACATATCCCGATGCAAGCACCTCCTGAAAAAGAGTTGTGAGACTTGGGCATTCTTGTGTAAATAAATAACATGAATTAAATATATTCAAAATTACATGAGCTAATTATACCATGAACACTTTATAACAGATGCATTGATTTAACTCTTCGCGAACATTATTAAAAGCACAAATGCAATATAAATGTAAAACAGAACACCGATATCAACACACACAGGAACAAACAGAAACACAAGACTATTATGGACATGTGGGTGCTGTTCTGTTGGATGTAACCGCATTCTAATCAGTTTCCTCTCAATGCGTCGTTCCTCATTTCTACAACACAATTTGAGATGTTAGTTGACAAACCCAGCGCCCGAGAAATCAACATGTCAAGAACAGCCCGGATGACAGTGATGTGAACTGGACAATGTTGAATGGAATTCCCATCGATGCTGGACCCACGGGACACTCACCGATTGTGCCCTCCTTCTCCAACTTCTTGAGATGCTGGTGCAGGTTCCAGGATGCTGCCTTATACAAGTGTTCAGGAGTGTCCTAACACACGAAACAAAGGTCGTGAACACACGCGTGTGTAGTGGTATAAGTGTGTTGTGTGCGTTTGTGTGTGTGTGTTGAATTTCAGAAAATGGTGCAATGACATGGTGTAATATAGGTCATACGTTTGTATGTATTTTTGCGGTAGTGTGCTACGCACCCGGCGATCCGGGTTCAATTCCCGCCCACGTATGCGTGTATGTTGAACTTCTTTCGCACCATACGTCGCCAACCGTGACGATTATTTGAACCGGTCCTGGGCCTCCCCTCGGTTGACTCGGCCTCAAATGAGTACCTGATGTGGTGTTTAAACATCGCCACTAGGGAGCCTGTGTGTGCTGTGCCAGCCTTGATAGGTGCTTGCTAAGAGCACCTGTCCCAACAGTGCGTTGAGGCTATACGGGGGATCTCTGTATTTGTCTATTTTGCATGTGGGTTTAGGCGTTGGGAAACAGTTGTCTCCAATTCTGGCTGTTCTTGTCCGGCTATCAGAACTACACAAGTCTCTCCCGTCACCATCCGTCCACAAGCATTCGCTCGATTACGCATGTACTATTCAGCTCTGTGTTAATCCACTGAAGGTTTCCCCACACTGGTCGGTCATGCAGGTTGTTGGCCCACAATGCACCACACTGACCAATCGCGTCCATGTGGCGCTTGGGCAATATGTTCCCTACCCCTGCTTTAACAGGTGCTCCCCAACATAACTCTTAAGAGAGAGTTTCACAACAAGGATGCTATACCAGGGCTGCAATGGTTACCACACCGGACTTGCAATAAAGTATTGGGTATGGCGACCCAGCTCTTCCAAGATGACTGGCCAGCGTGGAGGAGTAGGCCAAGATACCCTTTAGAGAGGCTCTCTAGACCCATCTCTCGTGGAATCCCTTCTGCCAGCGGTGGCATGAGCAAGAGGCTGCACCTTTACCCTAACAGGTATATTACACCATCCAAACGATTAAGAGACTTACATGGGCTTGGGCACGACAAGTCGCGAGAAAACACGCTGGGCAGTAGTCAAGAATAATGTCGGAGTGGCAGAGGATATCGGCAAAGGAGACAGAGCGATGTAGATGCCAGGTGAATTGCTACGCAACGAGATGGCGAGAGGTGACTGCGCCTTGAGTAGGAGGCCTTAATCCAGCGGTGGATCGATTGTGGCTGGCGATGGCGAAGGGAGAAGCCAGGCCTCCCCACCCTCGTCGCTGTGTCGTACCGTGTACACGAGGCGCACGAGCTCCTCCAACGAGAGCTCTTTCCCGGCGTGGGCGCCGACGACGGACATCACCGCCCGCTCGCGTGCCTGCCGGTGTGACACGTAGCTGCGGATTTTCTCCTGCGCATCCTGCACCACCGGCCCGTGGCCTGCGGGAGACACAACGGGTACGACTTGAAGTCGCGCGCAATTTGACGAATCGTCGTCAGCTTCAGGGCCAACGTTTGAATCGACAATCGAATCCCAGGGACACAGTTTCCCAGGACAGTCTTGCAAACTATACTCATCTTGGACTTGTGAGTTCTCACCTGGTTAAACAAAGTCGACTTGAGCCTGAACTGTGGTGTTCAGGGTTAGGCCGTATGTTGAGCATGCCAGCAAAATCCTTTAATCCACCACATGCGGCTCTATCGAAGGGGCATAACGTAGAACACACCATCACAGGACCAAAAAATAATGAATGTCTCCCGTGCTGTGCCGAAAACTGTCAATATATACACACACTTATATGTCAACTTGACTCTTTGCAAAATTCATGGGTACTTTTTGGCTCTTGGTCTGTTCCAGGTTGGCCACCCCTGTGCTAAAATGTAATATTCTGTCACGTTTGGACCGTCTCGTTTGTATTGTCTCACTTATTTGGTGTCGATAGTACCGTACACGACTGTTCGCAAGGCCGGATTATGGACCGGGCCAGTGGGGCCAGTGTCCCGGGGCCTCGGACTGCCAGGGGGCCTCCAAGCCTCAGGCCTGCGCGCGGTGCGTGGCCCAAGACTTCCGAAGGAAGTTGAACACCAGGGCCCTCAGTGCGCACAGGGCAAGCTGACCACGAGGTCCCTGGGTGCTTATAGCGTGAGCTCACAACTAGGGCCACCCAGACCCCTCAGTGCTTACACAGTGAGGGCCCTCCAGACCCCTTGGCGTTTAAAGCGTGAGCTGACCACTAGGGCCCCTGGGCCCCTCAGCGCTTACAGTGTGAGGGCCCCGAGGCCGCTTGGTGTTTAAAATCGCTGTCCAGCACTCAGTGGAGTGCTCGGGCAGAGTCAACCATAGAAATTACACCCACATTAGAGAGGCTTTCGGTGGTATGTGCAATGATGATAATGAGAAAAGAGATCCTCGAATTGAGGCCGCTGGACTATGTGCTAAATTGGACACCTTAGAGATGGTGTTCATGGCACATTTCTGGGACGTCATACTTGACCGGTTCCACGCTACAAGCATGCACCTACAGAAAAGTGACATTGACATCTCTGTAGCAGCGCAGCTTTTGTCTTCGTTGAGGGATTTTGTGGTGGGACAGCGAGACCAGTTTGAGGCTTTTGAAAGAGCAGCCTTAAATGTGACAAGTGTCTCTCAGTCATATAAGTACGATCTTCAGTGAAAGAAGAAATACAAAACATTTGCAGATGAGAGCTCAGAGCCAGGTGTGACACTTGAGGGGAGGGAGAAGTTCAAAATAGAAACATTTCATGTGGTCATTGATAAGCTAGTGGCATGCCTTGAACATCGCTTGGACGCTTACAAGCGTTTGACCAGTCTCTTTGGAGTTCTGTTTATGTCAGATCAGGTGTCTAACAGTGATGTCATAGTGTAAAAGGTAAATGCACTCTCCGCTGCATATCCATCAGACCTGGACATGAACCTTGCCAACGAACTCTGAGGGTGAGAAGTGCCCAACTAAATTGCTTGAGACGTTGCAGGCATCTTAATCTGCAGTCAGTGTTCCCCAATGTTTTTGTGGCACTTCGGATTTTTCTAACTTTGCCAGTGACAAACTGCCAGGGTGAGTGGACATTTTCCCTTTTAGGCAAAATAAAAAATGAGCTGCGGAGTAGCACGTCCCATACACGTCTCAGCTCATTGCCACTTATGTCAATAGAATCAGACCTTGCCAGACAGCTAGATTTTGACGATCTAGTGGATGATTTTGCGAGGAGGAAGGCAAGACAGACACCAATATAGTAAAGTGGGGGGGGGGGCCTCCAAAAGACATGTGCTCAGGGGCCTCACGGGACCATGATCCGGCCCTGACTGTTTACCCCATTAGCATAAATCTAACGTGGGCATATCACTTGCACAAGCTGTAACTGACCAATTCTCACGCGTACACTTTGATGCATTTATGGCGAGCATTGTCAATTCGATTTCTATACTTAAATCCGCAGGCTACATCTGTCCAGTGTCCGCCTCCTCCTCGTCACCCCACACCACCCAACCCCCCTTTCTTGTCTGATGCCGAGAACGCGATTTGTGCTTTCAGCTGGACACGTTCTACTCTGCATCAACCTCCGCTCGGTGGGAGCTCACTTCTTCTTCTTATCCTCCTCCATTGCCCCCCCCTGCCGCCCCACGTCTCCCACTCTCCTCTCCCCCTGTTTAAGTTTATGCTTACACCTTTGCGAGCACCTCCTGCCTCCAATAGACCTTTCACTTTTCAGAGACACCGACCCTGTTTGTTGAATCGTTGTCCGGTTTGCTCCTCTCGCGGCAAGAAAGAATACCCCCAAACGTACGGAACTGAACACAAATTGACCCGACTGTGAACACCTCCATGGCTTATTGCTACCCTGCTAATATCTGCCCGTACATCCCCCTTTTCTGATGACTGCGCATTGAGACACAATTAAATTTCGATGCGATATACAGGCAACTCCACACTGTGATATTTTGCATTTATGAATAACTATGAGAAAAAATAAAACGTATGCATAAAACACAACGAAGTTTATCTTCTTCCTTGGCCACAAGTCCCATTATTGAATAGGGTCAGCTGCTCAGGTCGCTCTCTCTATGCTCTTGCCTTTAGCATCACGGTTCAAGGCAGCATCCAACAAGCATGACCCTGCTGATGAGCCGCAGGAAGTAGAAATCTTAAGAGTTTGCTGGAACTAACCCTATTGCAAAAAGTTGGCGTGAAATTGCCCAAAGGTCGATGGAATAAATATTTATTCCATTTCTAAGGGTGACGAACCATCGTCTGTACATGCATGCATGCATAAAAGGGACAAGCTAACCATGTGATTTCTCAGCAGCCTGTTACATCGTTAGGCTAATGAGCTTAGTTTATTTACCATCCAGGGTCTGGATGGGCAACCGCCATGCATGTCAAGTGGTATAGGCTACAAAGTGCAGGGTGGCAGGAGAGGGGGCCGCACAGAAAATTACACTGTTGTACTGTGCTTCTATGCCCCATGTCTAAGCATCTTAGACATGGGGCATATACGATGCATCAGCATAAGCCGTACTAGGCTTTGGCAACAGTGGTCTCTCCGTTCACATTCCCAGCTCCCTTATCAGTGCTCGACAGCCTGACCTGAGCTCACAGCTCATACGGCCCTAACTCACTCGCCCACAATGGGGAAACAATGACGCGGACCCTTCAGCAGGCTTGTGAAAGAAAGAAAAACCGCGGTAAGTCTGGTCAGCATTTTATTTCAAGCTCACAAGGCTTTGGGGGGTGGGCACTTCCGTCAAAAGCCTGGCACACAAATGCCCTTCGTGTGAATCGGGCTGTATCAGACGGTGAGCAGCACCAAACCGCCAGGGGCTGGGCACTGTCAAGGGATACATCAACCCAATGCGTGTATCTCAATGCCTCTATTGTGCACACGTGACGTGCATCGCAGTGGGATCTTTACAGAAAACACGACACAAGCCTTGACACTCTTTCTCAGAATCGTGCCGTTGGGTGGCAAGTTTGGCCAATTTGTGTTAAATAAGTGTTTGTGTATCAGAACATACTGGAGTATCCAGCGGAAATTCGTCACACGCCAGGAGATAACAATCAAAGGGCTGTACAGATAGTTTCATGAATGAAGTTGCTCTCCTGGCATCTCCTGGTCACCATGTAGCCCAGCAGATTTGAGCATTTCAGGGATCTGTCATCCACCAACCCTTGCCTTCTAAGCAGTGGATTAAACATGTCCACCACTGGGCCCAGCATCTCTCTCTCAGTCTGCCTGTTACTTTACTGTGATCTCCATGGCGCTTGAACCAATGTTTGTTCGGAATGCTTTGGCTTTCTCCCACACACAGATAAACCGGATGTATAAAAGACGATGGGTATTATTTCCAAGTTGAGATCAGGGCGAGACCAACTGGATATCTGCCAACTTGGCATCACGGTCTGTTTGATGTGGCTACAGTAAATATATGATTGCAATGATAGTTTTGCAACACTTGCTGGTGAATAATGTGAAAAAGGTTCAACATGTCCAAAATAACATTCATACATATGCAAAATAGTCATCGTTTGTGCAATTAGCTGCACAGTGAGATTGGTGAAAAGCAATAAGGTGGGCAAATATTCACATCTCTCTGAATGGCATGGTATTGAGGCATAAATATCAGGCAATTGTCTGGGCAGTATTGCAAAATTATGTCCTTAACATGGCTTATGGATATCCTCCAGTATAAATACATTTTCTGATTCTGATTATGGGTATCACTGGGTATGACGATGCAGGACGTGAGTTTGACTGATATGGTGTTTGGCGTACTGATCAGTACCATGGTACAAGAGAAATTTGATGAGCCCCCTGATAGACTCCTGCCAGGCGGCACGTCCCACTGGGCAAAGACCCCGGGGCCAGCCCAGGACACGCTGCTGGTGGGACTACGTTGCTCGGCTGGCCTGGGAACGCCTGGGAAATCCCCAGGAAGAGCTAGAGTCTGTCTCCAGGGAAAGGGAGGTTTGGACCGCCACTACTCAACGCGCTGCCGTAGCGACCCTCGCCAGACTGAGAAACGAACGAACAAACGATTGTATGAAGTAGATATTTTTTCAACGTCATGGTATAATATCCCGTACTTTTGAGTTTCATGGTATTGCATTATTAGTGACTGCATTGACATGAAAGTACACATGGCATACTATGTTTAATTGGAATTAATTTTATTCAACTTCATTTCATACAGTACCTTATCATGATAATTGGCATCTCAAAGCACTTTACAATGCCATATGCCCTTTCAGTGTCATGCTATCACGTTAACTGCTCACAAAGAAATTGGAATAAAATCTGAACAGTGCGTGGCAAGTCGAGTAAATTCATGAGGAGTGGGGGAGCGAGGCATCGGCATTTATGTCGCGCCCCTTGTGAATACCGGGCCCCCCCCAGGGAAGCTGATAGTCCAGGCCAGCAGTGACCGGATTTAACGAGCTCCGACTGATACAAATCTCGGTCTCGCCGCCAACTGCAGCTCTGACGTCCTGGTGCCCTGGGCCCACACTTTGGGTTCTAGAGCTTAAGGTCGAGGCTCCGTCGGCAGCCGAGTGCCGTTTCATCAGCATTCCCGCTCGCGTATAAACTCACAGGCACGCGTACGTGTGCGTGACACCCGCGTGTCCCCTGGGTGTCGGTGGTTACCGGGGTATATGAGCTTGGGCTTGAGATTAAGCAGCAGGTCGAGCGAGCGCATGTACGTGTAGAGGTCCTCGAACACGGCCGTGCCCTCGCCCAGGATGCAGTCGCCCGAGAAGACTGAGCCCTCCTCCTCCAGCAGCAGCACCATGTGGTCGTCCGTGTGTCCCGGTGTGTACACCACCCTGCACGCGCGCCGCACCGCCCACGCCAACCAGTGCCGTCGGCGGTTATTGTGGGTTCTCGCACACGCGCGGAAACCGAACTCACTCCGGCAAACGACGCCGATTGCTTACCGGAGCGTGGCTCCCTCGGTGGTGATGACGTCGCCATCGCGCAGGAATGTGTACTCCAAGCCCTCACTGCCCAACACCTCCTCGCGCCGCGGCGGTACTCGCGGTAGTTTCGACAGCCGCACGCCGGCACCTGCACTCCACCACCACCACCGCCGCCGCCACCACCACGTTCACCATCACCATCCACCACATCACGGCAAAACTGGCTACACTGCCAAAGTACTCACCCGCACACCATTGTCACCTTTACAAATACAGCTGCGTGCCTCAGAGAGCGAATGCCATGTAAGTGTACCGAGCTGGCACCGGTATGTATGTATACATGTTCAGCTTCTTTCGTACCATACGTAGTCAACTGTTTTAATCGGAGGTGCAGAAAGAATGCCGCGTTCCCATGGCCACTCGGAAGGGAACCGGCTTGGCTCACAAACCAGGCAAGTGCTCTCAGCATGGATCCCCATGTTGGCCTTACCGGGTCAATGCCAGCACCAACTGGGCCAAATGGTACATGTTTTGCTGGTTGTTTGGCTTTCTTTTCTAAGGGATTACAGGTGGCCGCAACATTTTGCCTCCTGAAGGCAGGAAACCCACTACATGCCACACCCAGAGCCACGCGGCTAATGATGCCGATGGCATCACCAAGTCCCGCACATCACCTACCATCCAGCGGCACACGTGGGAACAGTTGAAAAATGTTTCCAGCTATTTTCCGTGTTATCCCATTAGTTAAGTAATGTAAATGACAATCGATAGCATAATTAATGATTTCAATAATCAAATAGTTCATCTTTGCGCAAGACCAGTTTTTCTCTACCTCCTCGTGGTGCCGGACGGGCAACGCTGTCGTGGGCAGTGCTGTGGGGGGAGGGCCAATTCCGTTTGGACTTTCCCCTCATGGTGTTTGTGACCACCACAGCGGCCAAAAGGAGGCTCTGGACAGGTGCAAGGGGCTGATAACCTCTCCACCTTCAATTAATTACCGCTAAACCACGACGGAATTTGTTTATTAATAAGCTTGTGCCGGAGGCCCCGGGGGGACAGGCATCTATGATGTCTCCTGGCCAAACCCCATTTGGCGGAGCCAGGAGACTGAATCCTTACCCTCAGGGCTCCTCCAGAAACAACAACAAACCACGTGTGGCCATGTGGAATGTTTGAACACTCACTGCGGAGGAGAGGCTGCCACTCCTCTGTCAGAAGCTGGACCGGTACCGCCTAGATCTCTGTGGTATTCAGGAGGTCCAGTGGACCGGCTCTGGCTCCTGCCACCATGAGGGGTAGACAGTCCTCTTCTCGGGGCAGGAGACTGCCATGAGGTGTGGGAAGCTGTAAGCCCCAGACTAATTTAGGCTCGCCTTCCCATCAACCAGAGGCAAGGAGTGGTGGTCATGGTTACTTATGCACCCACTGAAGACGAACATCCCTGGAGGGATGCCGGCAAGGTCGTTGAGTCAGATGCCTTCTATAACCTCGTGTCACAGGTGCGAGCTAAAGTGGCCCCTCGGGATAGAGTCATCTTGTTGGGTGACTTCAATGCCCGAGTTGGTCATGATGCTGGCTCCTGGTCTGGAGTGATTGGAAGGCATGGGCCAGATCAGCTCAATAACAACGGCAGGAGGCTGCTAGATTTTTGTGCAGCCCATGGGCTTGTAATTACCAACACGCTGTTCCGGCATCGGCGCATCCACATATCATGGATGCATGCCGGGTCCAAGCAAGAACATCTGCTAGACTACATAGTGACGGAACAGCGGATGCGGGCCCATGTCCTTGACACCAGGACCTACCGTGGAGCTGATCTGCCTACTGATCATGGAGGTTTACCACAGCCTTCGCTCAGAGGTTCGGAGAGCCGTAAGGTGCTGGAAGGATGGGTGGTGGTCGCGGGTTGCTGAGATGGAGTCTGCCTCAATGGCCCGTGATCACAAATCGCTTTAATTCCATCAAAAAGTAACCTGCAGCGCCACACCTATTACCATAATTAGGGGAAGGAACGGTGATCCAATCTCCGACCCCCAGGAACAGGTTTGCAGATTTGCTGAGCATTTCTGTTAGGTCCTGGGGAAGGGGACATCCCTCAGCCTAGATAACGTGGGACAAAGTGGGGATGACCCTGCCGAGGCTGCGGTGCCTCAAATATTGGAAGTCACCCCCTGTGAGTGGCTGGCTGAGGTGCCATCTGTTGATGAAGTACTGCAGGCGATCCAAAGTCTGAGACCAGGAAAGGCACCGGGCAGATATGATCTCCCAAGCGAAATGCTGAGGGAGGGTGGCGTTTGTGCACAGACTGCCCTACATGACATCATAACAGTCTGGACCACTGGACGGGTTCTGCAGGACGGGTTCCGCAAGACGGGTTCTGCAGGACTAAAACGATGCCCTGGTGGTCCCCCTCTTTAAGAAGGGGGAGCGCACAGACTGTAACAACTAAAAGGGCATCTCACTCCTCAGTGTGCCAGGAAAGGTCCTGGCATCGCCTTGCTAGGCACGCTGAGGAGAGATTTGCGGAGCCCCCATGCGGTTTCAGGAAAGGGCGGTCCTGCACAGATGCCATATTTTCTGTCCGTCTGCTACAGCAGAGATGTAGGGAATTCCAATAAGACCTACATCTCTGCTTTATTGACCTGGTCAAGGCCTATGATACCATCAGTAGGCCTGGGCTCTGCATTCTTTTTGCTTACGGAGTCCCTGACCCTCTGCTCACGATCATCAAGGACCTTCATGATGGTGAGCGGGCCCGGGTAAAACTACGTGGCCGGGAGTCAGAGCCATTCCCTGTGCACCTTGGGGTGCGACAGGGATGTCCTCTAGCTCCCACATTATTTAACATCTATTTCGACCACGTAGTTCGTAAAGCCTTCAATAGCTGTACCGGAGGAATTTTCATCTGGTACAGATACAATGGGAGACTGATCGATGCCCGGGTGCGGTCAAGGGATGGCTCCCTATTGCTCAACCATGTTATGTATGCCGATGATCTGGTAATTGCTGCTCACTCAGAGGAGGAGTTGGAGGCACTGCTGCTGAACCTGGAGCCCCACCAAAACTAAGCATCTTCATGGGTATTTTGTAGCATCGGACACTGTACCCTCACAACTCCCAATTGGTGATGGGGTAGTTGTGGAGAGAGTGGAGAGTTTCCCATACCTGGGCAGTGTGCTCATGACCGGCTCCGGTTTAACAGCAGAGGTCTCACTCCGAATCAGTCGAGCGGCATTATCTTTTCATCGGTTGCGTAACGTTGCGTGGAAGCTCCCTGGTCTGTCACTCCGCACGAAGCTTCAGGTCTTCTCGGCCAGTCTTTCCATCCCTTCTCTACTCTTGCGAAACGTGGACCCACCTAATGGAACATCTTCGCCGGTTAAAAACATTTAGGCTGGCCTGCCTACGATCCATCCTGGGTTTAACCAGGCTGGATTGTGTGAGCTCACAAATCCTTGAAAGTCCCATCGGTGAGCTCCTCCGGCAGGCAAGGCTGCGTTGGCTGGGCCATGTAGCCCACATGCCCAGCCACCGCATGCCTAAACAGCTTTTGTTCGGCCGGATCGAGGGGGCTAAACGGGTGCGGAATGGGCGAGAGAAGAGATGGAGTGATGTGGTACAGGAGGACTGTGGAGCTGAGTGGACTTGCCAATGACTGGTACCAGCAGGTGTCAAGATCGGCCTCTGTGGAGGAGGCTCGTGAAGGACGCTATTAGGCAGTTGGAGGCAGTTGCCCTCCAACAACAACGGAGGGCGGAGGAGCGACGCTCACAACAATGAACAGAGAGCCGGGTGGCTAAAGCACAGCAAGTTGGCACAGTAGAGGGCACAGGTGGTTCATCAGCCAGTCGTCTCGGTCAGTCGACCTGTGGCACCTGGGTCTGCCTCGTGACCTCCTGCCAGCGGGCGTTCGACACTTCACGTGGCCTCAGGGTGCCCATAGCCTGGCACAAGCGTCGTGGTGATGTCACCACCGCTTAGTGGCGAATGGCGGTTGTTGTTTTTGTTGTGGGACTATGGAGGTGGGATTGGTGGATTATGCAGTGACCATGCAGTATGTATGTTGAACTTCTTTCACACAGTACATAGCCAAACGCACTCATCGGAGGAGATCACCAAGTTGATAGCAGTGCGCAAGACACCCACCTATAGGGACATTCAGGTGGTTGGTAAAGCAGATTACTGACCTAACTATGGACTTTATTGTGTTGTCATTCTTTGTGTTTTTTTCCTTATGGACACTCCGGTTTCCTCACACTCTCTCTCCATTTATACCCACTACACACGCACCGATGGCGAGGGCACGGCAGACATCGGAGATGCCCCCAACGTGGTCATGGTGCCAGTGCGTGAGGAGGATCTCCTGCACGCTGCTGCCCAGCTGCGCCAGTGCCGTCTGCAGGTTCGCCACGTACTCGGGAATGTTGGGCTCCCCCGTGTCGATCAGCACTCGCCTGCCGGTGTCAAGCACACGCACACGGGAGCACATTGCAGCGCCGAAACGAGAACGAGACAACATGCATACGCATGGATTCTGCCACGCTTTACAACAAGCGGTTCTCCGTGTATCCAATGAGCAATTGTTATGTTCAAACCGCACGACGCAATGTCACACAGTGCGTGCCATGTGACGTCGTGAGATGACATCACACGTGACAGCCATGATGACTGTCGGTACAGCAGCTGTTTGTGAGGCATTAGCAATTACAATCAGCTGTTGCTTTTCCTCAACATCTGCTTGAATGACACGAGATAAAAACACGATTATTGACAATGACCCAATGCTCTCTGGGTATGGGAACACTTAAACTTTTTTTACGTTTGTCATCAGAGCTTTGGTTCACAATTTATCAAGAGTCTGTTTGTATATTTGCAGTACAGCATATGCATGCATGCAGTCATACACATAACTAGTACAATACTAAGCACATCACTCGTACAAAACCATACTTCCAGATACACTGGGTAGCTTATGTACTTTGATTTCACGTTCCGTACTTTGGCCTGCTTTGATATGATGCAGCTGTGTACTCCCCATGCACATATCTGGTTAAAGTTTAAACGGATGATGCGGAGGTGGTGCCTCACTCCAGCCATTGTTGTGCGTAATGCTCACCACTCCATAAAAAAAAGGTGTAAAATCTATGTGAACAATAACTGTTACACTATTTCTGTACACGCACGGCCCTTTAGTGAATCCACGGTTGCATGAGGACCACCCCACGTCGTGTGGGTGTCACATCCCACCACCAGTGGCGGCTTGTCAATAGAGGGCGCTGGGGCGCCGCCCCCATCAAGATTCAAGAAATATACATATACAAAAATTATATAAAAATACATAAATAAAATATTTTTTTCATACTATGTGCCGGCTGGTCGTAAGAAAAGCATCAGCATTTAATAAAAACTGGCTTTAATCGGTCAACTATTTTCTATGTTTTTCAATGTGTTTCATGCGGGACGCCGGACAAATGGATGTCTATGTGAGACTTTAAATTTTCGGACAGCATGTGACCTGAAGCTGGTCTCTAATTGGTTTCTTAAAGATTCTCCTCAGGGCGCAAGTCGTTGCGTCACTGGCCAATCAGAATTGGATACATGTTATTTTATCCAATCTGATTGGTTCTCGTCACCTGTCATTCAACTTTACGCTCTGGGCCACTACTGCGAGTGCGCAGGCGACACCACTTCGACACTTGCTAGGCTGATCAAATTTTTTGTGTAAACAATGGCAGCAGTTCATCCAAATTCTGTAATTTATTTACAAAAAAACCCTTTCACAAGGCTTTCGCTGGAAGAAATAAAAAAGATAAAGGATCTCGGACCGGACCAACCCGATTTACAAATCCAGCAGCAGGCCAGTGACAGAGGACGAAGCTACACACGAAGCTTCACCCGCGCTTGTTATGAGAAACGGAGGTGGCTGGCTGGATGTGATGTTAGCAATTCTCTTATTTGTTTTCCCTGTCTTTTATTTCAAAGTGTCGGCACTGAAGTTTTGTGGACAACGACGGGGGTAAGAGACCTCAAACATCTCTCTGACAAATGCAAACGTCATGAAAGTAGCCGCAGCCATATTGATAATAGCATGACACTAACGTTTTTGGGCAGAGTTAGCATTGCTGAACAACTAGATGAAGGCTACAGGATTGGCATTAGAAGGCACAACGAAGAGGTGACAAAAAATCGACACATACTGTCCAGAATAGACTGTGTAAAATGTTGTGGAGCATTTGAGTTGACGTTACGTGGCCATGATGAGAGTGAGAGCTCAGATAACCCCGGTATATTTCGCGGGTTGGTGGATTTTGTTGCCTCTCTTGATGGAGCATTGAAAGAGCACCTTGACAGTGCTACTGTATTTAAGGGAACGTCGAAAGCTATACAGAACGAGCTACTGGACTGTATGTTGTCTGTTACAAGAGAAGAAATAATCAAAGAAGTCCAGACAAGTAGTTTTTTATCAATCCAGGCAGATTAAACAACAGATATTGCCACACAGTCCCAACTTGTGCTTGTGCTGAGCTACATCGACGACAAAAATAACGTGCAGGAAAGATTTTTTGAGTTCATCCCTCTGCAGTCAGCTACAGCTGAGTCGATTGCTACTGCACTAAAAGAGCGTCTTGCTTCTATCCTTCCTAAGGATCAGAAAAGTAAGCTCATCTGCCAGGCATATGATGGGGCCAGCGTGATGAGGGGTGCCACTGCAGGTGTTCAGAGAAAAATACAAGATGTGTACCCAAATGCCCACTACATCCACTGCTACGCACATCAGCTCAACCTGATAATGCAACAGGCCACGTCTCACATATCCAAGACGAGAACATTTTTTTCTAACATTGGTGGATTTGCCAGCTTTTTTTCTAAGTCACCCAAGCGGACATGTTTTCTGGATAAAGTGGTTGCCCATAGACTGCCAAGATCCAGCAACATCAGATGGAACTTTCATAGCCGTGCCATTAATACTGTTTTTGAGCACAGAGAGGATCTCATTCACTGTTTTGAGAGCATACAAAACTCAGGTGACTTCGACCCCAATACTGTCAGAGAAGCAGGAGCCCTGGCCATGCTACTGGAGGATGAGGATTTTAAGTTCTTTCTGGAACTTTATCACCACATCATGCCACATGTAGACTTCCTCTATGCCAAGCTCCAGAAAAAGAACATTGACTCAGTCCATATCAAAGTGAGCATCCAACAGTTCCAACAAGAAATACAAAAGATCAGGTAACTTTATTCCTGTAATATGATCATTATTTGCTTTCTCTTTCATTTTTAACTCTCTTTATCCTTTGCCAAATTTATAATAAATTATCTTTGTCCTTTGCAGAAACTCTCTCCACTCCATTGGTGAGCAAAGCAGTGGTTCTCGTCCAACAAAGAGGCGCCGGGCGCTCAGTTCGGAAGACCGTGAAAGGATTGCAGCAGAGGTGAGTTTGTTATAGAAATCAGTCAAAATACCATTTTACATTATTGTTGTGCTGCAGAGATGTCCTGCCTACATATCATATTCTACAGACTCAAGAAAACATTTTTAGTTTGGTATAAATCCTAACAAAAATCTTAATTTTAATATACAATAGCATCCCAAAAATAATAAATTGGCAACATAAAAATAAATGATCAAATGAAATTTGAAGCCACCAAAAACTACAGTCTTGTATGGGACAAAAACTCAAATGGCTCTATTTTTCTTTTGAAAGTAATTGCAACTGTGACAATTAGTGGTCTACTCCAGGCTACTACCTTACATTTATATATCTATTTGTTTAATTATCTCTATAGGTCTGTGACACAATCCTGGGACACACTAGGGAGCGTTTCTCCTTCACAGACCACCTTGTCTGTGCCACCTTGTTGCAGGGGGACAGGTTTGATGAGTACAAGGATACCTTTCCTGAAGATGCATTGAGCAGCACCATGAGAGCATACCCGATGCTCAGTGGAAGCAAGCTGAAGACGGAGCTCAGTCTCATCTACAGCAAGGAAGAGTTCAGAGCCTGCCGTGGTGCTGTGGACCTATTCCAGCTGTTTATGGAGAATAATCTCGAAGAAGTCTTTTCCGAAACTGTGACTCTCCTAAAAGTTATCATTACCACACCCATGACCACGGCTGAAGCTGAGAGGTGCTTCTCAACCTTGAAACGAATAAAAACTTTTCTCAGAAACACCATGACCCAGGAGAGGCTGAATGCACTGGCATTGCTGTCCATGGAAAAGAGACTTGTTACGGAGATGACTGACTTTAATCAGAGAGTAGTTGAGAAATTTGCTGGCCAGAAAGAAAGAAGAGCAAAATTTAGGTTCAAGTAGGAAACATGCTTTTTGGTACTTTGGTCTGAAATGTATATAAAAGAGAAACATTTATGTTCAAGTAGGAAACATGCTTTTTGGTACTTCTTTTGGTCTGAAATGTAAATAAAGATCATCAAAATTTATATTCAAGTAGTCAAAATGGTTTTTGGTACTGCTTTATATTTATTTGCCCCCCTCAATAAAATAAAAAAAGATGCGCCCCCCCCCAAAATAAATATCACCAGCCGCCACTGCCCACCACCCTGGTCAGTATTGGTGTGGTTTGTGACTGTTTTCGTTGTTTTTCAGCCTTGCCCACGCTGGCGTTATGCTGAAAAATCGGCAAGGAATTAATGTACCTGTGCAATTTGTACTTATGTCATTTATTTTGTTGTTTAACTTTGCTATACTTTGTACTTCTATCGTTCAAACTTGATTTGAAGCTTTCGTGACTGCAGGAATAACTCTTTGGTTCTTTCGGTAAAGTCACGAATGCAACACAAGCAATCATTATCAGGTAGAAAAAAACCTATTGTTTTATTTTTTACCTACCTGACTTTACCGAAAAACCTAAGAGTATGAATCCTTGCAGTCACGAAAGCTTCAAATCTACAAGCAATCATCATCAGTTCTAGATTTGAAGCTTATTATTTATGATTCTTTTATTTATTATTTATTTCTATTATTTCTTTCTATTATTTGTATTACTTATTTTTATTAGTTATTTTTACCTACGTGACTTTACCGGAAAAAAAAACCTAAAATTAATCATCATCAGGTGTGAAACCCACAGCAAGAAAAATTGGGAATGGAACCTCACGCTCGCTCAGCCAGGTGAGAGACCACGGGACCCCCGTGGTCTCTCACCTGGCTGTCTGTATCCCATTGTTCTTCACCAACTTGCAGACGATAAGACATCATCAGTGCCGCGGGTGGCCACACCATTTGAAACCACTGGTGGGGTTGACAGCAGCGCGATGAGGATGGCGATGGGAGGGGGGTGTTTTCGTCATGTGTGTATTGTCATGGGGCCTTGCGATGAAGACAACTGCAGTGCCCCCCCCCCCCCTACCTGCTGCCCGTGCCCACCAGGTACGTGTTGGTCCCCTGCAGAGTCATGGGCCCCGGGTTACAGCCCAGCACCCGGAACACCCGTGAAGACAGCTGCTCCAGCTTCGGGATAACCGTGGCCATCGCTAACGACTCTGTTCAGCAGCAGCAGCAGCAGCAGCAACAACTGCAACAACAACAACAGCAGCAGCAGCAACAACAACAACAGCAGCAGCAGCAACAACAACAACAGCAGCACAGCAACAACAACAGCAGCAACAGCCGCAGCCGGCGCGTCACGGGCGATGAAGACGACCGCGACGGTTGCGTCTCAACCAGATGATTGACGTGACGTCATCGCGCACGAGCGTGTTCCGACAACGTTAAAGTGACGTGCACAGTGACGTCATCGCGCACGAGCGTGCTCCGACAAGGTGAAAGGGACGTGAGCAGTGACGTCATCGCGCACGAGCGTTTTCCCGATAGAGTTTCAGTTTCATTTATTTGGTTGAGCCCTGCGAGCCGTTCGGCTCTTGAATCACGTCTATAATAAAACGCCCGTAGGCGATGACGTCACGGAGTGACGGAGTGACGTCATCGCCTACGGGCGTTTAATTATAGACGTGAAGACGTGGGGAGTGACGACATAACGCAACGCACCCCCTCTACGAAACCGTCGGTTCGCTTAATAGCAATGATGTCATCGCACGTTTGCTCTTGACCTACCGCGATGCGATGACGTCACTGCGCGTCGCGCGAGTCGCGTCCGATGCGATGACGTCATCGTCGCTATTGGTTTGCCGGTGACGTCACTATGTAAGTGCAGCACTGCAGTTTAAATGCCCGAGGTATGTAGCGGCGGCGCATGCGAGCATTGGTAGACGCGCTTCGTGATTTCCATTGTGGGGTGGCGTCCTCAGTATCCACAGAAGGGTCACTCTTCCCCCGTCATGGTCGTCATTGCCAGCGACAGCCATGATCTGTCCACTGCTGGGTGAACCGAAGGCCTCCATCCATCATCATCATCTCTCTCACGGCCACGTGCTGCGTTAGGATCCGTCCGGCACGAGCTCGTTCCATCGCTCCGTCTCCGCGGTTTGACGTGCTCTCGGGCACTGCGGTGGCTCGGAGATGTTAACTACCTCGCCTGGTGTGCAGGCGGTCGTGGGTTCCATCCCGACCCTGATGAGATGTTTACTACCTCGCCTGGTGGGCAGGAGGTTGTAGGTTCGACCCCGACCCTGATGAGATGTTAACTACCTCGCCTGGTGGGCAGGAGGTCGTGGGTTCGATCCCGACCCTGATGAGATGTTAACTACCTCGCCTAGTGTGCAGGAGGTCGTGGGTTCGATCCTGACCCTGATGAGATGTTAACTACCTCGCCTGGTGTGCAGGAGGTCGTGGGTTCGAACCCGACCCTGATGAGATGTTAACTACCTCGCCTGGTGGGCAGGAGGTCGTGGGTTCGACCCCGACCCTGATGAGATGTTAACTACCTCGCCTAGTGTGCAGGAGGTCGTGGGTTCGATCCTGACCCTGATGAGATGTTAACTACCTCGCCTGGTGTGCAGGAGGACGTGGGTTCGATCCTGACCCTGATGAGATGTTAACTACCTCGCCTGGTGTGCAGGAGGTCGTGGGTTCAACCCCGACCCTGATGAGATGTTAACTACCTCGCCTGGTATGCAGGAGGTCGTGGGTTCGATCCTGACCCTGATGAGATTTTAACTACCTCGCCTGGTATGCAGGAGGTCGTGGGTTCGATCCCAACCTCGATGAGATGTTAACTACCTCACCTGGTGTGCAGGAGGTAATGTGTTTGATCCCGACCCTGATGAGATGTTAACTACCTCGCCTGGTGGGCAGGAGGTCGTGGGTTCGATCCCGACCCTGACGCCTGCTGTGTATATGGAACTTGTGTGTGTCTCTCTCTCTCCCCGTGGTCGCGTGGGGTTTTCTCCGCTTCCTCCGGGGTTTTCCCTCCACATTTAAAATCAACATCCCGTGGTCAGAGTATGTTGTCTGCTATACGTTTCCACGCGATCAACCACTTCGTTGAGCTTTTATTTGTGGCTAGGTTGCTTTAGAAAAAGAACTACATCGTCTAGCTCAGCGTGCCTTACTTGGTCAAAGAAAAAAAATAGTTTTAATAAGTTAAATCAATTGTATGGCTTCATGCGATCCGATAGACCGATGAGGATGGTCATAAAACACGTCCAGTGTCGGCGGTATGGTGGTGAGGAGCGAAGGAGCCCTTAAACAACGGAGATGAAGGGGCCATGCAGGGTTTGTAGCAAGAGAGGAGACAAAATAGACAACAATGTTACGCGTAAATTTCACTAAAATTATTCAGAAACCTCGTTAAGTTAAGTTGATGCGGGCAAGCAACGCGTGCCGCCGCTACCCAATCCGATGTTGCATTTATCTTGAGCAGCGTGTTGAAGTTGAAACGTGTTCCGCCCTTCATTCATTAAAACCCAAACTCTGTGGTTCTTTCGGTGAAGTTACGGCGATAGAAAATTATTAATAGATCATGACGTTTCGATCGCAACACAAGCGACCGTCTTAAGGTGTGACTTTACCGAAAGAACCAAAGAGTATGGATTCCTGCAGTCACGAAAGCTTCAAATCATTAAAACCCGTTGGTTTTAATGACTCGGCAAATGTGTGAAATGTAACATTTTCTCCATTTACTTATACCAGGGGTCGGCAACCTACGGCTCCGGAGCCGCATGCGGCTCTTTACGGGCTGCTTCTTGACGATGAGTACGTATGTACTCGGATGCATTGCGGCTCTTGAAATACTGAATTTTGTACCGAATTGGAAAGAAATGGCTCTTCTTGTTATTTTGGTTGCCGACCCCTGACTTATACAGTCCTGAGGGTTTTTTTCAACGCCTTTTGCTTTCGCACCTCCGATTGGCAGTGTGTGTGTCTACGTACGGTGCAAAAGAAGTTCAACACATTACGTAACTACGCTTGTCAAATCCAAATTTTTTTTTGTTGGGAAAATGTGAAAGCGAGTGACCTGGCCTGACAAAAAAATGTGTTTTCTTCGCAATCTAAGCGTTATTATTATTACGCGTGTGTTTAACCAAGGAAGCCCCCGCTGAGTCGAGATTATTTTGCAGGTGGGTCCTGCCAAGTGTCCGGAGTCAGGGCATCGATGTTACTGCCGCTGCTGCCGCCGCCGCTGTCGTGTGTGATTCCCACTTGAGTAATTTGCAGGTAATTTTTCAGCATTGGGAGGTTTAGGCCAACACCAGTCGTGCTGTGTGTGTGTCTGTCAGCTGTGTGGCGAGCGGTGGTGCAGCGGTTAGCGCGCTGCGCTTTCAACCCGGCGACCCGGGTTCGATTCCCGCTCATGGCCACCACCAGTGACGATTATTTTAACCGGTCCCGGTCCTCCCCTAGGTCGACTCAGCCTCAAATGAGTACCTGGTGCGGTGTGTAAACATCGCCACTGGGGAGACAAAGGCGGTCTACAGTCTGTTAAGGCTATATGGGGGGTCTTTGTCTTTTTAGCTCTGTGAGGAAACCGGATAACCGAAAGAAACCCCATGCAGATCCAGGGGGGTGGGGGGGTAGAACGTGCAGACTCCACAGAGAGGCGCCCGAGTCGGACATCAAACCCATGACCTCACCATGAGGCACGAGTGTTCGCACTGCGCCACCCTGTTTGTCCCGATCAGTGCGCATCTGTCAAGCCTTGTACATCCTTCGCTTGCTTTTCTGAGCGCTTGTGTGGCTGCATCTGCTTGCAACGCGTCGAGGAGCACTTCCCTCACACTTGTACCGATGTTATCCGCCCACGAGAGGGACGATGATGAGGACTCGTGTGTTGTTGAGGGCCACCCTTCGTGGACCAGGATTTTGTGAGTCGCACATTTCGAAAGTGCTACTCGTACGATAAAGCTGTATAGTAATACACCATTGGAACCTCCTTTGCCAGTAGCAAAATATGATAATTCGTTTCTTACCCTTTTATTAGGCAACAAAACGGACACCTTTTTTTACCTAGTCTCATTAGGCTGTAAGAAAAGCTGTCTCGGGTGTGGACCAATCAATTTCAAGGACAGTGCATGCATTATCATAGTTGTGATTTTTGTTTGCATTCCGACCGCAGGTATTGAGGTCAATGCAAACATGACTCCTTGTAAAAAAAACTGTATAATAATAATCTATATATATATATAAAATCGCGAATCTGTCTGTGTGTGTGTCTGTGTCGCCGGACCATACGCAGTTTCATTGGACGGCGGTTGCCCCTGGCAACGGGTAGCGACGCCTTCGCCGCTTTCATTGGATGGCGGTTGCCCCTGGCAACGGGTAGCGACGCCTTCGCCGCGGGCTGCAGTTTCATTGGACGGCGGTTGCCCCTGGCAACAGGTAGCGACGCCTTCGCCGCTTTCATTGGACGGCGGTTGCCCCTGGCAACGGGTAGCGACGCCTTCGCCGCGGGGTGGACGCCATTTTTAATTCCCGTTAAAAATAGGCGCACGCATTAACACGCGACTCTGAGGTAAATTCATCAAAGTTTCATGTCCTCTTCACTCCCCCCCCCCCACCACAATGTGTGCAATTACTATTATAGGGTCGGTAGATTATAAAATTATAGCGATTAGACAGTATTATTGTAGCGCGGGGGGGGGGGGGGGAACGGCACCCGTACCCAGCGGGTGGGAAAATCAGGCGAGGCCGGAGGCTCTGCACGGTGCTAGGCCTCGACACCCACCACGCGACTCTGAGGTAAATTCATCAAAGTTTCACGTACTCTACAGAGTGGTCAGGGAGGGAGAGTGGTGAGGGAGGGAGAGTGCTGAGGGAGGGAGAGTGCTGAGGGAGGGAGAGTGCTGAGGGAGGGAGAGTGCTGAGGGAGGGAGAGTGCTGAGGGAGGGAGAGTGGTGAGGGAGGGAGAGTGGTGAGGGAGGGAGAGTGGTGAGGGAGGGAGAGTGGTGAGGGAGGGAGAGTGGTGAGGGAGGGAGAGTGGTGAGGGAGGGACTCAGCCTCAAAACGAGTAACTGGTGTGGTGTATTAACATTGCCACTGGGGAGACAAAGGCGGCCGGGCGTGGTGGATACAAGTCCCGGGCGAAGCCGGGTAGTGAAGCTAGTCTGTTTATATTTGAACAGTGTACATTACAGTACGCAAGCCTTTATGTGATATTTGTACATTGCAGTGACGCAGTGGTGTTATCCATTGCATCAAATATTTTTTCGTTTCCCGACTCGTGGCTGCGGCTAACATAAGTAGCACGATTTTTTGTCGTCGTCCCCCGCACCTCCGATGAACACGCTTGGCTACGTGCGGTGCGAAAGAAGTTCAACGTGTACCGTACCATGGCGAGTGGCATCTGAACCAAGCCTGGTGCCCGTGGGGCCCCCTCCCTTCTATTGCACCCAGTCCACATTGACCGGCGTGGTGAAATATGGTCATGCTTCAAATTACAATGACCGGCACGGCGTGGAACAAGGCATTCGTCCAGCAGTGAATTGACGGAAGGAGATCAAATTTCGTACCGTAACAACAAAAACATTCAAACGTACACCCAGCTCCAGTGAGAAGTTGTGCAGCAGCGTGACACAACAGTTATTGATTTACATCGTGTTGCATCATGTAACCGTGATACGGGCCACTTGCTGTAAATCCCATTTCCTCCACTCGCTGACAACAAAAAAACGTGATCCATTGGTCACGAGGATTGAAACAAACACTGCGCGCAGTGGCAACAGCGAGCCGGGACATTGAGTGTAACGTTGCATTTTCACATAGTTTGTATAGTCTGTATACTCTGCTTCGCTGTGAATCAACACGTCGCCTCGCTCCTAAAGAGGGCAGGCGGGTGGGGGCGATACGGTCACCGAAGGGTATGTATGTATCAACATTTTATTCGTGTGCCCCTCTTTTTGTTACACACTAAGCTATACACCTTCTTGTGCGTGTATGCTGTAGTCTCTGATACTGGTAGGAACCTCCTGGTTACACCAGCCCACAGGGGATTATTGTGTCTGTCCGTCGTGCAGGGAGGGGCTGGGTGGGGAGGGTGGGGAGGGGCTGGGTGGGGAGGGTGGGGCTGGGAGGGGAGGGTGGGAGGGGCTGGGTGGGGAGGGGCTGGGTGGGGTGGGGCTGGGTGGGGGGTGGGAGGGGTGGGGCTGGGTGCGGAGGGGCTGGTCACCCCGTGGTGCCCTTATAAAACTCAACGTTTAACCTACTCACGCCGGCTTGTGCCTGCCCTCACAGTCGGGCATATTTGCGGAATACACCACGCCGCCGTTGACCCTGGCCATTGACCGAGCAACCCAACGTTCCTACCAGCTCCCTCCGCAGGAATGTGTCTATATTACTGTCGTCATGATCATGGCTGCACAGCGGTGCAGACGCGTGGAGTGGCCACAACCAGTTCGGTTGTTGCTCTCAGCTCGATCGTGTATTAATCACCTTGCTGCAAGACGCGAGATCGCCGAGGCAAACGTGTGTTGCACTGTGGGACCTTTTTTTCCAGAATAAGAATAGGTTTTCACAGCTTTCAATGTTGTAGTTTTTAACACCGAAAAAATTGCCAAATTTGTTTTACTTTGTGATGAAGACAAAGAACATTGGTCCCTCTCCAAAAGTGGTTGACAGGTGTTATCTATGACTTACAGCTTTCGTGACTGCAGGACGAACGCTTGTGTTGCGATCGAAACGTCGTCGTTTTTTTTTTGTTATTTCCTTTGAACCTATCCACGTGACTTTACCGAAAGACCCAAGAATATTGGTGTATCTATGTATTGATATACTACAGAGTATAGCCGGGCAGCTAAAATGCAGCAAGTTGGCACAGTGGAGGGTACAGCTGGTGCAACTACCGGTCATCTCAGTCAGCCAACCCATGGCACCTGGGTCTGTCCCAAAACGTCCCATCAGCGAGCCTTCGACACTTCACGTGGCCTCAAAGTGCACCTGGCCTGGCACAGGCGCCGTGGTGATGGCACCATCACTTAGTGGTGAACGGCGGGTATTGGTATACTACATATAGGCTGAAAGTTAATGTTTCAGGAAAGTAGAAGTAAGTTTGCTATTGTTGACTGTTGACCCTTGCATTGACAGTCTTTTATATTTTCTCGTAAATAATTAATAATTTTCATAATATATATATATACCCTGGAAAGTAACATACATTTATGATGACTATTGGATTTTAGTCATTGTTTCAGTCATAAACAAACATTGCTTTTACAATTGCATTGCTCCTTTCTGTAATCACTGTAATTGACTTAAATTCTGGGTTATTAATGATTTCGTTCTGATCTTTTAGTGAACATCTTTGGTTTAATTAAAACTTCTCGAAAATTCAATATTTTGCTTTCAACGTCCTATTCCGCCCAGAAAGTCATTGGCTGTGTCCGTACAATGGGGCGCCACAGTGGCGAGATGTTATCTACCTCGCCTGGTGGTATGCAGGAGGTCATGGGTTCAATCCTGTTCCTGACGCCTGTATGTTTGGAGTTTGCATGTTCTCCCCATGGCGGTGTGGATTTTTCTCCAGGTCCTCCGGTTTTTCCCGCGACATTTAGAAATGTACATTTAAAGCAGTTGGCTGTTTATAAATTTCCACGTGACAAGCCACTTCGTTGAGCTATCATTTGTGGCAAGGTCGCTTCTCAAAAAGAGCTATATAGCTCAGCGGGCCTTATCTGGTAAAACAAAAAATAGTAATAAATGTAATGGTCCCCCTTGGCCACTGGACATTGGCCCCCTTGACTACTCACACCTCCATGCGTGAAGAAAAAGTAAAAGTGGAGCCACGCAATTGCTTGGTCACGCCACTGCTGTTGGAAGGGCTTCGACTAAAGGAAACTCAAGAGACTCCCTCTTGAAGTTACTTTTCCTACCCTTCTATGGTGACCAGATGTCTCCAAAGAGATGGGAGTACACACACTTTACCCTACCACATGCAATGTGCTTATCGACTTACTGGTGGACCCCGTTTATGCTGTTTTAACACATAGGCTTTCGTGGCCACTATCCATAATATATGTTTATTGGGGTAGATCCCATAAATGTACGACGTTTCGCCGGTAATTACAACCAGCATCATCAGGCGAAAGCCAGAGTTTATACTGCTGGGTCGACAGACATGGTGGTTTTTTTTTTAATGTGCCAAATTAAATTGCCGCACCAGGAGATCAAATCAGCGACCTCTGTATTGCATGGGCAGTTTGGTAACCATTGCACCATGGCGACACTGCACATACCATCAATATGAGCAAATAATTGCAGTGAGTGCATTAACATCTTTACGTGCTGCTTGTTTTTCAAAAGGGGAATGGCTGATGGTGAAGACGACCTTGATGTACACGGTGATGCAACTAGAGCCGGCGCCTCAATTCCTAGGAAAAATACGACTTGGAATGTGGAAAATGCGCCAGGTCATTCGAACGGGCAGCCTCGCTCCGATGGCATCAGCTCCAAAGAAGAAGAGGGGTCAGGTGGCCCCAGACGCAGCTTTACAAGGGCTGAGTACTTTACATTGATCTCCATCGCCAGCGTGGAGTTCACCTCCATGATGACCAACTCGGTCCTGGTCCCATTCTTTCCTGAGGAGGTACGTGCTGTAAAAAGTGCCACCTTGCATGAATATTTAAATTTACATACATTTTTTTATTTTAGAAAAACTAAACTTTTTTTTTCAAAATGTCGAAAAATCCGAGTCCATACATTTCTTAGAGCAGTATGCCTCCTCTGTCAGAGAATATCTGCGGAAGATGAAATGTCCTTCAAGCGGCCTTTTACCATTTACACAGAAGTCAAACTGTTCCACACACTCTGCTATGAGATTGTTGAATGACAGACAAACGATATTTTTATTCTCAGAACCTGAATTTAGCCAGTGCAATATCACATTTAATGTGACTGACTGCATTGTAATGTAGTCAATTTGAGTCGAAAAGCAACTTGATTTTGGTGGCAATTTTTGTGCAATCAATCGTGACCTGGTTCAGACGACCTACTTGCTACACTACGCTTGAGAATCAAACACAACATCTCGGGAGTGCCAGCTAAGTGCTCTGACTTCTGTGATTCAGAACTGCAGCCCTGCTATTTGCCTGCTCGATATACTGCACATATGACGTAACAGTATGCAAGTGAATTTAATTTTCATACAATTATACGCTACAAGGGGGTTATCGGTGGTGATGCATGAGGTTATTTTATCACAAGGACTATGACCATGGCTACAATATCAAGCTGATGTGTGGCTCTATCTTCCTAGGCTGCTAAGAAAGGAGCCACCGAAACGGTGGTGGGACTGATATTTGGAGTGTTTTCCCTCGTTCAGCTCCTCTTTTCTCTTCTGTTGGGAAAATACGTGAGTAATCGTTATTTGCCGCAGTGTTTTGAATTGCGTCATTAAAATGAGGTGTAAATGTTTGCAGCAACCATTTTGAAAACGTACTAGAAAAAATACTCTACACAACCCCCAAGAAGAAACAGAGCTGTCGGAAAGACAGCTCTGTTTCTTCACCTGAGGACGGCTGCTTGTGTTGTTGCCGAAACGTCATGATAATTTTATTTTATTGTTTTATTTGTATTTTATTATTTCCCATCTACGTGACTTTACCGAAGGAACCAAGAATATGAATCCCTGCAGTCACAAAAGCTTTAAATCTAAACGTGTGTAATTTTTTTTATATTCATGGCCATCTTCAACATTCATAGCGATTACAACACTTGCATTTTGATTTCAAGCTTTCGTGACTGCAGGGATTCATATTCTTGGTTTTTTCGGTAAAGTCACGTAGAATGGAAATAATAAAAATAAACATAATAAAATCATTCTCACGACGTTTCGGCCACAACGCAAGCAGCCGTCCTCAGGTGAAGAACATTATGTTTTATTTTTATTATTTTATTATTTCCATTCTACGTGACTTTACCGAAAGAACCAAGAAGATGAATCTCTGCAGTCACAAAAGCTTTAAATCGAAATTTAACTCCCAAATAATCATTCTCATCATCAGCCGTGGTCAGTCCACAGCTGGATGATAGGCCTACGCAAGCCACCATCATCTCTCCGAAGCCTCCAATGTCATAATTTGCCCAACACCTGGACATGGACTGAATTGATCACTCCATCTCCTGGGTGGATGTCCACTTGAATGCGTTCTATTCCTTGGCTACCACTCCATCCACTCTGCCATGCTTGATCATCGGCCTTCATCTCTTCCAGCGACATATCTAACCCCAACAGACTTACTCTTTTGAACTGTTTTAATTTGTTTTTAAGCTGTGTATGTTCCCGAATCAATGTTTCCCTTTTGCTCATTGTAATTCTAAGCATGCATTTAATGATTTACACACTTTTCATTTGAACAAGACTAACAATTATAGGTCAGATCATATAACAAATACTTGAATGGTGATGCTATGTGGACAGAGAATGTCGATATATTTAACATGCATATAATCTGTTGACAGATGGTTAAGATTGGAGTCAAGTTCACGTTTCTCTCAGGACTGCTGGCCTCTGGAACCTGCACAATTCTGTTTGGGTGAGTTTAACACGTGGCAGGCTTTCGCGACCAATATTATTCATAATAAAGGTTTTTGGGTCAGATGGATGTGTCGTAACCCTCCACCACCCGACATGGCCAAACAGTAAAACATGTGTCACGTTTTTCAAAGGACAAAATATTTCACTTCTTTAGCCCACCGGTGTGCTGAAGAGAGAATCAACAGAATTTTTAAATTTGAGTAGTACGACGTTTCGATGATAATTACAATCAGCTTCATCGGGCAAGAATGGTGAAGCTCACCTGTTGCTTCCGGTCTTAAATAGAGCAGCAGCAGGGTGACGTCATCTTCAGCACACCGGTGGGCTAAAGAAGTGAATTATTTTGTCCTTTGAAAAACGTGACACATTTTTTACTGTTTGGCCGTGTCGGGTGGTGGAGGGTTACGACACATTTATAAATAACGCGATCTGACCCAAAAACCTTTATTATGAATGGGTGAGTTTGTTGCCCAGCCAAAGTCTATAGTGGATTTATTACAAGTCCTCTTTTTTTTAGCTTAATGTTTCCCAATCTCATTTGTCTAGTGAGTTTTGTCAGCAAGATCTAGCCTCAAATGGACACGTGGAGTCACCTACAATGTGATTCCCTTAAAGTACAAGTTAGAGCTTTTGTTTTTAACATTTAAATTTTCCTATGAAGCTGGGTCCCCTCCCTTGACGTAGCTATCGAGTGTGCAGGGGTTTCAACTTGTACCAGGCACCAGGCATCACGGGCCTTGGAGACCCACATCCCTGGCTGTGGAGAGGAGGGGAAATTGGACAGGGGGCCTTTGGTCCCGTTGCCATGTATGTATGTACCTTGAACTTCGTTTGCACCGTACATAGCCAACTGTGCTAATCGGAGGTGCAGGGGAAGAACCACAAACTAAACACAAAAAGCAGTTCATCTTCTTGGTTCTTTCGGTAAAGTTACATAGAAGGAAAATAATAAAATAATAAAAATAAAACATTATAAAATAACTCTCACGACGTTTCTGCCACAACGCAAGCAGCCTCTACCTGAAGACGGCTGCTTGCATTGCTTGCTGCTTGCGTTGTGGCCGAAACGTCGTGAGAATTATTTTATTATGTTTTATTTTTATTATTTTATTATTTCCCTTCTACGTGACTTTACCGAAAGCACCAAGAAGATGAATCCCTGCAGTCACGAAAGTTTTAAATGGAAAAAAAACAAAAAGCAGTCCATAACGAATCCTCCGCGTCTGCGTGCAGACTCCTAGACGAGGCCCCGAGCGGCAGGATCTTCATCGCCCTGTGCTTCCTGCTGCACGGCGTGGACGCCGTGGGCTGTGCTGCCTCCATGACTGCGTCCTTCACCATCTTGATGTCGATGTTCCCGCACAACATCTCCACGACCATCGTGAGCGCCAAATAATCCCGTTTCAGACTCAACCTTGTCGGTTTAGGGCTCACAAGGGACAAACGCAAGTGTTGTAATCGCCATGAATGTTGAAGATGGCCATGAATATTAAACAAATTACACACGTTTAGATTTAAAGCTTTTGTGACTGCAGGGATTCATATTCTTGGTTATTTCGATAAAGTCACGTAGATGGGAATTAATAAAATAATAAAAATAAAACAAGATAAAATTCTCACGACGTTTCGACAACAACACAAGCAGCTGTCCTCAGGTGAAGAAACAGAGCTGTTTTTCCGACAGCTCTGTTTCTGCACCGGAGGACGTCTGCTTGTGTTGCTGCCAAAACGTCGTGATAATTTTATTTTATTATGTTTTATTATTTTATTATTTCCCTTCTACATGACTTTACCGAAAGAAACAAGAAGATGAAATTACACACGTTTCTTTTGGCGTTATTGTGTAAGCGTCGACATTTTTTCATCTTTTACGAAGCTACGTTCACAATTATGCTGAGATCGGGCGCATCCCAGGTGATGTGGTCAGAGAGGGTTACGCACGCGGATCACATGCATGTGTGCAGCTCTGTGGTCAATGCCATAGCCCCGTGTGAGTAGAAGCCCCACCGGTGTCCCCTTCGGCAGGGCTTCCTGGAGCTCCTCGCAGGGCTGGGCTTGGTGATGGGTCCTCCTCTGGGCGGGTTCCTGTACGAGGCGTGGGGCTATAGGATGACTCTCATAATCGTCGGCGTCTTCATGTTGCTCACCATCCCCGTCATCCTCGCCGCTCTGCCTCCGCAAGGTGCCTGGTCGCATCTCCTCTCGTCAGATCGTGATCTCACTTTTCAATGAAATATTGTATTGCTATGATTCTCCAAAACGCCGCACTGCGGTACATTCCAATTGCGGGACTGGCGCCTTGTAATGAGTGCGCGTCTCTCTCTCTCTCTCTCACAGTGCTGGTGGGGAGCAGTGGTTCGTTCATACGGCTCTTGTCACTGCCCTCTGTGATTGTCGTGGCATTGCTCATCTGCTGCGTGGACTCATCGATGGGATTTTTCGATCCCAACATCTCGCTGTTCCTCTTTGAGCAGGTGAGAACACGCCGCTTCAGCTCCTGAACATTTGGTGGAATGCAGTCCGCCTGACGATGGGGGGGGGGGTTTGAGAAATGTGACGTCACATAAAAACTTTAAATAAATATAGACAACACGTTCTACTTAATTAAATAGACTTTTTAATAAATGTTTTCTCCTACAACATCAGAGTGCAGCACCACATTAAATACGCACTACAATGACAATAGTTTAAAGCGATTTGAAGCATGTTTTCTATATTTTTTTTGGGGGGGGGGGGCAGAAATTTGTGCCGTCATATTTGAGGGTGGGTCAAAAATCGTCCAAAATCGCGTGACGTCATTTATGGACGGCCCCTATGACAATCAAGTACAATGGTGGATGTTGCTCTCCTGGCCCTCTGCTGCCCACCGCGTAGTCCCTGAGCAGCCTATGACAACAATGGTGGCTAGCCACGAGCCAGGCTCAAACCCGTTTAGCTTCTGAGATTTGAGGAGGTCAAGCAAATTCTGGGTGATTTGGTGATTTGGTCATAGGCTTGTTTTTATCTTCAAATTTGAAAACAATGCGTCTGTGAACTAATTTTCCTTCAGCATCCAAGCATTCAGATTCTTCTAGTAGCAAACGCTGCAGAGGTTTCACCTTCACCGAGTATATTCAGCAGAGTGTGGTCCATTACGCAAATACCGCTCTACAACTTAAAGTTATACGTGACAATAATGCATGAACACTCGGTCCCGAAACATTTGTTGCGGAAACTTGCACTCAAAATTAATGTGTGCTGCCTCTGTGATTTATCGGTAATTAAATGGTAAGTGAATGAAATGGGGTATGTTTAATAAGAAACGAGAAATATGTGTAGTGAAATGTGATTAAATGGGAATTAGTTCATGTTGGTATGGCTGAGAGCTTCTATCCGGTGACATCATTCTCAACATCTGTGAAAAATAACTTCATAGCTCATCGGATTTCTCCAGTCTAAAATTGTGATTTGGTATTTAATCACGTTTCCAGAAGTTTCCATTGTTGTGGCCTTTCACAGTTCAATCTGAGCTCTGGGAAGATTGGACTCGTCTTCATGAGCCTGTGCATCTCATACTCTGTGAGCTGTCCTGTCGTGGGCTACGTCAGCGACCGCAGACCTGTGAGGACGCACAACGAGCCACTCCACTCGGCTCTTCCGGACAGTTCTTTTACAGAGACAAGTTTGCGTGCACAGCCACTGACTATCATTCACCATCGCAACACCCGCGTGCGGTCTAAAGTCTGCCTTGCGTAAATGACTCGGTAAAATAAAGGCGGTTTACACCGTCCCACAGCAAGGTGTGGATGTTGAACTTCTGCTTTCGCACCGTATGTAGCCGACCCTGCTAATCGTATCGGAAGCAAGAGCATTCCAGACGGCTGCAGAAGCGCATCTGAAAGCACACAATGCAGTGACCATCTTTAGCATAGTAAAGCCCCAATTTAAGATGGCTGGGTGGCTTAAAAACTGCCCTTGAGAGTGCTTTGTGCGAGCACTGCTGAGATCCTGGTTAAAGCGCTTATCTGCTGTGATGCGGAGTTTGACTGTCGCCCCAAGCTTATATTGCTTCTTTTGGGGCACTGTACACTAAAAAAGTTAAGCACAATTCAAAGCATTATTCAGACTCAAGTGAGGTGCCCCTGCTCTGTCAGACATCATGTTGATGCAGAATTGCAGTTATTTTGGATCGCATTTATCATTGGAAAAATTATCCCTTTAATCATGGGGTGATCACAAGTGTCCCTGGGAGCAAACAAGTGTTGGGCATTGCCCATCTTAGATGCCAGCTCTGGGTCAATAATAAAATTTCAACATTTTTTATGACAGGAGTCGTTAGGACAACCACCGTTGACTTCCCAAAATTAGTACCTATTTTATCAACCACCACAGGCGAATGATGATGAGCTGAGTTGATCCCTGACCGGGATGGGAACGCACAAGCGTTTGGTTGTGTGAGCCTATTTGTGTCACCCTTTTGGCTTTGTTGTTAATTTTGCAGCAATGGATGAGATGCATGATGCTGGCTGGAGCTTTTGTATCCGGTATCTGCTTCTGCTTGTTGGGCCCTGTTCCCATCCTGCACATCCACACGTGAGGATGACGTCAGTCACTACACCACCTGCACATGGCACCTGATAGTGGAAAGACAAAAACTGATTTTTTTCTGGTTTCCAAATCGGATATGTGGGCTGCAGTTGCCTGAGCTACCACAACAGCTATGCAGCTGTTGCGATCACGATGTTGTCGTGCTCTTCACTTGTTTTACGGTGGTGGTACCATTATACTATTGCTGTGGTGCTCTTGTAGTATTCTTGCTATGATGCTGTTGTGTTCTTGCCTTGGTGCTTTTATGTTGTGTTGTGATTTACCATTATGGTGATGTTGTGGTGGCATCAGTCAGCTGTGGCTCGTGGTGGTGGTCCTGGCCGTGCTGGGTGTTTCCATCGCCACAGCCATCGTCCCCACATTTTCGGAGATCCTCCTCATGGCCACGTAAGTCCAATTTATTTGCCATCTGGGCACGGTGCAGTCCAGTGGGTTTGAGTTTCACAAATCTCTACGTGGCCCACCAACCCTGTAGTTGTGCACCACTATGCTGGCGATGCAATATTTACAATTATTATACTGACAAAAAAATAGGCAATAACACCGACCGTTGTTTTACTCTCACCGATTATTTTGCTTTCAGTAACAATGGCTTTGAAGTGGGGCTGGGCACGCTGGGGTTGGTGTCCGGTATCTGCAATGGCTTGATGTCTTTCGGGTGAGTATGGCCAACATCGGAATCAGAAGCATATTTCCCGAGTTAGCAGGTTACACAGGGCTGCGCTAGCGTGAAGGGTAAACGTTCACTCCAGCAGGGCTTGTCAACGGGGCTGTATGGACTCGGAGGTAGTGGCATTGCTCAGAGCTTCTCATCTCAGCTCTAGAAACTTGTAGGAAGTGGCATTGACCAGGGCTTCTCAACCCGGCTCTATCGACTCGTAGGTCGTGGACTTCCCCTTGAGTCTGCACTGGGGGCCCAGGTGCCAGGCTACGAATAAGGCAGGAAAGTTGACAGGGCGCGGTTGCATTCTTTGCACCAGGGCCTATTCATTGCCATCCATGCTTGAGTGCTGCCCACAGGGGTCCACTGGCATCATTAGGGGCCAAGGGGTCTGCTTCAGGGGCCACCACAAAGTGCAAAGAAATCCCCAAAGGAAAGTCCACTCTGCCATGCAGAAGCCCCTAGAAGAAGGGTCTTGAGATTAGGTGAGGGTTCCCAGGTATACATTCTCTAGGTAGGTAGGTATTCATTTATAAAAATATATCCTTACACTTATTATACTACCCATTGTGCACGTAATAGTTGATTTTATTTAACTCAAACTCTTCCATTAGGCTGATGGTCAGAATTAAAGGGATTGCACAAACAAGACACGAGTTGGCAGAGTACAGACAGTACAAATACGACTGGTAGTACACCATCGAGGAAGACGGGACAGTAATAAAAATATAAATATTCCAAAATGGGGAGTACAGACAAATTTCAACGCCTGAAATGCAACATATCGTGCATCTAGATTCAATAATTTCTTTACAACTGCTTTTTGTGTTTAGTTTGTTGTCCTCCTACACCTCAAATTATCACGGTTGGCGACATACGGCGCGAAAGTGGTTCACCATTCATACGTACATCGTCGTCGTCATTCATGGTCAGTTTGCGGTTTAATGAAAGACACTTCGAGCCTTCGCCATCTATCGCGGTCCTGCGATACAACAATGAACCTATCACTGACAAATGAGCTGATTTCATTGCTCCAACTCTGTGGTGGATATGCTCCTAGGCACATTGAACCGTACTTAATGACAACCGTTCTATTTTCCAGAAAGTTCCGTGACATGGAGTATCTGCGTTAAGGTATTCCATGAAATTAAAATCTCAGATGCGCGTTGTGCAGTGACGGCTGCCTTCCTTGTGGACCTCAGGAACTTCATAGGCCCCACGCTGGGCGGACTCCTCGATGACTACGTGAACTTCAAGTGGGCCGCGACCATGGAGGGGCTGCTCTTAATCCTTGCGGTGAGCCACCGGTGGGGGGACATCACTCCAGACTCGCACGGAACATCTGAGAGCAGCCACCATCGCACCTCTGTAAATGAATGGTGCCAGTCAGTGCACAGTTTATCAAATGAGTGTGCATTTAATTAATTGATTTCCTAAATATTATTAGAAATGTTTTATTGACTTAGAAGAGATTCAGAAATGCATAATGCTGTATAGATGGCCCGAATGTGGATGGAACAGCTGGTCATTCGGTCCAAGGTTAAAAACTCAGTTATTTTTTGTAAAATAGTAATACAAATGTACAGCCTTTGTCAATCCACTGCTGGATGAAGGCCTCCCCATGTCGAGTCGTTCATGGGGGTTGTTTGACCATACTTCATGCTTGTCAGTACAGGTTGGATAAAGGATGGGGCCAGGTAAGATATCCCTCGCCACTGGTGTTATCTGTAGTTGGGGATCGGGTCACTGGGTTTATGCCGCCGGGTGCTGGTGGCTTTGCACGTGGCTAGGAAACCAGCACTGCGGAGGCAGCGAGGGTTGGTGGATCGGACAAATGAACCTTATGGCGGTACCCCGGGGTACCTTATTACCCCGGCTCTCGCATAATGTCTGTTGACATTATGCGAGAGCATAATGTCGGTCATAATGTCTAAGTCTGTTGATTGTCGGCGATGCGGCAATCGACTCATCTCGACGTGCTGTACACAATGCACTATGGTGCACACGAGCGTTCAGGGTTTCAGAGCAATCGTCCTCGTTGCGTTTCGACTTCGCGGAGTAGCACCACTGATTTCGGATTTATTGGTACCCCAGTCGCGGAGTTAAGTACACCCCTGGAAAAAAATGGTGTCCCAGAAATAAAATATTGAATTGCCTCGGCCATTTTGTATTATTGGTACCCCGGGGTACCGCCATAAGGATCAAATGACAAAATGTTGCGAGACTTCCTGGAGGCATCGAGGTGCAATACCGTGGCTTGCCAGCAGGTTGAGGTACAGCAAAGTGTGCATTGATACCAACTGTCCGCTCTGTATGATATAAAACAGTTTTCTCCTTTTAAAGGTCCGTGGGCCACTGGTGGCACCTGGTGGTCTTTAGTGTGGCCCCTGACGTGAGGCCCACGACAATACACAAAAGTGAAAACACCTCCCCATCATCATCGTGCTGCTGTCAAACCCCAATGCTTTGAAATGTGTTGCGGCCCTCACACTGATGATGTCTTATTGGCAAAAGGGAAAATTAATGAAGACCACTGGTATAGAGGGTTGCCCTCTCGCAAACATGGATTTTATCCTGGGCCTCTGGTATCCTCCCACATGTGTAGTGACATCGCGGATGTCACTGTGTAATGCCGGCCCTAGAGAGGCACGGCGTGCGGTGTATTGACATCTCGGGCACCACTCACATGTGGCTGCAGTACCGGCCCTGGAGGGGCCTATTGAGCGCTGACTGACAGCGCTTGATGGCACCACGCTCTGCATGCAGTGCCGACCCCTACAGGATAGGGAGGGAGAGTGTCGGCCACAGGGAATTGGGTTACGATAGGCCGTGGCACTCTGGTTCACCCCAGAGGACACGTGACCGGTTAAGTCTACACAGGGCCTCCAGGTGGGGGCTCGGGGTGGTCACGTGTCAGGGCCGAGATCCTGCTCGAGGGTTCTCGAAGGTGGGCGTGGCTAAGGGTGGAGCCAGTGGAGTCAGCCACGCCAAGAGGGACCGGCTGCTCTTTTTCATCCAGAAGAATCTACGTTCTACATCCTACAGAGTCTCCAACACGTGGACCTGGACCTCTGAGTATGCTCCCATGTTCTCCTTGAATTGATCAAGATGAGCATCAAGGATATGGACTTTGAGGGACATCCTACAGCCCATTGTGCCGTAGTTCTTCACCAGAGTCTCAACCAGCTCCACATAGTTTTCGACCTTGTGATTACCCAAGAAGCCACGAACCACTGTGACAAAGCTGTTCCAAGCCACTTTCTCTCTACTAGTGAGCTTCTTGGGGAATTCATTGCACTCCAGGATCTTCTTTATCTGTGGTCCGATGAAGACACCGGCTTTGATCTTTGCCTCAGACAGCCTAGGGAAGAAGTCTTGAAGGTACTTGAAGGCTGCCGACTCCTTATGAAGGCTCTGACAAATTGTTTCATAAGGCCCAATTTGATGTGCAGTTCTGGCATCAGCACCTTCCGGGGGTCAACCAGTGACTTTCACTTGACGTTGTTCCTCCCCACAGAGAACTTGGTCCGCTGTGGCCAGTTCCACCTGTGGTAGTGCGCCTTGGTGTCCTTGCTGTCCCAAAGGCAAAGATAGCAGGGAAACTTGGTAAAACCGCCTTGGAGACCCGTCAGGAATGCCACCATTTTGAAGTCTCCAATGACCTCCCAGCCGTACTCATACTTCAAGGCGTCCAGCAAGGTCTTGATGCTGTTGTAATCTTCTTTGAGGTGCACTGAGTGAGCCAGGGGAAGAGATGGGTACTTGTTACCATTATGGAGCAGCACGGCTTTGAGGCTCCTGGATGAGCTGTCAATCAAGAGGTGCCACTCATTCTGGTTACAGGTGATTCCAATTGCCTCGACCAGACTGGTCACATTGTGGCAGAAGCAGAGCCCATCTTGACAGGTGAAGAAGCTGCAAAAAGATTGGTGACACTTCCTTTGATCTGCGACTTGCACACTTTCATCCAACAAGTTCCACTGCTTGAGCCTAGACATCAAAAGCTCGCCATTGGACTTGGTGAGACCAAGATCTCTGATCAAGTCGTTGAAGTCTTTTTGGTTGGGGTAGTATGGCTTTCTCTCCTCAGCTTCACCTCTGAAATTGTCGTTTGGATCTACAACGTCTTCCTCGCTCTCTGACTTGCTGCTCTCTTCTAAAGACGGCTGCTCTCTCTCCGGAGGAGTGGGTACGGGGAGCTCATGTCAGTGTGGCACCGGGGCGATGGATGAAGGAAGGTCCGGATACGTGATAGCAGGTGCATTTTTACCAGTCAGACGTTTGGAAGAGTCCACCATGCAGAAGTAGCAGTTGCTTGAGTGGTCAGTGGGTTCCCGCCAAATTCTTGTGATAGCGAACTTCATGGCAAAATGCGTCTGCCGGATGCTTGCATATTACTGGAAACTTGTAGACTATTCTAGAAGTTACTCCAAGTTTACTCAGCATTGAATAGATCTGGAATGTTCAGGAAAATAGGTAAATTTCAAAATATCACTGTCCAGGTCACAAAAGCAAAGTTCGTGGGGAATAATAGCCATTTTATGTCCCTTTGAGGCATAAGCAATTAGGAAATAACACTACCCAGGAACAAAAAATAAAAAATAAACTGTTACACAGTGCGATTCAATATGTTATTTCACGTAATGCCTTACCCGTGAGTCAGCGTGTAGTTTTGAGATGTAAATGCAATGGGTGGGCGAGGACTGGGCTGGATGAGTTCATTTCCCCACCAAGTTGGCAACAGTAAAGGAAACTGTTGAGACGTTACTCGGGCTGTCGTGAACAACACACAACTGGCTACACTTTGTAGTACATCACTGTGGTCTGTCTGTGATTGTAACACTCTTTTCAATTATTCTATTCCAGGCATTCCTCATGCTTGCATTTTACAGCTACGAGTGCATCAGTGAAAACAGGTATTTGCACAGTGGTCTGACCATGCCGGCCTGCTATCACAGGGTTTTTATTTAATTTCCCAGCCACGTCCGCTCCTGTGTAGCCAGCCAACTACACAGGGAGCGTATCGTAGTCACAAGTTACCCAGGTGTATATCGTCACTCGCGGTTACTCGTTCAGTTATCAGTGAGTCGGTGGACTTTATGCACAATGTACATATAACTGAACAAGACGATGTTTCTGAGAGCGACATTACACATGTATCCAAATTACATAGAGACTGCCCCCATTGTGAAAAATGTGGAATTTTCACCACTGGCTGACATCTGCCAATGGGAATGGGCACCATATCCGGTATACCTCTCAGCTATAGCTGTGGCTACTAGTTCTCTACCTACTCCGGTCTACCAGCAAACCTGCAAAAAATATTCAGTGAACAATTAAGCCCTGTGAATAACCAAGTTGCACCACGCTCACGTTGTTGAGAGTGCATTTCACACATCCCGTGTCCGCTTCTGTTACCACGTTCTCTGCAGGCACCGCCAAACAGAAGAGCTGCTCGGCGATGTGGAGGAGGCCACCAGACCCCTGCTGTCCTAGCGCTGGGTGGAGTTGGACAAGCCAAGCATCGGCGTTCAACGTGCGAGGGGTCGTGGTGCAATCGCGGTCAATTGTGCCAGCATTAGCACACGGCACTCATTGCAAGCAAAAGAGGTGGATCGAGAAACTTGGCAAGGGAGAGGTGGTTCTGAAATTTCAAGATTTTTAAATGGGGCCCTAAATTGATCATAGTAATAATGAAATCTATTTACTTTTACTGGTAAATATCAATAAAATACTCATCAAATTTTTTGGTTTTCAAGGTGCCACCCCTTTGGATCCACCACTGATGCAAGCAAGAACACATTATAAATGTGTAGAAATGGAAAGGTGGCTCACAAGTGATAGTGCTGGGCTGGAACCGTTGTGAACCTCTTTTCGATTCTAGGCAGCTGCCACCATTAAATCAAAGTGCAATAAACTGGTAGTCTTCGCCCAGTCACCACTAATTGCACACAAAAAAACAGCACGGTAAATTAAATTCTGCACTTAACGTTGAATGCCAGCACTGAGCTGATTATTGGTTTTACTGTCATGCGATGAGCATTACTCTGTCCCCTACTCTGTTGACCAGAGGTCACTTTAAAGGACCGAGAGATCCGAGTGGATTCTTCTGATCTTGAAAAAATGCTGGTTGCACATTTTGGGAGAATTGTTGGGAAAATACCAAATGAAAATGAGTATTGAGACTCAAGTGTTCCTGCACCGTCAGACATGTTGATGGAGAATTGCAGAATTGTAGTTGTCCGTGTTCAAAATTGTACAAATGTGCATGACAAAATAATCTGACCACCATTATTATTGCATGATGTTTATCATAAAAAGTAAGCGGCTGCCAAAAATGTTAACCTCCAGATTACATTTAAACTACTGTACAGTGTTGATGATGGTCATCTCTTTTAGTTTGTGCCTGTACACCAGTGCAGTCTCAGACAGTATATTTATTTTTAATCGTGCACAGATCACATCAGAATCAAGTGAAAGTATATTGCGATATAGTGGAATTTTATAACTCGATAAGGAATTGGAAAAAACATCCCAAGTTCGGAATCTCATGAAATCATGAGATGAAGGTTGATGTTTTTGTGAATAAAGGAAAATTGTTGACACTTTTTGAGAGGAAATGCCACTGAGACCACTGATTTTAAGACTTAACTTTTTAATTTGCCTTACCCGGAACGGTTTTACCACCTCTTATGTATCGAAGAATATTTGTGCCTTAGATTTCTCAGAAATGTGAAAAATACTGAAACTAATTTAAGCTGGCTGTAGCATATCCATTATTCTGTTCACATGTGTTGTAATATATTTACTATGTATTGCACTACAAGTTTGTCGGTTGCATTGTTTTAAAAGTACAGCATGCTTAAGCTAACGGTACCTTGTCTGAGGCACAGGCTGGAAATCTTAACTGGCTCGAATGCTAAAACAAGTCTCTCATGTACGAGGAACATCCTGATGGTGATTAACCATATTTGTTCATCAACTAACAAGATATGACCGTCTAACAAAAGGCGTGTGAATTTAACGTGTGAAAACGTCAGGAAGCAGGTCAAATTATTTGAAGATGGTAATAGTGGAGACATTGTCGTTAAATCAAGCAGTGGCAGATGACTCCAACAATTACGCAGAGCGGAGGAAATCATTGGTACTATCGTTGCAAATTGGTCACCATACTGTCAGGACTATGTCATATATTGGCTTATCATTATATATGTGGATAGTGTTTGAGTGTGGCTATGCAAGTTGTGGGCCTGGTAGAGGGACTTCCAGTTGAGCCTCTCTGTTTCTGTTAGTGGGGAATATATTGCGTGTATTTATGGAATCGAAAGTAAGTTTAAATGTAAATAAAGTTCCTTTCAAAGTGATATCGTTCAAACACTTTAAAATTCTTTGCATTCTTTGTCATCTTCACATGTCTCATCTGATGTTCTCTTCTACGCTACGTTGCTGTTCTTGTAATGATAGAGTTTAAAACTCGATAAAAGACTGTGTAGTATAGAACACACTATTAAGAGACTGGATGAAGACCTCCCCGTGCCGGCCATGTGGATTGGTGACTAGGGGACTCGGGACCAACTCAGATGTAAGCCGTGGCACTGAATGCAGTGCGCATCTAAGAGCATAACATTAACTTAAAATTTTGACAAAAAAAATTTACACTAATCAATTTTCAGGTCCAGCCAAAACAAACCCCTTTGCAATAAGTCAAAAGTGTTTATTTCGTGGGATATAATAGCCGCGCCGAATGAACATGGACTATCCACCACCGCTCCCACGTCCAGGGCAATTCTCTATACCAGCAGCAGCAGCAGCAAATTCGAACTTCCCCGCGTTTCAAAACAGCTGCTAGCCCACGTGACCTAAGCGCGCTCGGAATTGTTTTGGCTGTCGCGCGCTCAGATTGGCCGGCGGCTCCCTCCGCTCGCCCCGCCCCCCTCCCACGTGCGCTCCACTTCCGCTGTCAAGCGGCCTGGAACAGCACGTGGAGTGGTAACCGCGGGGTGAGCCTCCGATGCGCCGGTGAACCGACCCGCCTCTGCCCCCTTCTTTACTCCAGAGACCCGCGCCTAGGCCACCCGCGCCACGGCGTCAACGTGTGGTGGGACTCCGAGTGCGAGGTGGGTGGCGTGCGATTATTTTGGGTTTGTTTCTTCTGCGGGTCACTCCGCGGTTTGTATTCCCACGTTTAGAATGGAGGCGCGTTTTGATTACTTGGCCGCGTGTATAATGGTGCACGTGATACGCAGATGAAGCCGTTGCGTTGAGATATCATTTGTGATGGATAGGTCGTTTCTAAAAAAAAATAATAGCTCAGTGGACTTTGGGGCCGTCCATAAATGACGTCACGCACCTAGGGGGGGGGGTCAGACATTTGTGACGATGGGGGGGGGTGTGAGAAATGTGACGTCACATCAAAATGCGCTACTTTAAATATAGACAACACGTTCTACTTAATCTAATAGACTTTTTAATAAATGTTTTCTCCTACAACATCAGAATGCAGCGCCACATTAAATACGCACTACAATGACAATAGTTTAAAACGATTTGAAGCGTGTTTTATTTTGGGGGGGGGGGGGCAGAGCTTTGTGACGTAATAATTGAGGGGGGGTCTGACTTTTTGTGACGCCGTGTGACGAGGGGGGGGGGTCAAAAATCGCGTGACGTCATTTATGGACGGCCCCTAATAGCTCAGTGGACTTTACCTCGTAAGATTTTTGTTTAAGTTTTGTTTTATTTATGTTTTTTGGAAGTGATTTGTTTACCTTTTCTATGCTTTGCAATCTGTGTCGTGTTTTTGTTGTAACGTTCTGACCCACCCCGACTGGACATCTGTGAAAAATAACTTTATAGCTCATCGGATTCCTCCTCCAGTATACCGACTGTAATCACAACGCTCGTGACGTCACTCCACGGCGACCAGCCCCCCTCATTAATATTCATGAGCGGGTGACGTCACTCAATATAGAGTGCTCCCTCCCCCCTCGCTAATAATCATGAGCAGGTGACGTCACTCCTTTGAACAGCCCCCCTCAATAATGATGAGCAGGTGACGTCACTCCACAAGGACACCCTCCCCCCCATTCATAATAATAATTAGCAGGTGACGTCACTCCACATGGGGGGCCGAGGCGCCTCCTCCCCCCTCCTCAGCGTCAACTCTCAACCCTCACTACAAAGGGCAGAACCCTCACGTCACGTGATCTCCACAACGCTGTTGAGACGTAGAAGTAAAAAGGACGTCATGATGAACAAGGGATGATAACCTTCAAATGAAATAGGTCTGTGTCACCGCGCCCTTACAGAGTGCGCACGAATGCATGCAATGAACATATCACGTCGCGATCTGATTTTCGCCTGCACGTTTCAGATTGACTGCAATACACCCGTCCTTGGACGGGCAAAAGGCGAGTTTATAATCATACCATCGTGGTATCCGCTCACTCTTGTTAGAGAGACGACTCAAGGTGCGCGAGGAATCGCAGAGAAGCGTGAAGGCAGCCACGCCTACAGGTGCCCGAGCTCTGCGGTCCTCTATGGCCGTGATATCCGGTCACTTGATGAGTTGTTTACACGTGGGAGGAAATCCGGAGCACCCGGAGGAAATCCACGCGTGCGAGCGATGGGGAAAACACTTCGCCATACCAAGGGTGGCACAGTCGGGTTTTTGCCAATCGGGTTTAATTGTCTTTTTATATTAAACCCGATCATCTGAGATTTGGAGAAATCCGGTTTAATTGGTTCTAATTGCAGAACCACACTTCGCCAACTTCTCAACGATGGGCTTCATCCATTCCAAGCTAAGGAACTCACTGGCGCCCACGGTTGTGGAGGAGAAGCTCGTGTTCATCACGACCAACCTGCCCGCCGCATTCTACGACTACCCCGTGCCCGACGGCCCCGAGTACGATAGCATCAGCGACGAGGAAGCAGCCTAAGCCTTGCATCAGAGTTTCGTATTCATTACACCAGGTTTTAATTCCCCGAAATCGGGTTTAATTGTATTAAAGAAAAAAACCTGATGCCTGCCGCTGGAAAAATCGGGTTTTTTCCACCCATGCGCCATACAGACGGAAGAGGTGGAGAGTTCCACATCCCTGCAAGACTGCTTTCGAGCAGAGCCACCTGGTGGACGCGCACGGGAAGGGAGTTTAACAACATCTGTGCAGTGATCCATCAACCCTCGTTACTGCCGCTGCTGGATTACAGGCAGCCACGTGCATAGGGGCCGTTCATAAATAACGTCACGCACCTAGGGGGGGGGGGGGGGGTCAGACATTTGTGACGATGTGTGACGAGGGGGGGGGTTGAGAAATGTGACGTCACATCAAAATGCACAACTTTAAATAAATATAGACAACACGTTCTCCTTAATGAAATAGACTTTTTAATAAATGTTTTCTCCGACAATATTACAACATCAGAGTGCAGCACCACATTAAATACGCACTACAATGACAATAGTTTAAAGCGATTTGAAGCATGTCGCCATACCAAGGGTGGCACAGTCGGGTTTTTGCCAATCGGGTTTAATTGTCTTTTTATATTAAACCCGATCATCTGAGATTTGGAGAAATCCGGTTTAATTGGTTCTAATTGCAGAACCACACTTCGCCAACTTCTCAACGATGGGCTTCATCCATTCCAAGCTAAGGAACTCACTGGCGCCCACGGTTGTGGAGGAGAAGCTCGTGTTCATCACGACCAACCTGCCCGCCGCATTCTACGACTACCCCGTGCCCGACGGCCCCGAGTACGATAGCATCAGCGACGAGGAAGCAGCCTAAGCCTTGCATCAGAGTTTCGTATTCATTACACCAGGTTTTAATTCCCCGAAATCGGGTTTAATTGTATTAAAGAAAAAAACCTGATGCCTGCCGCTGGAAAAATCGGGTTTTTTCCACCCATGCGCCATACAGACGGAAGAGGTGGAGAGTTCCACATCCCTGCAAGACTGCTTTCGAGCAGAGCCACCTGGTGGACGCGCACGGGAAGGGAGTTTAACAACATCTGTGCAGTGATCCATCAACCCTCGTTACTGCCGCTGCTGGATTACAGGCAGCCACGTGCATAGGGGCCGTTCATAAATAACGTCACGCACCTAGGGGGGGGGGGGGGGGTCAGACATTTGTGACGATGTGTGACGAGGGGGGGGGTTGAGAAATGTGACGTCACATCAAAATGCGCAACTTTAAATAAATATAGACAACACGTTCTCCTTAATGAAATAGACTTTTTAATAAATGTTTTCTCCGACAATATTACAACATCAGAGTGCAGCACCACATTAAATACGCACTACAATGACAATAGTTTAAAGCGATTTGAAGCATGTTTTATTTTGACATGGCGTCATTTATGGACGGCCCCATAGTCGTGAGTGTGATTCTGCGTATAATTATCGTGCAGCGTTGTGAGATGCAATGAGCGTGGATGACGCAAATATGAAAGCTGAAATTATAATTGCTACCACGGTTCGTAATAAAGATGTTTTTTTTGGGTTAGATCGCGTACAATATAAATGTGTCGTGAACCCGCCACCACCCGACACAGCAAATCAGTAGGGTTTGTCACGTAAACCAAACGTGCCACTACTTCAGCACGCCGGTTTTGTGTTGGAGAGTAAACCGACAACATTTGACAATTGGCATGAATTCAGGAACGACCACGACGGTCCTGGATGAGAGGCGGTGCACGGCCACCGCCACCCGGCTGACACGAATTGGTGAGGCGGCCCCACTTGATGGGAAGCCGAGCACTGGGTTGGTTCCCTCGAGACCGGCTCTTGCCAGCATTGCTTGACGTGTAGAGCCCTCTTGTGAATACACTGCTGGTTGACTGCCTCCCCAAGCGGAGCCTTTTGGGGCGATTTTATGAAAGCTCAGCGGGGGTAGACATGGACGCTGGGAGCGCAGATGTACAGTACAACAACGCATTTTGCTGCACTCCCCTCTGCTGCCGACCACGTAGCCCCGCAGCACCCCATAGCAACCTGTTGTGCATGGCAGTGGCCCGTTGCATGCTGCTCTCCGCACACAACCCCTGGTTGTATTTACGAGATTTGGCGAGATGGGCCCACTCGTTTCGGGCGATTTGGCCAAAGGTGGCTTCTGGTAAAGCAACGAGGGCTTCCTCATGGTCTGATGCTCTAATACGAGTGGGGTTTTGTGACTCTTACAATTTGGATGTTTCTGGCATCGCAGTGCCACTGGATCACAAGGCACTGGACAGGCTCGCGTGGTGGCGAGATGAAACTTGCCAAAGCGAAAAGCAGACCGCGATGTGGTATTAATTGCATGAATTCGTGTGCAATCTGTAAGGGCGTGGTGAGACAGACCTATTTAATTTGAAGGTTATAATCCCTTGTTCATCATGACGTCCTCTTAGTTCTGTCTCAAAAGCCTTACGGAGACCGTGTGACGTGAGGGTTCTGCCTTTTTCGTAGTGAGGGTTGTAAGTTGACGATGAGGAGGGGGGAGGAGGTGCCTCGGCCCCCCCATGTGGAGTGACGTCAGCCGCTAATTATTATGAATTGGGGGAGAGGATGTCCATTTGGTCACCTGCTCATGGGATGCTGGTCGATGTGGAGTGACGTCACGGGCATTAAGGAGATTCCTGGGTGATTATAGTAGGTATAGCCAGGTCACTTCTGAAAAAAAAACAGCTAAATAGTTCAGTGGGCCTGACCTGGTTAACATAATAAATTGTTGAGGTTTAAAGTTTAATAGACCAATCTTTGATGCTGACAAATTGAAGAACCACCGTTCAGTGTCACATTTGCCATCTATCTTAAATCTGCTTAAAAAAGTTTAACCACGTAGACTTTCATGATCAATATGTCGCCATAATATAGAGTTTTTTTGGGGTTAGATTACGTAAATATATAAATGTCGTTAAACCCGCCACCCTACACAGCCAATTAATCTGGCTGTCGCCTGCTGCAGCTAATTCTAATTACTGGCGAAATGTCATACTCAGATTGTAAATGTTGTAAATTGGCATGTTCTATTTACGTGACAAACCTTAATAATTGGCTGTGTCCACGAGGTGGCGGGTTTAATTACACATTTAAATTTACGCGATCTCACCCAAAAATAACCTGCTTGACAAAACATTTGCAATTGCAGCTGCAGGCACTTTTTGATGACACATTCAATGCCGACTTTTCAAGTCGGCCTATCGGAAGTGCCCGCAGCGCCGAGACGGCCTTTCTGAATGTCTCCAATGGCCTCCCGATGGTTACCGACAACGGTAAATTGTCCCCGTTGCGTCTCCTCGATCTTGCTGTGGCGTTTGATAACTGTCGACTCTGTTGTGATGCTGCAGGGTCCTGAGCGAAGATTCTGGATTGGTGGAGCTTTGCCACTCTGGTTTCATTCATACTCAACGGGCAGAACTTAGAGAGTGTGTCACAACGGCCGGTTGTTATCAACTGTTCGTGTCACTTGTTCAGTGTTACGTCCTGTACTTTTTATCGTCTATGCCGCTGAGTTCTCGAAACTGGTGGACAAACATTGGGTTAACCTTCGCACATTTGCAGATGACACTTTTGGCTGTAAGTACATTGTGAGCCAGATCGCATAACGGCCTCAGCCATTGTTCTTGAACAATGTGTTCTCGATGTTAGATGCTGGATGGCATCCAATCGATTGAAGCTGAATACAGATAAAAAAACAGATGTGATCTGGTTCGGCACGACCTATAGCTTTGATAAGCTGATCAGCCACGGTCCATCCGCTCAATGTGGGTACGACTACCATACCATCAGCTGCCTATGTCCGTAGTCTTGGAGTTCTACTGGCACCTGACCTTCAATCCGCACAACACGTTGCTATGATCTGTAAGGGCTGCTTTTTCCAGCTCTGTAAGCTGCATTGTGTCCGTCAATCCCTGGATGCCAAGGCAGCTGTGCAACTCTCATGCACACTCTCATTACTTCCCGAGTTGACTTATGCAATGGTTTTCTGGCCGGCGCAACAATGAAAGTGATTAATCAGCTCCAGCGTGCCTTGAATGCAGCAGCCAGATTACTCGCTGGCACAAGACGAGATACGATCATGGACTACAGAAGCCCATGCTTTTGAAGACTTTCATTTGCTTTCGGTTCCACAGCGCGTAAAGTATAAGCACTGTCTGTATACAAGTGCCTTATAAGGTATGGCACCCCGTTATTTGTCGGGATTTATGCACGCCTGTCGCCAACGATCAGAAACGACAACACCTTAGACCCGCTGCTCATTGTGATGTCGATGTATCTACTGCATATTGAACTTCTTTCGCACCGTACTTAGCCAACAGTGCTAACCGGAGGTGCGGGGATTTCATCGTTGTTATAGGAACCCTGCCTACGCTTTTCAGAAGGCGGCAGGGCCCCCTGTCGCGTGGAATTCTCGACCCCGACAAACTCAAGAACGAAAACACTGAGTTCAACCGCTTCCGGAGAGACCTTAAAATAAAATTAATGAACACAGCGTGACGTGACGGCAGTGCGCATTAGAGGTGCTATTTGCATGATTTTGCATTTCTTAAATTACTATTTACAATTACATTACGTGCATCAAGATTACTAATAAAAAATAACACGTAGAAGAAATGATGTAGTTCGTGTAGCTTTACCATATTTGGGAAATTGTTCCCCTGTTGTTTCCTGAATGTTTGGCTGACAGCACACGTTTCCATTCTGTAGTCAATTTAATAAAAACAGCATCGGCTGAAAATATTATTAAGAAAATGTTGCAGCAAGCTAATAAGAATCCATACTCTTTGGTTCTTTCGGTAAAGTCACGTAGGTAAAATTAACCCGTAAAAACAAAGTTTTTCACTATAAATCCTTTATATGCGTGGCGGCTAGAGTCCTCTCGTCCTCTGGCTTGAGATGGCTGCCACCTATGGGTCAGATGATTGCCTGCCACCATTAAGCAATTGGTAATTAAATATAATTATTTTTTTCTTAAAAAGTGTAAAGTTATGGAATTTTTTTTTCACGAAAATAAATTGTCACGCACAACGAGTCTGTGTGCAAAATGTCAGCTCGATTTGATCACGGGAAGTGGGTTAAAAAACGACCGAAAGATTTGCACGGTCGTAAGCGCGCAAGCAAGTGAACTTAATATAAAGGATTTAATAAAAATGAAAGACCACGACGTTTCGATCGCAACACAAGCAACCGTCATCAGGTGAGACAACGACAGCAAGAAAGCTGCTGTCGTAGGAGGACTGCTTTTCAATTGTGTTTAGTGATTAGCTTGCTGCAAGCGTGGTCAGCTTTAACCCCACGAGTGCTTGTTTGCAGTGCCGACCTGCCACTCGCTCACAATGTCTCTGCCTGTTTTAATTTACTAATTGTGGGGGTTTTGTTGTTGTTGTTGTTGTCGTCGTCAGGGCAGTGACTTTGCACCTTGGAAGTAGCCAACCCCAAGCTGGGATTATCCACTCCACTCCTCGTCTGAGGGCCGTGCCACTTGAAGGTTCTCTCCGCCGGTGGGCTCGGCGGACCGCGCGGGAGGGAGCGACGCCAGCGCCACGCACGACGAGAGGTAGAGCTCGCTATCCGTGATCCTCCCTGCCGCTGTGAAGAAGAGCCGTTGCTCGAAACGTCGCCCGTTGTATACAGTAATGCCCTGGTTTACGCCGGGGGTGCGTTCCTGAAAGGTGTGACGACGAATATCGAAACGACGTCAATCACAGCGGTGTACAGGGTTGATAGAGGCGAAGGATGTTAACGACCTCGTCTGCTATACCGGAGGTCGTGGGTTCGATGCCGACTCTCACGTCTGTATATTTTGCATTTGCATGTTATCCCCGTGGTCGTGGGGATTTTTCTCGGGGTCCTCCGGTTTTTCCTTCCGCATTTAGAATCATACGATTTTGGCTGCTTTCAATTTCCACTTTGTAACCTACTTCGTTGAGCTATCATTTGTGGCCTGGTCGTTTCTGAATAAGAAAAATATAGCTCATTGTGTCTTAGCTGGTGAAAAAATTTTTTTTATAGTTTGTAAAACTATTATCGAGGCAACGGATACGAATGGATGATGATGTCAGCGACGTAGTGTGGGTTGAGGCGACATAAATTAGGTAGTTGTATTAATCAAGTGGCTACAGTATTTGCGAAACTACGTAAAAGGGGGAGACGTAAATCAAAGTATTCCTATATTTGTTTCCCGTTTAGGGCAGCGTTATTGACAAATGTGCTGTGTTTTTGATCTTTGATTCGAGATTAATTGGCAAGTGTACCGTGCTGACAACTCCCTCGGGGATCCGTACGGCGATATCGACATTCATCACGGGCGCACGAGAGAGGAGATAAGGGACTGAAGGAAAATGTGCGCTTTTAGAAGTGCTCACTATCTTAGTCTTAAGCCTCACCTTACATATGACATACATATGAATAAAAAGTGTGCTGTACTTGGCCCTTCTCCCCCCCCCCCCTCTCCAACCATTATATAACGGAGTGGTAGCTCCTGCAATCTCTCATTTACTTGATACAGCTGTCGTGGCTGTGACGGTTCCACCTGAAGACGGAAGCTTGTGTTGCCTCCGAAACGTCGTGATTTTTATTTTATTTTACTTTTATTAATTTAATGTGTTACCTACGTGACTTTACCGAACAAAATCTAAGAATATGAATCCTTGCAGTCACGAAAGCTTCAAATCTAGAATTAAGCTCACTATCTTGTTGGTTCAAGCTCTTCGTCAATCGTGATAATTATACGGTGGCATTAAGGTCCTGTGTGAATTTTCAATGAGTTTTTTTAGCTGTACAACTGGAAGACCTGGTCACTGTGGAAACACACGAGCATTAAAATTCCTTTTGTATGTTAATCTGGCGGTGTCAAAGCCTAATCCGTCGGGCCTACATGCGTATGCTACAGTACAGTGTTTGTGTGCTCACGATGCGCTCACCTATACAGAAGTGAATTCTGGGTGTGTTGTTGACAGTGCTAAAGTCAATTTTGAATACAATGCTGATTGGCGTGGTTGACTATAACATGACATTTGTATCTTGGCACTGTTAATTTGTGACATCTGAGCGCGACAATCCACTGCCTCTTAACGCACCACTGTCCTGTTTCGTTTTGTTGTTCGATTGGCCTTTGTCAGTCCTCGGTGCGTTTAAGGACATGTTTGTGTGTATGTTGAACGTCTGTCGCACTGAACGTCGCCAACCGTGCTACTCGGAGATGAACGCAGAGTTAGCCACACGATTGTTTGTATAATCAGAATTGGAATATTTATTTATACTACAGAAGGAATCCGATGAGCTATAAAGCTCTTTGTCACAAATGTCCAGTAGGAGCGGGTCACAACGCTACAAGCAACAGACGATACGAAAACACGATAGGAGTGCAAAGTATAGGAAAGGTATAAACGAATCACTTAAAAATATACAAATACAACTACATTCTTCTTGGTTATTTCGGTAAAGTTACGTAGAAGGGAAATAATAAAATAATAAAAATAAAACATAATAAAATACAATTCTCACGACGTTTCAGCTACAACGCAAGCAGCCGTCCTCAGGTGAAGAACAGGTCTGTCGGAAAGACAGACCTGTTCTTCACCTGAGGACAGCTGCCGAAACGTCGTGAGAATTGTATTTTATTATGTTTTTTTTTATTTCCCTTCTTCGTGACTTTACCGAAAGAACCAAGAAGATGAATCCCTGCTGTCACGAAAGCTTTAAATCGAAATACAACTACATTATTTGTTTCTCTTACCAGGCAAATCCCACTTAGGTATTCATTTATTTTATCGAAGCGACCTACGTCTCTGATGCCAGGTCGCATCAGAGACACATGAAATCCCTCCTGAGTCATTCCACAATGCGGCACGTGGCTTGCCTCGGTCGGGAGCTGGGAAGTTGCCACGTGATGGACACCGATTAGAGGTGTAACAGTTCGTTCGCCTTGCCCCCGAATGATTCGTCTCCCATTCACTTCAAGAATCGATTCTTTCTGTGACATTCTGTGAAGCGCAACGGCCTCTAGTGGCCGCAGGGGGTCACGGGAAGCTACTACAAGCAACTGGCAGTGTACGAGTCACGAAACATTGTTTCTCATGCGTGGTGCGATATCTTGAGCTTAATGATTACATATTTGTGGATGATTTTAGTAACGTATTTAATGCATTGTTATTACTCCCCTCTAATGTTTGTTGGTCGTATTGTGAAATGCCACCGTTTACCCCATGGGTGGGCGGGGCTATCAGTAAAAACTTCCACATGCTGTCCTCTCTTGTAATCAGACGCTGAACCTTATCCAGTGCTCCAAAGGTCACATCGTACGTGAAACAGTGGCGGTGGTGGTGCTTTCTTTAAAGGTGAGAATCTGACGCGACGCTGCTGTATCCTTAACCTTGAGGATGCAATATACCCAACGAGACACGTGAAACAGCATTGCCTGTTTTGTAAATGCGACCTGGGTTACATCAATGTGTTATATAATGTGCTGCTAGGCAAGAGACAGGGAAGTGTGGATATAGTTACGTGACTAGCGCACGAACGTGCGTGCATAAAGTGCAGTCTGCAATTGTAGCTTTCAAATTTCTGCGTTCAGTTTGCTTCCAAACTGTGACGGCGGTAAAATGCAGTCGCCCGTAAAGATTCGGAGTCAGTCCGATTTGGTTATGTGAAGCCCAGCTGAAATTGGGATTACATTCGGCTCTGATGAATTTGTCTCAACCTTAATTATTTTTTATTTGTATGGCACACACGTAGAAAACTTTACGGGATCCTGCCTTAATTTTACAACCTGCAGCTTAAAACGTCCAATTGTATTAAATACCCTTTTCGCTACCAAGATTACCCAAAGCCTCATCTATGAGCGACCAAAGCTCCAATTTGGTAGCTCATGGGCCCACTAGGTGTTGCCACCCGTCCAAGATGTGGTGGCGGTTTTCAACATTTTCATCCTGATGCCAATTTGTGGGGTCGTTGAATCGAACTGTTGGAGTGGGGTAGACTGTTGCAGAGCTGCGTACAGAAACCCAGCTGCATAGATGAGCAAGCGTGAGCAATCCTGACGGTGATATCACGACGACTGTCCATGCATGAAGCAGGCAAATGAGAATGCAATTCTGCCATTCGGGGAGTCAAAGTGTCGCTTCTCAAATGAGCATTGGGAGTGGTGCTGATCTATAATGGTGCTCATATTTATTTTGTGGAGTGAATTATGGGCTGGTAGAAACGAGGGAGATCTTGAACATGGACTTGTATGTATGTATGTCGAACTTCTTTCGCACCATACGTATAGCCAACCGTGCTTATCGGAGGTGCGAAATTGGAGCATGGAGTTGACAGCATGGGCGGCTGTCAGGAAGCCAGTTGCGCAGGGCAAGGCTTTACTGCATTACGTTTTGAGATAAGGTATGGTGCAAGTTGCCTTTATTTTCCTGAGGAAACCCTATGAGGCAACACGCCTCTTACGCAGGAGAGATAGGAATGAGCAACTTCCACAGAGCAAAGGTTGACCCGTGGCCGGCGAGTCGATTTTCTGCTCCCATAACGCTTTACAGTAAAAGCGTTCTTAGTCTCAAGACTTTTTTTTCAGCTGGTGAGGCCCAAAAACCACTCATGAACCATTGCACAGAGGATGCAGGAGAGCCTTGCTCTGTAGGACTTGCATGTATTTATGGTGAACTTCTTTCGCACCGTACGTAGCCAACCGTGCTAATCGAAGGTGTGGGTGTAAGGACAACAAACTAAACACAAAAAGCAGTTCTAAAGAAATTAGTTTTCAATCTCGAGTGGCTTCCTAATATCGTAAGGAAGAGCGTTCCAGACGTACCGCATAAGCGCATCTGAAAGCGTGCGATGCGGTGACCGTCTTTGTTCGATGGTTAGCCATAAGCCGCTGCTGTGAGGATGACCGGAGTTTGCGTGATGGTTTATGCTCCTTGACCAGATCAGTGAGGCATTGTGGTTCATTTGTGGCAAGCACTTTGTGTGGAATGAGCACGACCTTGAAATCTTTTCGTTCAGTAACCGGAAGCCAACGCAGCTCAGCGAGTACCGCTGAGCTGCATTGTGGGGAGAGGAAGCAGGGCAATTAGAGGAGGCATTTTGATTTGGGAGGGAAGGGGAAAAGGTGGGGGAGGAAGGATTGAGAGAGTGCTGTGAGGAAGGCCAGGTGGAAGTTGATGGCCTGTGACTGCCAAGGCAGAGCTGTGGCTCTGTAAATGACTCTTACGATCTGTGTTGTTTCTGAAGGTTTAAACACTCAGTGTTTGTAAGTCACAGATCTCAATCCTCGGTGTCCACTCCTAAGGTGCGTTGATGTAATAACTCACTCACAGAAGGCCGTGGTGACCGATGGGATGTATAATTGAAAGTTTCTCAGTGGAGAGACTGGCACCTCTCATGAGAATGTCGCATTCCCACCATTAGTTGAGAGCCACCAGTCGAGTTGAGTATATGCCTGTGTTTTGTGTGTTTTGTGTGAGCAGAGAGAGACTCTGCGAATTGTGTTCATTCGTGGCCGGCCTGCAGTGCCCGACAATGCAGGATGGGCGTTAACACTTTACGACTAAGATTAATAACATTCATGCATTAGCTCTGTCCGTCTTTGATATGGGGTCGGTAATATAAGTGGAATTTTAAAACAAAGTTTTGTTGCATTTAGGGACTTGCTCTATAGAAATTGAGCCAAATTTATCAAAGGGTTGCTGAAGACTTGACGATAAAAAAACACCTAACTAAATCTCCATTCAAAACTCATTTCTTAAAAACTGCTTTTTGTGTTTAGTTTGTTGTCATTTCCCCGTACCTACAATTAGCGTGGTTAGCTATGTATGGTGTGAAAGAATTTCAACATACATTCGTACATAAACGGAGAGGCCTCTTCGGCCAAGGCAGTGATGGCACACGCCACGCGCGCCTCGCCTCCCCGTGACGTCATCCCGTCTCGCGACTTCAAGACAAGCGGCGTGTTGGGAAAGCATTCCAGGTTTATATCCAGCGCATGCACGATGTTTTTCCTTCCATGTGGTTTTTATTTTTTTTTCCAGAAGGGCCGATGGAGGAGGGACTCGGAGGCGAGCCGGAATCGGACTCCAACGCCTCGCGAGACCTCGCCTCAAACGGCGAGGACCGAGGAGCGACGTCGGGCACCCGCGACCCAGCCCGGCTGGAGGAGGAGGAGGAGGAGGAGTCGAACCCCCTGGATGTCGTCGGTTCGCCGAGTGGCGGTGTGGAGCCCGATGGCCAGGGCAGCGGCTTCACCAGGAAGGAGTACTTGACGATGTTGTCCGTGGCCAGCATCAACTTTAGCTCCATGATCTGCTACGCGGTGCTGGCTCCGTTCTTCCCTAAGGAGGCACGTAACCGTCCAAGTTGCTCTGTTTGTACAAATAGTTGAAATGTTAATTTTTTATTCCGTACGGAAGTGATCGCTGACCTGACTACGGTGTTCAAGAACACGACGTCACCGGTGCGGTGAGTGAGCTGGCGCGTTGTTGTCTGACTCCGGCTCTCGCGGATTTACCGGCGCCTCGTGCTTGTCCCGCTTTTCCCGCAGGCCGCCAAGAAGGGAGCCAGCGACTCGATCGTGGGCCTCATATTCGGCTCGTTCGCGCTCATGAACCTCCTGTCGTCGCCACTGTTTGGCAAATACGTACGTTGCCTTGCAAAAAACGCATCTGTCCCTTGTTTTGTTTGGAGTAGGGAGTAATAATTTTATTTTTAAATCGAGGAAAGCCTCGCAGAGTCTCGGGACTAATTGTGGGAGTGGGTGGCTGACTCCATCCATCGGTGATTGTCACGTGCGAGGAAACCGGAGAAGCTGGAGAAAACCCCGTACAAACAAATAATGTTTGGCACACGTGTCTCAAGCGCTAGAAACAACGAACATTGTAGAATTCAACAGAGAAGCTCGACAAGTTTCGCATCATTGGATTACTAAAACTTGTAAACTTGAAAAAAATATTCTTGGTTTTTTCAGTAAAGTCACGAAGAAGGGAAGTAATAAAATAATAAAAATAAAACAGTAACATTCTCACGACGTTTTGATTGCAACACAAGCAATCATCATCAGGTGTGAAAACCACAGCAAGAAAATTTGAAAAAAATAATTCTTGCTGTGGTTTTCACACCTGATGATGATGATTGCTTGTGTTGCAATGGAAACGTTGTGAGAATTTGATTGTTTTATTTTTACTATTTTATTATTTCCCTTCTACGTGACTTTACCGAAATAATCAATAATATGAATCCCTGCAGTCACGAAAGCTTTAAATCGAAATAAAAAAATAATACATTTTTTAAGATTCTTGTGACAGCTGTGACGAATTGTGGTTCAAAATGACAACATTTGTACTTAATATTTTATACTAGATGTATGTTTGTCGCTGGGCAGAAGTTTGACGGGTCGAGCTTGTTGTGCTCTGTAACTGGTATCGACCAAATGTCCCAGTATTAAAAAATTCGACTGAAAACAAATAACTCAATTGTGGGATTGCACTTAGCAACACCGTCCCTTCCTGCAAAACCTTTGCAGGACCCTCCTGAAAAAGAGCCTTTAGGCTCCGTGAGGCTTTGCTGGGTAAATAAGCATAAAAATATTAACAATAAAAAATATTCCATTATGGTCCCCAAATTTAAGTTTGGCTCCTTGACTGTTTTGATTTTGTAGAATGGAGGTGTTGGTGTCTCGTCAATCGGAACATCGTCTTTGTTGAGGAGCAGGCAGAGACGGGGGTGGGGGGGGATGGAATTGTGCTGACGGGTGAATGTGTTATTGACGGAGGAGGAGGGTGAATTTGTTATTGGCGGAGGAGGACGGTGAATTCGTTGTAGATGAAGGAAGTGGAGGAACGGTGAATGTGTTGTAGGCAGCGGAGGCAGAGGAGGAGGAGGGTGAATTTGTTGTAGATGAAGGAAGCGGAGGAACGGTGAATGTGTTGTAGGCGGAGGAGGAGGAGGGTGAATTTGTTGTAGATGAAGGAAGCAGAGGAACGGTGAATGTGTTGTAGGCAGCGGAGGCGGAGGAGGAGGAGGGTGAATGTTTTTTCCACGTGTGGACAGATCGTCCACATCGGATCCAAGTTCATGTTTCTGTCGGGGATGCTCGTGTCGGGGACCTGCACGATCCTGTTTGGGTGAGCCGGATCGTCGCCCGAGGCTGGCTCAGCCCATCATCCCTCAACAGATCATTCGTTACATACTGCTCAATTATTATAGATGTACATGGAACTAAGAGAGGCCGTAATATAACAACGACAAAAATGATGGCTCCTTTTTATGCAGGAAAGACTCCGTTAGTCTCGAGAACTTTTCCCCCAGCGGCGGTTGAGTAATTCTGTTGTGGAGACTCATGCTGGGTGCCCCGGCGGTTGTGAATGCAGACTCCTGGACGAAGCCCCCAGCGGGAGTGTCTACATCGCCATGTGCTTCGTCGTGCGCTGCATGGACGCGCTGGGCTGTGCCGCCTCCACCACAGCGTCCTTCACCATCCTGGCCGGCACCTTCCCTAACAACATCGCCACCGTCATGGTGATCGCGCGCGCGCGTGTCTGTGTGGATCACCTGTGAGTGTGCGCGTCACCTGTATGTATGTATGTTTAACTTCTTTTGCACCGTACGTCGCCAACCGTGCTAATCGGAGGTGCGGGGGAAGGACAACAAACTAAATATTTAAAGCGGTTTTAAGGAAGTTAGTTTTTAATTTGTGTCACCTGTGAGTGAGCGTCACCTGTGTGTGTGTTATACAGGCTGGGCTATTCTCTGTCTGGGTGAGTGAGTAGTGTGAGGTCTTCTGTAGTGGAGACCAAGTCTCGTTTAATACTCAAATTACCTGGTCTCTCATGGGGTCTCTGGACAATGGACTTACACCGGTTTCTCACGTAGAAGCTGAGCCATGCTGCCGACATGACATCCCCGCGCAGTGAGCGAGTCGACAAACTTACAGCAGACACGGTGACGCTGTGTTCTCGCAGTGAACCTACCGATGTTACTTGACATGGTGATGCCCCAGTAACCCTACCCGTGGCTCTGCTTGGCCCCGAGCCAGTTGTCTTGAGTCCAGCGTATCACCGTTTGGTTCTGACTCAGCACGGCAAGTAGCCAGCGGTTGTCACCTGCACCACGAAGGCGCTGCGCTGACTTTGCGCGGATAATCGACTGGCTGGCTTTTCACGCAGTCTATGCACGCAGCTCAACTGAAGGAAGACTGGCGGTACATCCAGCCCCGCTACTCGGTAGTTCCTCCACTGCTAGACTGACAGAACCCCAGTACACCCAGCCCTGCCGTTTGCTAGTTCCCCGCAGGTTCAGGGTGCCGCCGGTGTGCGGCGAGATGTTAACTAGCTCGCCTCGTATACAGGAGGCCGGGGGTTCGATCAGGACCCTGACGCCTCTATATGTGGAGTTTGCATGTTCCCCCTGTGGCCGTGTGGAAATATTTTTTTCTGGGTCCTCCGGTTTTTTCCCTCCACATTTAGAATCGGCATCACGCGTTCAGAGTCTTTGGAATGCTATACATTTCCACGTGATAAGCCACTTCGTTGAGCTATCATTTGCAGCCAGGTTGCTTCCGATAAAGAGCTACATAGCTTAGTGGGTCTTACCTGGCGAAATAAAACATAGTTTTGTTTGGTGCGCGGCTGACTGGCAGGGCTTCCTGGAGATCTTCACGGGCCTGGGCCTGGTTCTCGGTCCCCCCGTGGGCGGCTTCCTGTACGAGCTGTGGGGCTTCAAGTTGCCGTTCCTCGTCATCGGCACCTTTGTGCTGCTCATGATCCCCATCAACCTCGCCATCCTGCCGCCGCAAGGTCAGTGTTCGACCCTCGGCATAATAGACTCCCCAGGGGCGCGTGAGCAAGAACGCTAACGGTGCGTGCAGGCCACGTGCTGGATTTATGCAATGAGGAAGTGAACTCTGAAATCCGAGTTTATTGCCTGATTGAGCTCAAAGCAGTTTACACGAAGCGGTCGGATGTTGATGTTGAATTCGGTCATGAAATCTTAAGCCACTTGTGAGCAGCTTCATCACTCATAATTTGATCCGCTACACTGGCAACATATAATTAATATCTTTGTAAACATGACAATCTTGTCGGGTGGTGGAGGGGGAACCAAAAACAAAACATGGATCTTTGTATTGGCCATGGAAACCTACAAGTGAAGTATATTGTCAAAAATGCTGCAGTGATATCCAGCGTCATCTTTGTGAAATGGGCACAAATTATATGTAGCACCTGGCACACGAAGACAAATAGAATCATTATTATAATTCATGCAAATTATGTTAAATTTTGACATAGACGATGCCTACTCTGTCACGAAGCAGAGAAGGCGGCTTCTCACCTGCATCAGCTCCTCCCACCACTCAGCTAGCCCTACCCTCTGCCCGTATCATGAGCCGAGCATGAGGCCAGAAAAAATGTTTAATCGGTATAAAACCACAGGAGCTTCGGGACAGCCTTTCTGTAACCACCGGGTCTCTCCTGGCCAAACTCGACGGACGACGTTGCAAAAAAACGATTTGTGGCGCCTCCTCCCAGATTCGGTGCCGAGCAATGGCTCGTTTGTGCGGCTCGTGATGCTGCCGCCCATCGTCGTCGTCTCGCTGCTCATCTGCTCCTTGGGCAGCTCGCTCGGATTCTTCGACCCCACCTTCTCCCTCTTCCTCTCCGAGCAGGTGACTTTGCGTCCCACGTCACTTTTCCCGTCGACCTCCTGATCTCTCATCGCCTCCTCCGGCGCCTCTTGCGCACTAACAGTCCCTCACCGTTCGGCGTCTGTGGAACTCTGTCGTACCGATCGGCAGAGTGGCCGCCGGGCGTAGCGGCAGTGTTGGTATCGCGTGGTTTTTGCCTCGCGTTTGGATGTTTGCAGTTTGACCTGAAGCCCGGGAAGATCGGCCTGGTGTTCGCGGGGCTCTGCATCACCTACGCGCTGAGTTCCCCTTTCATTGGATACATCAGTGACAAAAAACCGGTGAGTGTTCAACCGGGCTCAACGAGTGTGGCGAGTTGACCGTCTGAGCCCAGCCACCAGCGGTTCCACATTTTAACAGATGCGATTTGAATATACCGGTCGGAAATGCTAATGAAAAAAAATCCAAATTGATTTGCATAATAATTTTGATTCCCCTGATTGTTAGGTCACATGCGTGTTAATTTAATAAACGTGTTGCAACTGCTTCTCCACGTCGGGGTGTCTGGTTTGAGAGGAGTTCTTGAAAAACTTGGTAACGAACACGTATTATATATTCTTCAAAGATAAACCGTCACAATACACTTTGCTATGTATCGTATCATCTCCCCACAGATGGCCACACGATGAACTGATTCCACCCACTTAAGTCCTCCTATTCCCAACAACAACAATAACTGACTTGGTGGACATTGAGATGTTGTGGCTTACCAGGTTCTTCCAGGTCGCCCCTCGTCTCCGGCTGCTCCTGCCCCTGTGAAGGTGTCTCCCTGTCTCCTCCGTGTCATTGATTTTGTTTGCAGCATCTGAGGCGCCGCATCATGGCGATCGGGGCCTTCGTGTCCGGCATCTGTTTCTGCATGCTGGGCCCTGTGCCGTTCCTGCACATCCCCACGTGAGTTCCGTCGCGTGCCTGCAGAAGAGCGTCGTCGTCTTTGTTGTTTTGAAATTTATTTTTGTCTCCCAAGTTAAGTGGCCAGGCGGATCGGGTCACAGCGCTGAGCCGGCACTGCTGAGATCCTACATTCAAATCCAAGTTTGACCTGGCTGGGATAAACGTTCACCAATTGTCTGTGGACATCAATTGGCTGAAAACTTCTTCATATGTAGAGAACTGCAGAGCAGTTTTTGGCGCTGGCTCGCCACCTGGCAGTCTTCGAGCTTGGTCTGTGGTTTCTCAGCGATTGTGAGATGCAATTCGCATGTAACAACACTATATATACATACAACATTGATCATGAGATTAATCATTAGATTCAACAAGGTTCTCAAGTTTAGTGAGTTTTGGTCTCAGCTGGCCACCAATCGTTGCATTGTAATTAATCTAAATTGAATAAAACCAACCCCATTTTGGTGGTGTTTTTTTGTGTACAGTCGTTCCTGTCAGGCCATTAACTCTCTACGCTTGATTACCCAGTTTCATCGCGGGTGTGTGGTTGAACCCTGGATTAAAACCCAGGCTATCATTTGTCATATTGTAATGACGACTTTGCGCACTTGTGTTGAGATGGTTTCTTTACTAAGGAGCCACGTGCTCACGCTCAGGACAGGCGGAGACCTCCACTGCAACAGCCCCGAGTTTCCCACGCATCTCCCTTATGTACGGTCCGAGGCCACGCCCCCATTCCTGAACCTTCTCGCTGGCTCTAGACCGCTCGCTCTACCAGCAGACTTTACCATCCTCTTCCGTCACCTGGCCATGCTCCTATTCTCGATCATTCCCGTAGCCACCAGTCCATTCGCACTGCAGGCTGACTCCCCTGTCATTACCTCCCGTGGCCACTAGTCCACTCACTCCTTAGGTAGATTCTACTGTCATTACAGAAGAGCTGTATAGCTCAGTGGGCCTTACCTGGTAAAAACACAGTTCAGTTTTAGTTTAGGGTGGCCCGGGAGACTGTGAACCTTTCGGGGGACCCTCTTCTTCTCTGCTCGTGCCATTCATATCCGCTGGCGGGCGCCGTGTGTGCGCGTGCCGCTGCTTCCCTGTGGCCGGTGCGAGCAGGCAGTTGTGGCTGCTCGTCGTGGTGCTCTTCGTGCTTGGAGTCTCCATCGGCACGGCCATCGTCCCCACCTTCTCTGAAATTCTCTCCATGGCCTAGTGAGTCGGGAGGGTCAGGCTGGGTACGTTCGCCGGGTTTCGCTACCCATCGCGCGCCCGGTGGGTGGTCGCACGAGGATGGAATGTGGCTCCGTTGATGGAGCCAGAAGGGCTCGTGTGGTTGTTGTGCAAGTCTACGGTTTAACACCGTTGTTCAGTCCACAGACAAACCTTTATATGATAAGGTTCCAAAATGAAATACATAAAGGTGGCCATAAATACTTTAAAGGGGGGTGCACTTGGATTGGTATTGCATCTACACTTGCGTGTTTCATCTAGACTGCCTGTGTCAAGTCTTGTTGCACAGATTGAATCGCTCTATGGCAGTCAGGAATGTGGTGTGTGCTATATTCATTCTAACTGCATAAGGTTTTTCGCGGTGGCTATAGCACCAAGCAGGAGTGTAGTACCTGACTGTCCCGGGAGACCGGCATCTGTAATGGAACCTGTATCTGCCCCGCAGTGAGAATGGCTTCGAAGAGGGTCTGGGTACGTTGGGCCTGGTCTCTGGCCTCTTCTCAAGCCTCATGTCCTTCGGGTGAGCCGACGGACGCTGCTAACAAACGCTCATCTGCACGGCCCTTACCCCCCCACCGCTTGTCGCGTTTGTAGTTACCGGCCGAGGAGGGTCCCGATCGCTCGACCACTCGATCGCTGCCTCATCTAGTTCACTCAGACTTCCAGTTCCAGCTTCGGGGCTCTGCCGTGTGCGGGTCAACCGCTCAACACTGTGCATAGTTGTTTTGTTGGGCAGCTTCGCATGCAGCAGGGGTGGCGCACGCGTGCTAAAACGTGCTGAAACGGTGTGGCCTATGATCGACCTTGGCCACGCGCCGGTCTGTTTCGTCCGACTCAAGGCAATTTGGCTAGCTGGGGCCTACGCACGAGAGTAGCTGAAATTCAGTGGAGAAGTAAGACACTGCTGGTCCCTGTCCCCCGGGCTGACTGGCACCAGCGAGTAAGTTACGAGCCGAGCGGCGGCAGTGGTTGGGATATAATCGCCTCGCTGTGAGCCACGAGGCCATGAGCCGCAGACACAAAGGATTGGCCTGTACACTGACAGATGTCAAACATTCATCCCCCGTCCCGTCGCCATCATCTTCATATTAGCATTAACCTGCGTGTTTTATGAATAGTTGCTTCTCATTAGCAGCTGATTCAATGAGACGAGCCCTAGACGAGTTTCAACATCCGCGGCTCCGGCAAGATGCTGCCTGAATAAGGCCGAGTGAAATCAAACTCTTTCAAGGTGTTGCCTTAAAGAAATGAAGCTGCAACAATACATTGCTTCAGAAGACTGTGGCATGTATGACACTCGTAATTTAATACCCACAATCCACCACTGCAGCATTTGTGTACGTTAAACGTTAGCATTTATGTCCCATGTCTTAAAATGATCTGCCAACCCCGCAGAAAAAGTAAGTCGACGCCCAATCGGCTCGTAACCTAATTGATGTGGAAAATACCAATACTGTTGATGCATTACCCACGTTCCACAAAGGCAGCACACGATATTATTTTGAATACCATTGCTATCAACCCATACGGTTTACCCGTATTCTTATATAGAAATTTATTTTTCTTTTTTTGTGTTTCTGCCTTGTGATGGGACTTTGTCGGATGAACGTTGAGATCTTTGAGGGCACGGGGTAGACCAATAAGGTCTGAATTGGTCTGTAATAAGGTAGGCACTGACAAGGGGTTGACCGGTAGGGAATAGCGACATCGATTTTCAGTTGCGCGATAACGGTTGAAACACCCTCTGGCAGCCGGGTGAACGTGTAGCTTTGGGGGAACTCAACTAAGAGTTCCCCAAAACTACACGTTCAGCCCGGCTGCGAAATTGAAGGTGCAGGGGAAGGACATAAAACTTAACTGTGTTTTGTGTTTAGTTTGTTGTCCTTCCCCCCGCACCTCCGATTAGCACGGTTGGCTACGTACAGCGCGATAGAAGTTCGACATACGTACACACACACGCACAGTTCAACTTTTGTGGAAACAGCGCAGTGACGGCCGCCCCCTTTCCGTGCACCCCAGGAGCTTCGTGGGCCCCACGCTGGGCGGATTCCTCAACGAGCGAATCAAGTTCAAGTGGGCGTCCGCCGTGCAGGGACTCTTCCTGCTCGTGGCGGTGAGTGGGGACGTGCATCGCTCCACCCCAGAGACGGCACGCCCGGCCGTGGGCAACGCGGTTTAACCCCAACTCGTTACGCTTTGCCGCGGAACGTTATGAACGTATGTGGAACTTCTTCCGCACCGTACGTAGCCATCCGTGCTAATTGGAGGTACGGGACAAGGACAATAAACTAAACACAAAAAGCGGTTCTAAAGAAATGAGCTTCCAATGTAGATGTAAACGTGCGTAGCTCCAGTAGCTTCCTAATATCAGAAGGCAGAGTGTTCTAGACGGCTGCAGAAGCGCATCTGAAAGCGTGCGATGCAGTGGACCGTCTTGTTCGATGACTAGCCAAAGAGGGTCACTGCATGGGTTAAAACCTGGCATATAAGGAGGTCGTGGGTTTGATTCCAACCCCCTGACGCCTGGAGTTTGTGTGTTCTCTCTCTCCGTGGTCGCGTGGATTTTAATCCAGGTCCTCTGGTTTTTCCCTCCACATTTAGAATCAACATGCGTTTTGAGTATTTGGCTGCTATAAATTCCCGCGTGATATGCTACTTTGTTGAGCTATCATTTGTGATAGCCAGGTCACTTCTGAAAAGGACCTCACCTGTTGAAATAAAAAATATTAATGAAAAATAGTAAGAATAAGCTCCTCATGTGTGTGCTTTGAGCATAAAGGGGAAAGCTCCTGGACCAGTTGGTATACGTTTAGAAATGGCGGCCAAATGTGAGCACATGCCCCCTCCCTCCTTTGGCTGCCCTTTCATCAACAGTCTTCAGAATCAGAATATTTATTTATACTGAAGGAATCCATCCAATGAACGAACACGTTCCTTCGGAGTGGGCAGGTAGGGACTTGGTTGGACAGCGCATTCGTGCGATCCGTGTCACGCGGCGCAAGCTGCGTGGGGCGGCGCGTCACGTGGTGCTGAGCCCGCCCGAAGCGCTCTGTGAAATACAAATCGAGGGCGTGGCTATGCATGACAGACAGACAGACAAATAATCCCTGGTGGGCAGTGTGGAAGCTGTTGTTCCTACCTGTAGGAGTGGGTCAGAACATTACAACAACAAACAATTAAAAAGCACGATCAGAGTGCAAAGTATAGGAACGGTAAACAAATCACTTACAAATATAAAACTAAATAATGTTTTATCTTACGAGGTAAAGTCCACTGATGTATTAACTTATTTTTCAGAAGCGACCTCAACGAAGTGGCTTATAGGTAAATGTATAGCAGCCAAATACACTAAATGCATGTTTGTAAATGTGGAGGGTGAAATCTAAGGACATGAAAAAAATCTACACGACCACGGGGAGAACACGCAAACTGCAAATATACAGGCATAAGGGTCGGGATCGAACCCCCGACCTCTTGTATACCAGGCGAGGGAGATGAAATTACACCACCGTGGCGCCCCTTAAATAAATCATGTAAGTTCAAATTGTGTCATCAATTCCTGAGCTTGGAAAAAGGCAGCAAAACAACAACAACAAAAACAGTCCCAGACCACACCAAGACAACACACAGTCCCTCAATAAAATTGAACATTAAAATGGAACTTTCAATAAATTATTCTTGGTTCTAAAGGAAAAGTCACGTGGAAGGGAAATAATAAAATAATAAAAATAAAACTATTACATTCCCACGAATAATAAACCCACAGCAAATTTTCTTGCTGTGGTTTTCACACCTGATGATTGCTTGTGTTGCAATCGAAACGTCGTGAGAATTTTATTGTTTTATTTTTTTTCATTTCCCTTCTACGTGACTTTACCGAAAGAGCCAAGAATATAAATCCCTGCAGTCACGAAAGCTTTAAATCGAAATTTCGATACATTGTTAAGAATACATCTTCTTTGTCCATTGGCTCAAACAACATCCCTTGAGATGCATCCTGCCCAAATCCACGATTATTGACGGGCAATATGACCAGTGCCATGTGCGTTTTTGTTATTGCGGATAACAAGAGCCGCGGGTATGAGCCATGATTACTGTTGATGTCTGTCCAGGTGTCTCAACGGTGCCACTTTTGCTGTACTGCTGTCAGTGGAGCGAGCACAGCCTTGCCGTGTTCAGAACCAGAATGTGTCTTTATCCTGGAGGAATCCGATGAGCCGTGAAGCTCTTTTGCATAGATGTCCAGTCGTGTTACCAGACACTCGGAGTGAATTGAGTGGAATGCTAACACTGTTGACCCGTTTTGTGTGTTTGTTCCAGGCTTGCATTATGTCCACGTATTACATCTGTGTGGCCAGATGCAAGAAAAGGTACGTGTTATTGTTTTTATTGATATTATTACTATGAATCACGTTTGTTTGCCCACGAAAGCCTCAATGAGTCTTCAGACATTTGTGTAATCTCTATTGAATACCTCACAAACATGAATACCTAACAATAAAATATAGTAAAAATATAGTAAAGCAATGAAAAACGTTTACATGAAGGCAAACACTATAATCACACAAGAAACAGATGATAATGCACAAACTTTAATCACCATCAAATAATAATTTCCCTGTAGCATAAGTCGGCTGGGCAGAATATCTTTAGACTGATCGATCATCATACAGCTACACTTAACAGAAGCATTAAACAGATAAAAGGGCACCATTGTACTGATATGTAAATGGGTGACAATATATGTGGGATGCCATCGCAAGTGACGTGATAATTCACTCTTTCCCCTTCCGAGATATCTGCAAGTTGCAGAGTGGGTGTCCCGTTCACCGCCGCATCTCAGAACGCGCAAGTGGTTAGCGTTCATTTTACTTTGAGAGTTGCATAGCGCCGTTGTGTTTAAAGACATTGTACTCACCGCTGAGAACTGCAGCGACACAACCACAACTCTATGATAGCTGGTGCCAAACTGTGCCACATGCCCTCCAGCCTGGCCTTCTGGGAGCATCGGTGCATCTTCCAACCTGAAAATGACCTGAATACGTACCGATAAAGTTATTTTATCCAAATTAAAGTTGTTGTTTTTTTGGGTTAGTGTGCCTAAATATAAATGTGTCGTTAAACCCGCCACCACCCGACACAGCCAATTAGTGTTTGTCACGTAAACAAAACGTGCCAATTCGATACGAGTTCAGCACACCGGCATGTTGGAGAGTAAACCCACAACATTTACAATTCGAGTATGATGTTTTGCTGGTGGTTACAACAACGACGGTTCCACCTGAAGACGGAAGCTTGTGTTGCCTCCGAAACGTCGTGATTTTATTTATTTGTTTTCTTTTTTTAACCTACGTGACTTTACCGAAGAAACCAAAGAGTATGATTTCAACAACCTTCATCCGGTGATTAGCCAGAATATTTTAGTTTTTCTTCCGATTCCGCTCCGATGACGTACACGTACGTACACTCACCTAATCTGAATGGGAAAGTGCTAACTACCTTGTTGAATGCTACCTGCCCTCTGACTGCCCCCCCACCCGTCCCCAGACACCGTGAGGCTCAGGAGCGGAACGAGCCTTCGGCCGATGAGACCAGGCCCCTGCTCTCCGAGACTCCACGCTGAGCCACGACGGATGGGCAGAGAGAGGGAGGGAGTGGACGCGTGTGGAGGCGGGCAACGGGGAAACGCTTCCACTGCGGGCAGAACGCTGGGACGAGCAGGAAACACGAATGTGGGAGAGTCGGGCCTTTACGAAATTTGTATGAAATGCAGTCGTGAAAAAGAGTGGAGCCATGGAATTTTGTTTTACTCTGCGCATACCTCCACTAGCTTCAGTCAATCTCAAGTCCGTTTTCTGTACAAGTGAGACTTAAGGGAAATACGGTCGTGGTGAAGAGTTTGCTCATCCCTCCAAAGCGATTTGATGAAATAGAGTTATTGTTGCACCGTCACTTGTATTGCTTCTCGTAATTTTTTCTGCAGTTTGCTGAATTGCGTTTACTCAGTTTGCCTAAACGGTTAATTAACGTATCAATTACATATCGTTTGTATTAATAGTAAACGTGGAATGCTATTAGTAACATATGATGTGAACGTGAGAGTATTTTATTTATTAATTGAGATATCGTTAAATGCCCCATTTCGCGAAAATATGCGCAGAACTTGTTACTGTCCTACTTTCCCTGCCTCCTTAACAGTTCAGTTGCATGTTCATTCTCGGCGAGTTTAATGGGGTTTTTTGTTTTTACCTAATGCTCCACTCTATTTTTCACGGTGGCCACTTCACCATCGAAGGCCCAGGAAGACTCGAGAAAAAACAAGCGCTTGTGTCTTCTGATTTTTACAGCACTTTTATCGCTCAATCATGCCGTATCAGAGATGTTGTAGTTTTGTAACAGAGGAATAATTATAGTCGTGGTTTATCACGAGTGTGGCCAAGAAGGTGGTGCGTGGGTGTGTTGTCTTTGGTTTTTGGAATGGGTGTGTGCACGTCCAGCCGTCTTTAGCATACGCCCGTTTTGCTGTGCACTTGAGGTGCTAGGGTGGTGAGATGTTAACTACTTCGCCTGGTATACAGGTCATCGGTTCGATCCTGACCCTAACGCCTGTATATTTGGAGTGTGCGTGTTCTCCCCGTGACCGTGTGTATTTTTCTCCGGGTCCTCCGGTTTTTCCCTCCACATTTAAAAACGTGCGTTTAAGTGATAAGCCACTTTGCCGAGCTATCATTTGTGGCCAGGTCGATTCAGTGGGCCTTTCCCAGTAAAATAAAACGTTCATTTTTTTCTTCCTCCCGTTCACGTTCGATCGCTATGGGCTCCATTGCCGTTACGTTTAGAGAAATTGTCAGAAGTTAATCGGCTTTCCCGTACTTAAGCAATCCAGGTTGTGTCGTGGGCTATCCAACACGAGCTTGAATCTTTGTTTCTGAGAAAACACAGACTTTATAGTGCTTGTCACGCAGCTCATGACAGCACCGGTGAGATGTCACTGTTGAATCACTACGTGCACTACGATGAATCGTGGATGCTGCCGTAGTTCAGTGGGTAGTGCAACTGGGCTTGTCAACCTCGACGTTGCCGGTTCAATCTCCCGGCACGGCGGTTCAAACGATGAGACAACTTTATTAACCCCGCCTCTGTCCACCCAGCGGTATTAATGGATGCACTAGTCGGCAGGTCACGTGTGGTGGGGTAAAGTGTGGGTACTGCCACGTCTTCAAAGACGTCTGGCCAAGACACCCACTTGAGCATCCCTCGATTTTTGAGGCCCCTTGAGGCCAGCTGTGGCATGAGCAAGATCCCGTATGGCTGTCGTCCTCCTTGCTAACGTGAAGTGTAATATGTCAATGCGGTAATGTCACGAGAGCCGCGTTAGGAACGGTAACTTTATAGTAAATGCCCAGAAGCTTCAAACAGCCCAAGGCACGCGTCCTTGGTACGTGTACCCGAGACCCATATTGTGGGTTGCGTGTCCCTTCGTAAACACCAAACCGTTTGTCCGCATGTGTTTACAAATATTTTAGTCGGTTATTTAGCTGGGTATGGTCCCCACTAAGCTACATTACGAGAACCTGGTTCAAGCTCAAGGTTGTGTGTTAACCCGGTTAGAGATCATTGGATAACCTTACAAGGCACTGTGTTGTTTTCTTAGCTGTGCGTCTCAATACAAACACGTCGGCGTTTGATAAATCTAATTTATATTACTCGATTCAACATGTTTGGGAAAGGGACGTCTGTTAATAGTACGCTTTACTTTTTTATTCAATCACAATCTTTATCCTGGAGGAATCCGATGAGCTATGAGGCACTGTTTTTTTTACAGATGTCCAGAAGGGGGCGGGTCAGAAAGTTGCAACAACAAACAATACAACAACACGGAGTGCAAATTATACGAAAAGTAAGCAAGTCGCTGAAAACAAATCTAAGGATGTAACTAGAAATTGCAAAAGTACATACATTTCTGCGGATTTTTGTAACACGAAATGCAATCTTGGGCAAGGCAACAATAACAACAAAAACTGTCCCAGACCACGCACATTAAGATGTGACTATCGGTACACAGGCGTAAGATCAAAGTTACAAATCACATTTTCAGCTGTGGGTAGTATCCAGAATATATCTTTCTCCAGGATATTTTGTTCAATGAAGATTTACGAAACTAAAGGGGAGGTAACAAGGTTGTTTCAAACCGTTACAACGGCAAAGGCTTTGTCACCTACTCCAATTCTTGTTCTTGGGATAGTTAAAAGGCAATTAGCCTGACGCCTTGGGGTTTGACAGGGGTTTATGGAAGTATACTGCATCGCAGATTTGCCAATAAGGATATCATTTAAATCGTGGCACTCAAACTTGTATAGGTTCGATAACACATTGCCTATGACCTTAGCCTTCATTTCTCAACGGATGACTCTTCGAAACTCTTGGACGATTTCGTATTAAAAATGCTCTTGCATGACGCCGGAGTAGCCGTAGAGCCTTGCACAAAAGCCTTACACAAGCAACTTCCAGGTCAAATGTGCTCTGCATTGCAAAATAATGTTCAGCCCTGTCGCCGCCGCTTCACTGATGCATGAAGGGGCCCTCCCAGTGCCGTCTCGGGCGTGCAGATTGCTTGACCATACTTCTCCACACTGGTCGGTGTGGGATTGTGGTGCAGTGGGGAGCGAGGAAGGGGTTTGGGGCCAGAACCCAAAACCAGTTAAGATATCGGTTGCTACTAATATTCGCAGGGGCCAGGAATTAAACTCTTTAAATTTTTTTGCAGTGCACGTAACACGGCTTAATGATGCGGTGGGTTTTATCCACTCCACATTTTAATTGAGTAAAAAATATCTATTGATTTGATTTGGGCTTTTTTTTCGTTGGCAATTGAGCGGTTGTCAAGCAAAAAATGGTGAGATCCACCGGTGAAGCCGAGAAACACTTGACGTTTCGAAGGTGTATAAATGAAAAGGGATATTACAAAAAAAATCCTCGGCATAACTTGTGGCAGCGGGGCATCAGAAGTGCTGACGATCTCTTCAAGAGGTGCAGCTGCTATGCAAAGCAAACAATTGACCGTAAATTTTAAATGTGGCACCCATTCTTTCGTTGGTCACCATGCGTGTCTGCTTTTTCTTTTTTGCAATTGTCTTTACCCGTGGTATTGTACGGCCTCTAAACGCTTCGCATCGAGTGAACGTGATACGAAGTCGTGCACGCCGAGTTTTTAAGGGAGTTAACGACACGTAATACCTACCTCATAGAATGTTGGATTTGAAAGGGGTATTCGATATTTTCACGTGGTTTATGATGTAAAGCATTGATTAGGCGGTGGTCGGGTACAATGAAGTGTGTTGGTTTGTGTCGGTCGGTATCTGGCTTCGCACACATACATCTGCTGCTGCTGCAACTAAATTAAACTTCAGTATGCATAGCACCAAGCTAAACTCGGCAGTCCTGAACTGTATTACCTTAAAAAGCACATTAAATATGTCCACGAGATTAAACAGAAGCACGAGTCGAGTGATTTATTGCATAAATAAAAAAAAGGGGACGATGCAACACAAACCGAGAATGAATGAGTGAAATACAACACCGGACACCCCCCAACAAATGGGGGGTGGGGGGCAGTGTTACTCGCATTGAATGAATGTCCACGTGCACTATTGGGAGCAGGTGGCTCGTGAAGCGAAGCCACACATGGGGAGCGATTGGGTGAGGTGCAATGCAAAGTCGTGTACACAGACACACGTTATTTGTACTGGAACCCGCGATGATAAAACTCAACGTTTAACCTACTCACGCCGGCTTGTGCCCGCCCTCAGTCGGACATATTTGCGGAATACACCACGCCACCGTTGACCCTGGCCATTGACCGAGCAACCCAACGTTCCTACCAGCTCCCTCCGCAGGAATGTGTTTTGTACTGGAACCCACGATGCTATGAAGCTCTTTCGCAGGTGCCCAGCACCAAAGCTGATAGGCAATGGCGGGCAATCAGAGGTGATATACTTGTAGATATAAATTAAACAATTGCATGTTGTCAACCAGGGAACGGTCGCCGACCTTTCAAATCTTCATTAGCTCGGTGCATTGGGAGGGGTTTGCAGGCCTGGTTCATGTCACTCATGACGAATGTAAGCCATGGCCAGAGATTGAACTTGGGGTACCAGGTCGATAGCGCGGTGTGAGCTACTGCCCCATTGCTCGCACCTTAAATGTAATTTGCATTACGTATACTCGTCTTACATCGAACAAATATGAATATAAGTCCGTTTCGGTATCTCTTGCCACATTGCAATTTTGCAGAATGCCAGTAAAATGTTTAAAAGTCTCACCCGTGTATATCATTCAAGAAGTCGTATCAATTACAATTCGTCGGTATAGCCTAGATCTAAGGGAAACATTAATTTCAACCACAGCCAAAGGATTATAATCTACAGCAAACGTACACTAAATGGATATTGTCTGTATATTTTCCAGTCAGTTTGCAGTACATCTATGTATTATTTTAAGTAAACCACAAGATATAGGTCACAGTATTCATAAAAACATGCTCGAATTATCTAAGAGCAGGAACCTGTTTTATTGTTTACACAACAAAAAACCCAACTGGTATATATTGACTTTGCCTATGTACCCTGGGCTGTCTGACACGAGTTTAAAGCTTCATTAATGAAAAGGAACTGACATTACACCTGCGTACCATTATAACAATGTCGTAACATCACCTCCATGCATTGTAATACAGTACAAATTATGCCTGATCACAACTTTAAAGTTGTTTTTCACGTGAACAATTCTTCAAACTTGTGAGAAAGCTCAGGACATAGCCTAGGTACGTGTCAACAAGGACTGATCGTAATTATGGGACCCTTTCTCCAGTATGCCACGGTGGCAAGATGTTAATTACCTTGCCTGTTGTACAGGTCGTGGGTTCAATCCCAACCCTTATGCCTGGATATTTGGGGTTAGCATGTTCTCCCCGTGGTCGCGTGGCTGCTTCTCTGGGTCCTCCAGGTTTTCCCCTCTACATTTAGAAACATGCGTTTAGAGTATTTGGCTGCTGTACATTTCCACATGATAAGCCACTTCGTTGAGCTATCATTTGTGGCCAGGTCGCTTCTGAAAAATAGCTATATAGCTCAGTGGGCCTTTGCTGGTAGAATAAAAGTAGTTAATAGTATCAAGACATCAAATCATAAAATATCGATTTACCCTTGCTGCTGTACAGGAGTATTTATACTGGTGAATGGGGGTCCCTATAGCTATAACTGCTTAAACCCAGCTATGAATGCTTTGGTGTTTGCTTACTCCTTGTAACTGCTCGCCTTTGGGCGGCCTTTCGTCATAAAACAGTCTGCCTCCGGTGCAGACCCAACCAGTTGCAGGGAGAGTGCATACATTATCAACGCATATTTGTTTGCGTTTTTTTACCACATGCACGCGTGGTTGATGCAGACTTGATGCCTTGTGATTAGTGTCCGCGGGACTTTGCCGTGCTTACTCGTTGCACCTCTTTAAAATGTGTGGGCCTTTCCATGACATATATCCAACATGCACAATGAAAAAACGTCAGTGCAGGCCTCTGCATCACATTACAGGCAGCCACCGGCTTTAGTGGCTGGGAATGACAAAACAGATGATATTTTTAAATGTACTCATGCCAATATTTTACCCAAGAAGATCATAACCACTATGGACATTTTACAGGAGGGTCCTCCATTGGGATGTTTGGCCAGTTCCATAAATGATTGAGTGGCATGTAGGGAAAAAAAACACCAGAAAATCAACAGGGAATGTTATACAAGGAGATAAAACACTGCCAACTCCTTACGATCTCACAGCCCCAAGCCAACAACACCTGGAAAACCCTGGTGTATTCCATCCATGTCAAATATTAACCAGGCTCAACTCTATTCAGCTCCCAAGATATGAGAAGCTTATAAGTTGATTGGGTCATATTTGTTCCCACTCGCTGGGGGCAAAGCTCAATTGAAAAAAGCAGCAGAGCTTCCAATCATCGCCATCATCACCACTACTCTAGTGGAGGTAAGGAGTACAGCAAAACCTTGGACTGCGAGCATAATTCGTTCTGGAAACGTGTTTGTAATCCAAAGCACTCGTATATCAGTTGTGATCACGTGACGCTCGGCAGACAAAGCGTATATACGTACTACTCGTATTGCAAGACCTCGCTCGTTTATCAAATTAATATTTATTTTTAAAAATTACTCGTCTTGCAAAACACTCGCAGACCAAGTTACTCGCAATCCAAGGTTTTACTGTACAACCTCGCGAGGGTGCACCACGTGATCGTTGCTACGTGGTGAGGCAGATCCCCACCGTGGAACCACACATCTGGTCTCGGGGTCATGCGCACATCGTTACGTTATAAATAGACCGATCGACACAAGTCAACACCGACATGCATTTAACACGAAAAGCCATCGCACACATTGCTACCTGCTGCTAAACGTAAAAGATTTCGGTCTCATTTAAAGCTATACATTTTGTAACACGATTAAGTAACTTGCGTACCATTACCGTTGTCCGAGTGTCGTTAAAACGGATTTATTATTCATTAACGTTAACCAGTTACAAATGTATACGTTGTGCTCGAGACGGCTCAGCACCACGTGCTACACAATTGTCTATTCCGTGCTGTGACCGAACCAAAACGTTAAAACCACCGTTGCAAAATGCAAAAGTGTAACTACAGCATTAATATTCCGGAACCCCAAAGACCGATGTTCAAGAATAACCCACCGCTTTGGAACGCATCCACACGGCACCCAGCATGCTCTCCCTTAGCCGGCGTGCGAAACCCAAGGCTCACAACGCACACGAAGCACAAGCCCAGGTAACAAAAAGGCACCTCTCGCATGCCAGACTTGCGGGGTTTGCATAGTTTCCAGCCACTAAAGCGACAACTCCGGTTACTTGTAAAAGCCCATTCGCCCAACGAGTTCGTCATTCGCATTAACGAAAGGCTTCTTGTAGTCTGGGGGTGAGCTACTTGACCGTAGAAGCCCAGGGAGCCATCACTTCCGACTGCCGTTGTTGAGTTTCTTCATCCCTTTGAGGCTCGACAGCAGATCCGCGATGAACCCCTGCAATGAGGCACATTAGTTTCTACGTCCGCGCGACCACGAGACGGTTGTGTCGTGATTTCATATTAGTTATCAGTTCCAGTCATTGTCTGCGGCTTCCTTGTGCCCCTGGGGGGCATCGACATATCGAATATCAAGGTGGCACTTACCTCTGGGCTCCAGAGTATAGATTTCTGGGTTCGATCGTGGAAATATAAATGTATCATTAAACCCGCCACCACCCGATATAGCCAATTAGTAAGGTTTGTCACGTAAAGAAAACATGCCTATTCGTTACTAGTTCAGCACACCGGTGTGTTGGGGAGTAAACTCACAACATTTACCATTCGAGTACGCAATGTAACCCAAAAACCTCACGGATATTGTTCGCAAAAGCCTACGTTTAAACTCACCTCTGGGCTGTTGGCGCATGCCTGTAAGATTTCCTGGAATGGCATAAAAAATATATTCATAAAAAATGTGAATTTGGCTGTTTTTACAAGAACAGTGTGCGTGAACACTTGTCAATATTGACTGCTGATTCTGTATGCGAGTCCATTGAAACAAAAAATATATCCACGCTCATACTTTTTAAGGAGCTCCCTTGTCAGTCATGAATCCCAACATAAACTGCACATCTCTATGATGGGGGCCTGCCTATCCAAGGATAGGCTGAAAGAAACTTGTCCATCGTTTCAACTGCCGCACCAGATCAAATAGTGGTTGCTCGTAAAGTGTGCTAAAGACAGCATTAATAGCTGTTGTATTTATTATGCTGTTGTATTTATTATGCTGTTGTATTTATTATGCTCGTATACCCAGAAAAGCCTGAGTCGCGTGACTCTTTTTCAGGAGGGTCCTCACAAGTTATCGGGGCGATGAAGAGGTCACACCATGACGCCAGCTCACATGATCTTTAACGTCCACTATGATGCACACGCCACGTAGCATTTCAACTATAAAGTAGAGTGTTAATGAGGGCCGCCACTTGGCCATGTGACCACCGTAGTTAGTTAGTGGTGGTTTGCTGAGCATTACTGGTAGTAGTAATTCAAGTAGTTGTTGTTACTCCAATGAGCTCACCCGTAGCTGCTCCGCCCTCTCCTCATCCGTGTTGAGCTCCAGGAGATGGTCGATGTCAATTTCCAGCTCTGGCATCTCTTCCTCCTGCAGCACACACAGGAGGAAAGCCTCATTGAGTCGCGAGTCCTTTGTCAGGAAAGTATTGCCCCCCTGGGGTGTTTTGCGAATTCCGTTTTACCTTTACCTGCTGCAAAGTGAAACACTGCATGGAAAATGCAGTGTCTGAAAGGCGAGAGTGGCTTAAGTAGTTTAGAGTGTTTGGCTACTATAAATTTGCATGTCACTTCGTTGAGCTATAATTTGTGGCCAGGTCGCTTCCGAAAACGAGTTATACAACATGGTGGGTCTTACCTGTTAAAATAAAAATGATTTCAAGAGTTTAATAGTTTATGATCAATCTGTGTGAAATTTGAGTGGGGTTTTTCCAGGCACTCCAGTGGATTTTTCTGCACTGCCCCTCCACCACTCACAACTGAATATGGTCAGAATACAATTCAACACAGGCAAAAACGAGAGGTTACCGAGCACCCATTAAACTCGCTGAACTTATCAAGGCTCCGCTCAACAAAGCCCTACGTTAGAGAATCAAATGCCACATGTTTCATAACAAGCGTAGTATCATGGCGCCTTTACTAGGGTCTCGTGACAATATTGACTGGGTGATTATGAAATGGGGCAATTGACCAAATAAGATAATTTTGACATCGACGATACACACGTTCCATCTTGTGTGTAAAAATCTGTGATTTCTGATTCATGTGCAACGCTCTTTGTGATTTATTCGTAAAAAAAATACTGCAGTCACTTTCAATGCAATATGAACCACGAGGCCATAAAAAAGAAGTGAACAGTGGACTAAGTGTTGACATTGAAGTAACAAGTGACGTTATGATGGAGGGGGGGCATAGATACAGCCGTAATAAGCACTGCAAACACATTAACTGGGGCTGTAAAGCTTTTCAAGGAAGCCATGGCCAATCCAAAGTGGGGTGGATTACAACACTTGCCACTTCGAGCGCAAGGGTCATTTAAAAGCCTGATATACAACCGCGTCAATTGCATGGCGAATTGTACGTCCAATCGCGTGAGAAAATCTATCGTGAATGTTTCATGAAGTAATCACGCAGGCTTGCATCGTACCTACTCCGAACACGTTTAGGGTTGAAAGATCACGACATATTAAGACGGTGTTTTGTAAATATTCACCCCGGCCACAATGATCCGAGTTTGATTGTCGGTTACGGCTGACACAAGTGGCGAGTGATATCTATCAATTCCTTTAAATTTCACACCGACTGGCTTGGTGATCTACGTTCAAACACCACCCCTATGACCGACTCAGCCTCGGGAGGCTTTCATCTAGTGCTGGATTTACAAAAGGGTTGTGAATGATTGTCAAATATTTTCTAAATTATATTTTGGCTCGAGGGGGACATTAACCCATCACACGCAACATATACGAATCGCAAAGGACGGTTCTTAAACGGTAAATATGATGCGTGTATCATGATCTGGAGTATCGAATCTTTCTTGATCCATTCCACATGAAGTTTGTTTTGAAATGTTTGCATCGGAACACAACAAAACTCAGCACCGTAATGAGAAGCAGTGAACCTCGGTTGCACTTTAACCCAGAATGGCCACACCAAGTCATACAATCCATGCATTCAATTATTCAACTTCCAAACTGCTCTCAAAGAAATGCTCACACGGTTACAGTTTTTATGAATTCTAAGTCAATACTGCTCTCATTCACTTCAACAGGGTTACATACAATTACTTGCCATGTTTCCACTGCTCGTGTTAATGTCTCCACGTAGACAAACGTTTACAAAGAGCCCAAGTTATCCAAATACGTGTAATTCACGTAAATGCAGCTGTGGATCTCCAAAAAATATGCAAGACCTTGGTGTATTTTACTTGACTTCGATTTGCTATTGAGACACAAATCAATTAGTCTTACATTTACATCGATTCAGGCTTACCGTACGTAAATTGTAGCCAGCTGACTTTGAGATGCGCATGCCATTTATTGTGAAAATTCCGTCACAGTTCCTATGATCACTGTTTCATTGCTTTCATGGCTTATTTTGGTGATTTCGAAAAGTGTATTGGTTTAGCCATGTTTGTTTGTTGTAGTACAGAGTTAGACTGATGGCCTTAATCTAAGTTGTCTTGTGGTTGTTGTTGGTTGTTTGACTTGTATCCCACTGGGATTTTTGCACACAGCGTTGGTGTACGGTGATTTTTTTCTGCAATATTTTGCTGTCTTTTCTTGGATTTTCTGTTTGCACTTAGTCACATATTCACTTTGAGATGTTTTTTGTTCATGTTTTAGTTTTTTGTTTGTTGTGGTTGCACCCGATTGAAGAGCCGAATGGCTCACAGGGCTATACCTAATAAATGAACTTGAACTTTGTTCACCTCTAAATTTAAACACAGCCACTGGCGTATTTGTCAAAAGCACCGCCGTTCAGCAGTAAAGCGGAGGTTAAAGATACCGAGATTATTTGCATGTGCAGGCCACTGCGTGTAGCCACGGAATAGCCCAATTGTGTAGCTTGTATAAGACCTGTAAAGGAATGATGAAGTGCACCATAACTGGCCATCTAGTCTTCACTTGTATAGCGTCGTAATGAATGGGCTACCCTTCTCAATGAAATTATTGGTGACAATTTATTTTTTTAAGTCCAAAATGTTCTTCTTGGTTCTTTCGGTAAAGTCACGTAGAATGGAAATAATAAAATAATAAAATTAAACATTATAAAATAATTCTCACGACGTTTCGGCCACAACGCAAGCAGCTGTCCTGCGTTGTGGCCGAAACGTCGTGAGAATTATTTTTTTTATTTTTTTTATTTCCATTCTACGTGACTTTACCGAAAGAACCAAGAAGATGAATCCCTCAAGTCACGAAAGCTTTAAATGGAAATGTATACGGTTCTTTAATCGGTATAAAAATCGAACATAGTAATTAAGTGTACAATTTGCCATGCCACTGTCTTTGTGAACTGAGGGGAAATAATATAAGGCTTTAAAAGGGCTCACCCCACATTAATTGCGGGAACTGATACATTTATATAATCCATCAAGGTCCTTAAAAACAATGGCGGAGCCAGGATTTTCAGGTAGGGGGGGCAAACCCCTCCAGCAATGAAAAATGATAGAGGAGTTGTTAGTCAGTAAGGACTTGTCCCTTGCTTTTTATTCGACGCGTGTGCGGCGATGGCGCAACCATCGATCGAGGGTCGAATTCGACCCGTGTTGTGTGATCGGCATCGCGCTCGCTGAAGGTGTTTGACTTCAGGGAAGTCGTGTACTGTATACGCAACTTGGCACAACGAGTCACTTATAACTGCTTTGCCGTTACTTATTGCCAATTATGGACTCAGACTATTGTCCTATCATCTCATAGAGTCCCTGGCACGTAATAATATGCTACACAGTGGCAGTGGGGGTCGCAAAATGCCGATTTATTACAAATACACCCCAATGATCCGATCGAAATTAGGGGTTTCGATCGGATCATGGAGGGGGGGGGGGGGCACGTGCCACCCCACTGGCTCTGCCAGTGCTTAAGATATTCTGATCTCCAACTGCTCGGCACTCCCAGGTCTAAGGTTGCGCTCTTTTGGTGCTCGGGCTTTTGTTAGCGTGGCACCCAAACTATGGAACGCCTTGCCACTTGAAATCAGAGTCGGTAGATATAATTAAGTCTGCTTTGAAAACCCATCTCTTTAAAGTGGCATTCCCTCTTTAGTTTTGGTCGGTTGCCCCTGGTTCTGTTTTGTTTCCTACGCATTGGGATCCTAGGCTGGAATGCAAATTACAAATTTGAATTATTTGGATATGTTACAAAAAAATGAGGCTCATCAGCCGATGGGCCTGCGTTTTTTTAACTCGGAGCAACTGTTTATGTATTTTGTTTACGGTAAAGAAACAGACACAAGTACTTTATTCACAAAAAGACATTTTTACGAGTACACACACAGTCTTCAGACACAAAAACAAAGACCCCCTATGAATACAGCTTTTCGCAATCGATTTGGGACACGTGCTGTTAGCGAACACTGGTGATGACCGGCAGGTCCCACAAGGAAGTGGAAAAACCAGCACCACTCGCTCACCGTTTGGACATCGCACCAGGTAATAATTTAAGACCGAGTCGACCTAGGGGAGGGCCAGATCTGGTTCAGATATACTCTGTTACCGACGTTGGCCTTGAGCGGGAATCTTAACTCGGCGCAGTGCGCAAACCACTGCGCCACCGCTCCCCAAAATGCAGACACAAGGAAACGCACGAACACTCATTATCGTGATACAGTACCTGCAAAAAACCCAAGAGGCACACGTAAAGGCACACACACAAGCTGGACAGTCACACAGATGACCACATCAACTGTTTAAAGGACAGTCGAGACGACTGGTGTTGTTAGCGAGCACCTATGGGGCCGTCCATAAATAACGTCACGCGGTTTTTGACCCCCCCCCCTTCGTCACACGACGTCACAAAGTCAGACCCCCCCCTCAAATATGGCGTCACAAAGCTCTGCCCCCCCCCCCAAAAAAATATAAAACATGCTTCAAATCGCTTTAAACTATTGTCATTTTAGTGCATATTTAATGTGGCGCTGCACTCTGATCTTGTTGGAGAAAACATTTATTAAAAAATAAATTTAATTAAGTAGAACGTGTTGTCTATATTTATTTAAAGTTGCGAATTTTGATGTGATGTCACATTTCTGACCCCCCCCCCCCCCCCCCCCAGGTGCGTGGCGTCATTTATGGACGGCCCTTATTGCAACACAAGACGCCAACATACACACAACTCGAGCCGACTCAAGTGTCCTTCATTGCTGGCTCCGACAATACCAGAAAGCACGTGAAATCACCCCTTGCAGGCGGTGTGGCGGCCCTTGATGATGTTAACTACCTCGCCTGCCATGCGGCAAGGCCGTCGGTTCGTTCTCGACCCTGACGCCTGCTGGACGGTGATTTTTTTCTCGAAGACTTTGCAGTTTTTACCTGGATTTTTCTGTTTGCGCATAGTCACTTTAAGATGTTTTCTTGTTTGTTGTTTGTTGCGGTTGCACCCGATTCAAGAGCCGAATGGCTCAGAGGGCTAAACCAAATACATGAAACTGAAACTGTATATTTGAAGTTTGCGTGTCTCACTCTTACCGTGGTCGGCGTTTTTCCCCTCCACAATTAGAATTAACATCGCCACGCGTTCACAGCATTTGGGCTGCTATCATTTCCACATGGCGATAAACCGCTTCGCTGATCTATCATTTGTGGCCAGGTCGCTTCTGAAAAATAGATAACTGGCTCCAGTGGCCCTTTTAAATTCACTTTACTTTAAAAATAAAGTTTTAGTGAATTAGACATCTGGACCCACTCCCTTGTACTAAACATCGATCATTCCCGGCCTTAACCAACAATTGACAAACAATCTAAATTTGAAGTTTTCGTGACTGCAGGGATCCATACTCTTTGGTTCTTTCGGTTTGTCAGTTTGGGTAAAGTCACGTAGGTATCAAATACATTAAATCACCGATTTAATTTATTCTATGTTATACCTACGTGATGATTTCTTTTATTTTATACCTACGTGATTTATTTTATACCTCCGTGATGATTTATTTCTAACCTACGTGACGATTTATTTTATTTTATACCTACGTGACGATTTATTTTATTTTATACCTACGTGATGATTTATTTCATTTTATACCTACGTGATGATTTATTTTATACCTCCGTGATTATTTATTTTTTACCTCCGTGATTATTTATTTTATTTTATACCTACGTAACTTTACCCAAACTAACAAACACCGCACCAAAAAAAATGTGACGGTCACACTGGGCTCGTGTAACCGCACACTTCACCACTGTCGCCGCGGTCATTGTGTACGGCGGTGCCTCCCGCCCCAACACCGGCGGGGAGCTGTGTTGGTTGGGCAGGTGAAGCGCACGGCGAGCGAGACTCACGGGGCAGGCGTAGAGCTGCGTGAGCCTCTCGTCCACCCAGCCCTCCAGGTCGAGGCGGCGCTGCAGCTCACGCCGGTTGTACTTCACCGTCACCTTGCCCTGCCTGCGGCCCGGCGCGCCTGCCCCGGCATCCTCCTCCTCCTCCTCGCACTCGCCTTCCTCTTCAGCGCCCGCCTCGAAGCACACGCGAGTGCCGCTGCTCTCCGACATCGTGTGCCGCCGCTCTTCGTCCTCTCTGTGTCAAACACCAACGCCAGAGCCACCACCACCACTACCGCCGCCTCCGTGCGACTCTTACCTGCTCCTCGGGCTCGCACCTGCGAGGTGAACCGATGGTGTGACGTCATCACGCACGCTTGCGTGGCCGACGTCACGCGCTACGCTCAGCGTTGGGGGACGCACGCAGCGCGGGTGACGTCACGACGCAACCCAGGTACGTTGCAGGCGAGGGATCGCCATCGCCCTGCGCTTGCGGTGACGTAATCGCGCGCGCTGCGTGGTGACGTCACGCGACGTTGCTCAGCGCCGACGTCCGTCTACGTGATTACGTCACGACGGAGCCCAGGTAGAGTGCTCTCAGGAGCCCGTTACACCGCACTGTCAAGTTCAAGTTCAAGTTCATTTATTAGGTATAGCCCTGTGAGCCATTCAGCTCTTGAATCGGGTGCAACCGCAACAAACAAAAAACAAAAACATGAACAAAAAAACATCTTAAAGTGAATATGTGACTAAGTGCAAACAGAAAATCCAAGAAAAGACAGCAAAAATATTGCAGAAAAAACACCGTACACCAACGCTGTGTGCAAAAATCCCAGTGGGATGCAAGTCAAACAACAACAACAACCACAATACAACTTAGATTAAGGCCATCAGTCTAACTCTGTACTACAACAACACAAACATGGCTAAACCAATACACTTTTCGAAATCACCAAAATAAAGCCATGAAGGCAATGAAAAAGCAATCATAGGAACTGACGGGATTTTCACAATAAATGGCATAAACAACATGTACTACCAAAACCCTGCAGCCATAGCTGGCTGCAAGAGTCACTCCACAACAGCAGGAGCATCAATCGGAGTATTGTAATTTTTCAATGCACCTTTAAGATCAGCACACTAAATCAAAACACAGGTCATACTTTGTAGCGATCATCCGGAGCGAAACATTTTATTTTAGGTCACTGAATAGCACTGGCAGCTAGGGGTGTACAACTCCTCTAAAGCAGTTTTGAGTGAAGATCTCATAGGTAGTGACTCAAGTTTCAATTTATTTGCAACAGCATTCCAGACCCTGGGGGCATCAATAGCAAAGGCCCTTCCTCCAGTATATGTACGGCAATAGGGAATATTAAGCTGGTAAATGAGTGTAGACCTTAGGTCAAATTTGTTCTTTGAAACAGAGACGAGATCCAGCAGGTAATCTGCAGATTTTTTTGCAAGTACATCATGAATAAATAAGATCTGGTGCACAAGCCGTCGAACATTCAGAGATGTTAAGTTTGACCCAATGTAGAGATCACAGTGGTGAGTCCTATATGGGCAGTTCAATGCAAATCTTAAGGCCGAGTGATACATTGAGTCAAGCTTCTTAAGTACAGTACTTGGGGCTGATTTATACACAATGTCACAGTAATCAAGTAGAGGCAGTACGGTAGCTTTAATCAATTCCAAACGGAACATAGGAGGGAAGCAATGCTTGTGTCGATATAGAAAACCAATTTTAATTTTTGTCTTTTTCCCAATATAATCAATGTGATCTTCAAAATTCAGTTTTGAATCCAGGATGACCCCAAGATACTTATAGATCTTGACTTGCTCTATTTGATCATTATTTAAGGTATGTAATTGGGGAAAAATAACTTCCCGCTTTAGTCCTGGTGAGAAGCATAGCACCTTGGTTTTGGCAGGATTTAGGACTAGTTTAAGAGCAACTAGCTGATGTTGTAGTTTGTTGAAATCACTCTGGAGCTTAGCAATCACGTCATCCGGAGAGCGGCCAGCAGTAATTAGTACCGTGTCATCTGCAAAAAGATTTACCCTGGAATAATCCAGTTCAGTGCCCAAGTCATTTACATAAAGAGAAAACAAGAGGGGGCCGAGAATGGAACCCTGTGGAACCCCTTTTGTTATCTTAACACTGTTTGACCTCCAACCATCTGTGAATACAGTTTGGGTGCGAGAAAAGAGGTAATTTTTTAACCATTTTACTGTGTTTTCGGAAAAACCGAGGCAACTTATTTTACTAAGCAGGATGTTGTGGTCTACTGTATCAAAAGCTTTGGACAAGTCAAGAAAAAGACAGGCGCAGTACTGCTTATTATCAAGGCTACTGTAAATGTGATTCAGAGAGTCTAATGCAGCAGATGTGGTGCTGTATTTTTTTCGGAACCCAGATTGTTTTAGATGTAATAGATTGTTGGCGGACAGGAAACTGCTAATTTGGTAGGTCAATAATTTTTCAAAAATTTTCATCAACGGGGACAAAATTGAGATAGGTCGGTAGTTATTTGGATCATCTTTAGGGCCCCCTTTGTGAAGTGGACGAACATAGGAATGTTTCCATTCTAGAGGAACTGATGCTTCTTTGATGGACAGGTTGAAAATATGGGCTATAGGTTTGTATATTAGGTGACCAACAGTTAGTAGAGCAAAGACGGGAATACTATCTGCTCCGGTAGAGGAGGACCCTTTGAGGTAGGACAGTTGTTTCAGAACATTACTTTCGTGGATTGGCTGAAAACTAAATTCGCTTAATGTTTGGACAGGAGTGTAGGAAATTTGCATGAGCAGGGGTGACTCCCAATACATTATCAAATAGGGTACCAGCTTCAGAAAAATGAAGGTTAAAATTGTCAACTATTTTTTGGGGATCTGAAAAATATTCCCCATTTCGGTTAAGCTGAACGGGCAGATGATCTTGTTTGGATGCCTTTTCGATACATTTGATTGTTTTCCAGAAAATCCTGGCATTTCCATGAGATTCAAGGAGAGTGGAAGAGAAGTAGTTATTTTTTGCATGCCGTATTTTTTTGACGCATCTATTCCTTAAAATCCTGTATTCTAGCCAGTCATTGACCAAATTACTTTTCTGAGCACATGCCCAAGCCTTGTCCCTAGTTTTCATGAGCTTTGTAATCACAGGATCAAACCATGGTGGACGGTTGCCTTTAGTTTTAAATTTAACCAACGGAGCATGTTTGTTAAGAATTTGGAGAAACGTGTACCTGAAGGTCTCCCAAGCCGTAGTCAGGTTTGGAATATCACAGACCTTGTCAATATCCGAGTGAGGCACATCATTAGTAAATGCCTGAGTGCTGAAGTGTCTCATGGAGTGTTTCTCAACCAATTTAGGGGGGGCTTTGGGTCTGGCTGATGATCTCACCCCAAAAATGAAGGAGTGATCACTAAGGTTATTACCTAGAACACCAGTCAGTGCGAAATTGTGAGGGGCATTTGTCAATAGGACGTCAAGCAGAGATGACTGTCCCGGATTTTTTAGGTTGGGTCTTGTGGGGACATTTATTAATTGAAACAGGTTAAATTCATCTGCAAAATTTGTGGCCACGGCCGGCGGGTTTAGCCAATTCCAATTTAGATCACCCACTAAAACTATTTCACCTTTAGGGAGGCCCCCAAGAAGCTCTCTCAGTGCAGATGCAGCTTCAACATCCTTCCCACTAGGCGGTCTATAGCAGCACACTACCAATATGTGTTGATTATTAGGGAGAGTTATTCTGAGAGCCAGACCTTCAAAGCAACATTTTTTAAACAAGGAGTGAGCTGGTGAACATGCAATAGTATTACGAACATAGATGGCAATTCCACCTCCTTTAGATCCTCGGTCAAGCCGAAAAAGATTGTAGTTGTCAATCGTAATCTGCAAGTCATTGACGGCAGGAGTGAGAAATGTTTCTGTTAGGCAAAATATGTCCGGGTCAAGATTTGCTACTTCTAGTTTTAGTTGACTTAATTTAATCAAAAGCCCTCTGATGTTGACATGTAGAACACCAACACCTTTTCTGCCAGAAAAATCTACAGAATTATATGAGTTCTTTACATTTGGTCCAGGATGAAGCTCAATACCACCCAGAAATAAGAAAAGTAGAATTAATAGTTTGCACAGGTATTTTCTGTGAAAGGATGAAGAGCGACGAACCTTGGACGAATAGCAGCAGCTCGCAGATGGTGTTATTTTTAAGAGCAGAATGAAGTTTGGAAGGAGTGCTGGTGAAGTAATGGGACAAAGATAGGGTTTAAAAGGATATAATGATGGAGTGTAGAAGTGTCTATAAGTTGTTTCATTAGCAGGTGTAGTTGCAAATTTAGCAATAAGTATTGACGCGAAGTAACGCGGGTAGCCATTTGTAGAGTTGAGTGTGGCACTAGATATGGCCGGGAGGGACAGTAGTAAGATACACAGCAGGTGAATTGACATCTTTAAAACACTAAATTTAAACACACACACAGCTCACTCACACGCACGCTGCGTGGTGACGTCACGTGACGATGTTCAGCGCTTGGCGAATGGTGCGTAATGACGTCGATGGTCCGCGTGGACACGGCACGACGGCGCCCAGGTGAGCTGCGTGTTATGGTGGTGACGTCAACGCGCTGGCGGTGACTGCGAGTGACGTGATGACGTTGCGTCGGTCGAGTACGTGATTGCGTCATCGGTGACGCGCACAGTCGAGGCGTGCAACGTGCTCGGAGGGTCTCGAAGCCAACGCGGGGCCCGCGTGAGAGACGGCGTGTAAGGGGCCGTCCATAAATGACGTCACGCACCTAGAGGGGGGGGGGGGTCAGACATTTGTGACGATGTGTGACGAGGGGAGGGGGGGTTTTAAGAAATGTGACGTCACATCAAAATGCGCAACTTTAAATAAATATAGACAACACGTTCTACTTAAATTTCGATTTAAAGCTTTCGTGACTGCAGGGATTCATATTCTCGGTTCTTTCGGTAAAGTCACGTAGAAGGTAAATAATAAAATAATGAAAATAAAACGTTATAAAATAACAAAATGAATGTTTGTTATAATTTTATTATTTTATTTTTTCCCTTCTACGTGACTTTGCCGAAAGAACCAAGAATACGTTCTACTTAATTAAATATACTTCTTAATAAATGTTTTTTCCTACAACATCAGCGATTTGAAGCATGTTTTATTTTTTAAATGGAAATATGGTTTTGGGGGGGGGGGGGGGGGTTGGAGGGCAGAGCTTTGTGACATCATATTTGAGGGGGGGGTCTGACTTTTTGTGACGTCTTGTGACGAGGGGGGGGGGGGGGTCAAAAATCGTCCAAAATCGCGTGACGTCAT